CCTACTTTAGTAGGTACTTGTTTTTTATACAAATAACATGGGAATTTTAAATTCAGTTTTATTTTTATTTTCTCCTTAACCATTATGGTTATGGGACCATTTCTCCTTAACAATGCTTCAAAATATTAAATTAATTATTCTCATTTTGGTAACTCTACCAAATGGTTTGGAAATAAATTGCGATATTTCATGTTTTTAGGGTAAACATTTTGTAAAAACCAATTCTTACGAAATAGAATCTCTACAAGCCAGCGAACACAGAATAAAAATTTTTATTCTGTGTTCGCTGCTACAAGCCCCGTTATAAACAAAGGTTGACACGTTTGTACCAAATATCGATGGTACCAAATTGCATAAAGATTGTTATTTAAGTTCGCGCTAACGGACATATATGTGTGTCGATGTCGATACCACGATTTTCCTTTGGGGCAGAGCCATTAGGAAATTTGTTCATACAGTAACAATACTTTTGACAAATCTAACACTCTTAAAGTTTCATTTTGATGTACCATATGCCTATATTTTTATTTAGAAAAACCAAATAACAAAACACTATTAAACAAGGGGTATAAAGTACTGTTATACAATGAACACAAATTTGACTGTCTCTTTGATTATATAAAAGATGTTGACTCCCTACAGGGAACCGGAGTTTTGCCAACGGGTGTCAGGTAGATGTGGGGGATGCCTTCGGCCACCTCTTGGTGCGGAGATTTGCCAACGGTGGTAGTGGGAGAAAGAGTGTGAGGGAGGGAGGGAGAGCGATTGTCAGGGTTGTCTACGCTTGGCAGTTATGCGCTTGTCGCAGTGGGTTAGGTCAGGTTAGGTTAGGTGAGGTTAGGTTAGGTTATGTTAGGTTAAAAAATCAATACATTTCCTTTCACAGTCAGAGGTGCATAACTGCATTACTTTGAACACAGTCAGCATCCTGCCTGGTTTGTCCACCCCTAGCGGAAGCCACGCTCACGGTCACGTGTAATCTCTCTCTCTCCCCCTCCCCCTCTCGCGCAACCCACAACCGATGGCAAAACTCCGCAGTATGAGGAATTCACGGATGGGGACCCTTTCTACCTGATACCCGTTGGCAAAACTCCTACACTCTGCCTACGAGCTAAGTACTCGTAGTCCCTTAATCAGTGCAACAATTGACTAAAAGGTGAAAGTATTTTTTCATTAAAAATTTCTACTAAGGTTAAAACTCTTAATTTGCCAGCTCCATGTTACAAACCTTATTAGATAAACTTGGAATAAAATAACGTGTGTACCAAGTTTGAAACACTCAAGTGGAACAGAATTTTGTTCTGAAAACAGCTAAATAACTGTCACAAAATTTTGATTATGTTTGACCAATAAAGAGCCTAAAAAATTACAATAAGTAAATTAATGCATCACATTTCTTTAGATTACTAGTTTACTCCAACATGGACACACCATATTGACCTTGACCACCAGCATCAGCCAGATGCTACAAAGGTTTAAGACCTAGGGTTTAAGACCAAGGGTTTAAGCTGAGTCTTAATTTAAGACTCAGTTATCATCTCAAATTTTACCTTGGGGCGCCATGGACATAGTCTGCAACAGAGCTCTTCGTTATCTTGAACTCATCATCGGTTGTTGACCTTACTCAACACCCTTAATTATCTACTACCTTTGCGAGGCCTTATCTGAAATTTGCGACATCATCTGTTTTTTCATAGGAATAAATAAAATGGTTGTACAGAGTGTTTTTAAAACGCAACCTAAATTAATAACCGTAAGACACGTTTTAACGACACAACAAGCTTATATGTTGGTATCCCTGTTTTCTTAACTTCATTGCCGATCAGCTGATATGCATTGTTGCATAGTTACCTATGAGGTTAGTGTTATTGAGAGTTTATTGCAAATAAGACTTGTGTTTTGTTTTTTCACAAGCTCAAATAATATATTGTAGTTTCACGGTTTTTGGTTTTCTACGAATCCGGTTTCCAATTTTTTTACAGGTCAATAAAAAGTTGATTACAAAAGTTGGTATATTAGGTACTGGAATCACACCAGGAAACTTAATTTCAAACCTTACTTAGCATACATAAAATCATACATAAAATGTATGATTTACTTTAAACGTATTCTTCAACATATTCAATGTAGAAGATTACATTAAAAGTACATCTTTGGTTTTTTACCAAGAAGGTTTGAAACTAGGAATTCAGGTGTAGGATTCTAGTACTTTATAAATCATAAAATGTATGATTTACTTTAAACGTATTCTTCAACATATTCAATGTAGAAGATTACATTAAAAGTACATCTTTGGTTTTTTACCAAGAAAGTTTGAAACTAGGAATTCAGGTGTAGGATTCTAGTACTTTATAAATCAACTATTTATAGACTCTCAACATTTTTTTGAAACTGGAAATCAAAAAAGATTGGCCTGCATTCCATATCAGCACCTGTACCTGTTCGAGCTTGCGAACACACAATGTTGATTCTTTATAATAAATTCCCAATCACACTAAACCTCATAAATAAGTATGCAACAGTGCATATAATTTGATTGGCAACAAAGTAAAGAAGACAGGGATACCAATAAGCTGATTTTGTCTTCAACAGTGTATGACAATACAGTTCTTGTGATTTGGGTTGTGTGTAAAAAATAACCCGTACAACGGAAATTTGTCAGATTTTTGTGCCCAGTCTTGGGTTTGATGATAATGAGGTTCCTTCTCTAAAAGTCATCTACAAACTTTCTCACCAACTCCCCGGTATTGATGTTAGGATAAGAATGAGAGTATAGTTAAAATATCACATTTATAATGTAATGAATTCCATACTGAGGATTCAAAAATGAATACCAACTTCATTCAACTAAACCTCCAAACTCGCTGACATGAGAAGTGGTTTGCGTTGGAGATTTTGTTACTGTCTTTAAAAGACCACACTACTTAGTATCCTTGACTATTGGTAGAACCATAGATAAAACATACTCCCTTAGTAGATTTGTCATCCTTATGGAACAGCTGAAGACAATTTCATTGTTACTTCTGTACGTCAACTGTATAGAGGTCATGTTTTGTTTACAATTTCTTTCTTGTTATTTCAGTCATTTAAAACTTCATTTAAGGGGGCTAGCCTAGCAAAAAATTTTAAATTTTTAAATTTTTTTAAAATATATTTTTTTATTTTGTGAGTTCTTTCTGAACAGTTTGGTACCAGAATAATAAAGATATCTATTTTTTTAGTTGAGATATGACCAAAAACATTTATCAGTGCACATGCCTTTTCATTGTTAGTCCAATACTTGTCCGCGACTTGTGGCAAGTGTCCGTCGATTTTCCGAAACTAGTGTTTTTTTCTTACTATTTACATGATATCTTCTAAGCCAGTTGAGATATCATTACCAAATTTTTACAGGATGTTTATACCATCAGTACCTATGACCTGAACTAGAATTATAGCAGTAGGTATGGTTTAAGTAATAAAATATATAAATTTATCAAAAAATAAAATAAAATATTTTTTTATAATCAAAAATGTTAAGCCAACTAACTAATTTCAATTATATTAACATATTTTTAGTTCAGGCTATAGCCCTAGGCATAAGGAAAAGAACCATACCAAATTTATTTGTGTAAATTAAATACAAAAAAGCACAATGTGTAAAATGGTTACCTAGGTTTTTACAAATATAAAATTTAATTTTTTTATCATAACTCCCGAACTCATCAACATTTTTCAAAATATTTTACATGATTATATGCCCAGATTTGTGCTTAAAATGCCCTGAAAAATTCAAAATCCTAGGTCAAAAAGTGTATTCACAGCAAAATGTTTTCTATAATCGTGCGTTTTTAGCTAGGCTAGCCCCCAACCAAATAAAACGATATGATCATAAACAATAATTGGTTTCCTAGTTATATAACCAAATAGTAAAGCACAAATCATGAAATTAACCCTAAAATAATAGAAACAAAATTTTGTCTACCCCAGCGATCAGTGTGGACTTACACGAACTAGACACGAAAAACAAGCTTCAAAATTTACAATGGGATGAGGAGTCTACTTGTGTTGCTTAGGCTAGGCGCACACGAGCGATTATTTTGAGGCGATTATTTCATCGGCCGATCTGTGCATCATGTATTAGAATGGAAGCGCACACACAGGCGATCGAGAATTGCGCCGATTTTAAAATCTGGCTTTTGCTGCAGATTCGTAGGCGAGGCGGTTGTCGCCCGGAAATCTGTAACGTACAGGTTTTTATCAGTCCGCCACACTGTTGACTAAAAAATCAGCCAGTCGCTTGTTGTTCTCCACAGGAGTCAGTGAACTTCAGTGTGAGTTGTGTTGTTTTCTTTGCTAAAAATAATAAATAATGAAACTTTCAACAGACATTCTATAGTAATTAAAGAACTTTTTACTGTCATCACATAAAGTGTATGGTTTATAAAACAGTTGATTTAAAAGTCTCTAACTTACTGTCGAATGAACCCAATATTTAAGTTATCTTCTTTTTTTCTTTGATCTAATTAGAAGAGCACAAACACAGGTTAATTCAACTTGCCCTATTACTGTCACTCATTATGTTAGGACCGTAAACTTTAGTAATCAGCTGCTGAAACGTTTCTTGTAGAAAAACTGTATCACTGCCCTTACTTCACAATTGGCGGGCCGATCAATTGCCTTAAACATTGTGAACTGACACTATAAACAGCAGACAGCAACAATAACAACGCTAATAGTGGAGTTTGACGTGCAAGGCTTGCTGGGAGTCAGCGTGCGTGTGTTTTTTGTCCTTGGCGACCACTTCAAATAGTTACAGCGAATCAGACCTTACTTTTGGAATAATCCTCATACAATGTTTACTGCTTAAACATACATAAAAGATAAAAAAATTATGTTTAATGTAAAAGTGAAATACAATTGTGACAAGGACTTGTACGATAATAGCTGCAGACCAACATAGACATTCAGATATACCCAGGTCAGATACAAGGGGTTTTACTGTGCTCTTTTGCTCTTTGAAAAACTATTAGTTCCTAATGAAAATGATACAACACTTAAACTGCATTTAAGGTATTTATTTACAAATATATGTTAAGGTTTACAACATATAACAACACAGCACTATTAGATTTTAACAGATAACTTGTAACAATAACAATTTTTGTAAATAATAAATCTACAAATTTCAAACTTTGTTCCTATAAAACTATTTAGTCACAGTCACACATTTCCTACAAGAATGTTGAACTTTTTAAATAATATTACTGTAAACTATAAGTTCATTATTGAACATAATAAAAATCATTTCGGTAGATACCCTCTTGTTTGAACGATTTAGGACCGGAACTACAAAGAATTTAGGTACAGAGGAAACAATCTGAATGGACATCCGTGCGCTTTCAGCACTGGTATGTTGGGGCGGAAATATACTTGTGACGAGCACTGTGCATAAATTCCTATTGCACAGGATGTAAAGTCTTCCTCTGTGAACCTTGTAGTACATGAAGGTGAGGCGGACCTGGCCCTAGACACCAGCACTAGTGCTAGACACCTCTTAAGTGTACCATGGAATGTTTCTTCCGTTCCATACTTCTCTGTGCCGGAACTTAGCCAAAACTGAATTTTGTTACTTGCCAAGTATTCCTAGTTATGCTTTTTTGTTAAGAGGGAGGGATTAATTTCTGTCTTATCCACAAAGGTTTTAGGGGTTTTCAGTGTGAAACATTATAAAAGCTAGGACACATACCTATACTATTAGGAGCGAACAGTACCAGAAGATGGTTTTTTTTTTTGTTTTTTTTTTTGTGAATCTATGTACAAAGTGAGTGTGTGAACCACTTGCAAGTGTAAACCAAACCATCTGAAGTCCAAATCAAACAGGTCCAAACAAGAAAGATTCTAATGATGAAAAAGTTGACAATCATTGTATAACTAAAGCAACTGACTGACAACTTAAAAGTATTTGGCAAAGCACCAAACAGTAAATCAGAAAATATCAGTTTGTAGTCTACTTTAATTAATTAAAATAATGTTTACTACACTCTGTTGTCTTGGCTTGAATGTTGTTGAACATCACAATATATTTGGAATCATATGTAATGTTGGCGGAAAGGGTATCTCTTTAGTCTGTAATAAATCTCTACATATTAATATGCTATCAAATAGACTAAAATGAATATTTCGTTTTGTCATGGTGGCAGGAGATAACTGGAGCAAGCTGCACAAGAATAGACCAATCAAAATTGTAACAGCTGTTTAAAACATCTATTATATTCAACTGGGCAAAATGTCTCAAATCTTATCTGACCATTCTACTGCATTATACACTAACATAGCATTTATGATGCCACTGAAGATAACAAAGTGTTAAGAAAAGTGAGGTTCAATGTTGTGAGAATAATAAAATATCTGTGCACAGACTGAATTCAGAATGCAAAACTTTTATATTACATTAGTTGTTTGTGCGATGTTGTTTCATACTGAAGACAATTTGTTTTGGCACATAAACATTTCTATAAAATTATTGAAAAATTATGCAACCTCATACAACAGTTATTTGATTCATTTTTAAAACCTAGCATCTGACTCTCTCTCATTGGAGTGCATAAGGCCCCTTTTATGCACGGCGGTTACTCGCCAGCGGGCACCCACCGCGGTTTTATAAATGCATTGCCCTAAATGGGTGTTTTTATTCAAATAGGAGCGGTCTCAGAAGTTGCGGGTACCCGCGGAGGTTTGTAAATTCACCCGCTTGCACTTAGAAACCGCCGGCGGTTAGCGGTTTGTATATGCATTGTGTTATATGGCATCGTTTATTCAACGCGGGAGCCCGCCGTCGCTCTAGCATTGCTACCAACCCAAGTTACCAGTGTCACTCACTTACACATGGTCTAGTCATTTGGCTGTGCGCATTGTCTACTACATACTATAGTCTTGTATAGTACTGTATGTATAGTTGTTTGGTCTTGTACATAGCTGAACCTCTCACCGTTAAAAATGACTTCATGGTATGTTACAGACATAAATACTGAAAGATTTTGTCTGAAATTATCTACAGTAAATAACATTTAGATTGAACACCCCTCTGGCACTATTTGAAACTTTTACAAAGGATTTCTTTTGCTAGAGTGTGTTTTTAGCTAGATTTCAGGCTTAAATAGCAGCCGTTGAAGTGAGTCCATGACAGTTCTCAGTTGTAAACCAAATACTTGTGTTAGACTGGTTAGATTGAAGGAGTATACATTAAAAAAACAAAGGTTTTAACAAACAAGGGTTGGCAGCACTGTTACACTATCCATGTGATAGCGATTGATCGCAGGTGACACATTGCTGCAGCGGTCGCCCGCGGCGGGTGCCCGCTGGCGGGCAACCGCGGTGAATAAAAGGGGCCTAACCTGTTCATAGTTAGCCTACATAGCTTGAAAGAAAACACTGCACAACAAATATAGGTTATGTTGTTTTATCTCTGTATGGGCTTGTCTTTGCTACTAACAGCAAACCTTCATTTATTCAGTCTTGGATGAATTGAGAATCAAAGTTGTCCAAATTGACAAACGTCTAGAGGAAATATAGTATATTTTAGGACAGTTTTGATACTATTGTGTAGTGAGTACTTTTAACAGAAAACCACTTAAAACCAAAAATACTACTGCAGCACTCTAAAATAGGCCGCAAAACTGTTTAATTTACAGAGGTGAATGATAAATTTAGCAATATGAAATGTTTAAACTGCTGGACACCGATTAAAGAGGTTTTACTGTGCAAGTTGGTGTGAAAAATGGAGATAATTAAATGCACAAGATAATACTGGGAAACCAGATGCATAAGTCTGCAAGAATGTAACTTTATACACTAAACCAGCTAAATACAGATATAGGCAAAAAGGTAAAAAAATCTATTAACACTAAATCATTCAAAGGCACTTAGCGGCAATACAATCTAGATTTGCAGTTTAAACCGTTATAGCTTAAGTTATATCTTGTTTAGTCTTACAGTAACAACACATAGCTCTGAGAGCCAATAGCCAATTGACAAAAATAATAAATCACAACTAGTTTACAAGAAGTTACTTGTCAACAATTATATTTTGGTAACTATTTACGACGTTTAACCTTTCTGTTCCTAAATACATTGATTAAACCCTTCCCGTTATCGCAGTAAAATAGTGATTAGAAACATTACAAACCGGACCCTTTTCCACTCTGACCCAGAAAGTATTCGTTGTACGACTTGTTCAGCTGTTCAAGGAAGATGAAGGTGAGGACAGTGTGGGGTCCGAGTCTCGCGTAGTACGGAGTGAAGCCTTTCCACAACGCAAAGAACCCTTCGTTCTTGATCACTTTTGTCAAGACATCAACTGCACCGGTGTATTCTGGCTTGCCGTTGACAATTTTCATGTTTTGTATTCTGAAAATATAACAAATCATATTAGTGATATCATAAATCTACCATTTAACATTTACTTTGGATTGGGTAAGTAAGGGTCTTTCATAGAATTACGGGGATGCGGAATACTACCCCACGGAAAACCACCCCCCTCCCAGGTGAAACGTGACGTCACGAAATCTGCCAACTAACCAATATGGTTGCCGTGTCCGCAACTGGAATACTACCCCCCCTAAGAAAATGTGATGCTATGTAATTGTAATTTTAATTCAATTAATTTAGTTTGATTACAGAAAAGGCATGTGGGGAATATCATACAGAATTTTTATATATTACAGCAAGTTTGGTTGGTTAGGTTAGGTTAGTTTACAACATGTCAACGAAACTTGAGTGTCCGTGACTGGAAAACTGCCTCCTCAATCTCTGACGTCAACATGACGTGGGAACCTGCTTGGGGGGGGGGGGGGGTAGTGGTCCAGGGGGCAGTCTTCTGGCGTCCCAAAATTACTTAACGAATATCTATAGTTATTTTAAAAATAAGTATCAATTTCATCTTTTCTGAATACATTTTTCTGAAGATAAATGTAGTTGTCATTGTCAGTATGCATTCACAAGGCATAAGATATGAGCACTTGATCAAAAAAATTAATAAAGGAGTAATTCATCAGATATTTTATTGTATATAGAAAATTATTAGTGTGTTTGACACTGATTTTTTTTTAAATACCCTAGTAATACTTTTGTTAAAACTTACAAAACTACTGTAGTTGAGATTTTAATTTAATAATTAATTCATTATTGAGTAAGTATTAATTTTTAAGTTAATAAATTTTCTTTATTATTATTTTTTTTTATCCACCCGCGGTAAATTTTACATATTATTTAAGCTAGAAGAAGCTTTCTGAGAGAATTAAAAATTCCCACATTTTACATTAGTTATGAGAGCACTTTCAATTTGTCACTAAACTAACCCCATTTCGAAAGTAATGCAGAAAGATAAATTGTATAAATGATTTTCTTGATAACCTTTGAAGATAAAATATTCTAATAATACGGTCTGAATTATCAGTCACTTAAAAACTGCCTGGCAATGTAAAGAATAAGTTAACATAGCATCAAAAGTTTGAAATGTGATATGGTGTGCAAATATATTAATCCAGAACAATTCATGTACCAGCTATTCTGCGATCAGATTAACTCGTTCTGAAAATTATACAACAAATTTAGTCCCTAGAAGGCACTATAATGTTGTTCCTGCAAATCTTTGAAAACTAAAATGACATATTTTAATACAGCTCAATATTACATTTTCCATTTATTATACCAGACAAGATAATTTTATCAGTATGAAAATTCATTTACTCTTTCATAGACATACACTTTTGGAACATCTGAAATGTGTTTAAACGGATACTCGGTGTACATTTTTTATGTGTCAAAAGGTGGAGTTTTATGTACGTTGGTTGTGACTGGATGTTATTCAAAACCTTCATGTTAATATCTAATGGACTCCTTTAAAATGAAATTAAATTAAATAAAATCTTTGAAAATATTTAAAAGGCTGATTAAAATATGAACAGTTTAAAAAATTCTTGTAGGGTGCTTAAAACAAAAAACAAAAAGTGGTTCAAATCATTATAAAATAAAACAAATTATAAATACTTTTTTCTCAGCTTGTGTGCATTGCAGGGAAAATCCACGCATACTGTTAGAAAGATATTTTCCTGTAGATGTGCAGAATCCCCTTATAAATTAAAATAGGCTCAAAAATAAGCACAAGAAATTAGTTAGAAAACTTCAAAAAATTAACACGGGCCTTATGGTTTGCCATAATGGTGACGAAATAATAACGGAACATAAACAGAAAATCAAAACAAATTCCAATCACATGTTCTATTTACAGCGTGGGGTGAAAATAGTGAAGTCTGTAAATTCAATATTTTTAGTCTAGTATTCAACCACTGGACAACCCTCTAGTTCATTTTAAAGGATGACAATATCAACATATGTCAAATTCTCAGTAGAGTGAAACAAAATACTCATTAAAAAAAACCTAGGTTTAACCATCGCGGCATTTAACAAAAACCTCCTAAAATTGTATTAATAAAATGTATCTAATTGCAATAATGTGCTAGTTGATGAAATGGACCATAGATTAAGTTGCCACAAAGGTTTCAAATGACATCTAGCCGGCACAAATGTACATAAAAGTCTACCCTTTGGCACAAAATATTTACACTGACTATCAGCTTAAGCACATTTTAGATGCACATGAAATAGCTACAGCGGCTGTTTGGTTCCAAAATTAAAATCACTGCAAGTTAATAAAACCATAAAAAAATACAATGAATTTTGCAAACCACTAAAATAACTCCTTGTTTATCATAGGTGTGGGTCATTGATATTATACGGATAAAATAAAACACATAAAGAAATAAACACTCAACAATTCAATCTGTACTTGAAGTTGAGAACTGTACTTTATCACATTGGTACTTGAATGTAGAACAATTGGTGAAAAAATCAATGAAATTGTCTTAAATAATAACAAAACATGTATTGTCAATAAGATGGATGATTTAATTCCAAGAATATAATTTTTTAATTCTGTTTTTCTATTTACATTCCTTTATGAAACACAAGTCTGGATATTTTAAAGTGAGATGGGGTGAGATGAATGTTTCATGATTGTAAAAATTTACAATTTGATTTTACTTTTGAATTCATGCAAAACAATTTAATAACAGTTCATTTCAGTTTTGTAGATATACAAACTTAGACCAGCTGATGTAAAAAAGCTACGGTACTTACAGGGCCCTATGCCAACAGTGAAATTAAATTAAATATGTCTATTGTCTTTAGAACCTTTTAAAAATTATTGACAAAGTCATAAAACAGCTAAAATTATAGCATAGTAAATTAATGAATACATATAGCTAACTACACAAAATTAGTCATGTTACCATTTATATTTTAAATATTACTACTGAATAACAATCTTATTGTTAAAAATTTTTGTGTAGTGTTAACTACATGAGTGAACACTAGTGTTCTTCGCGTAAATATGTGAAATTTTTAGGTGTTCAGTTGTTCAGTGGTATAGAGAAGCGGGAACGCATGCAAAGACAGCGTTCTCACTTTGGTTTTCTGAAGTCCTATATTTTATAAGCAGCCTATGTTTTGTACGAGACGATGGTGAGTATTCCAGCACTGAAAATGTTCCACTGCACCACTGCGTTCTACCCTCATCCTCCAACAATCACCTAAAAGTATGCCACTACATCCTATACTACAACCTATTACAGGAAAGATAATAATTACCTGGTTTTGGCGATGTCAACTGGCATAGACGCAGCCGTAGTGACAAGACCAGAGATCATGCTGCTACAGAAGTGAAGAAATATGTTCTCATTGAAGTACCCAGTAGAGAGCAGCGCCTGTTTGGCTTGAGAGTAGGACGCCAGCTGGGCCGCGTTGACTACCATCGCCCGACCCATCGTGGGGATGGCTCCTCTCCACAATACCTTGATGGTAGAACAAAGAGGATAAGAAGAAGTACATGTGTCATAGAACACACAGAAGAGACATAAAACAGACATTATTTTGTTCTAGAAATTTGAACGAATTGTGTTTTTGGCCTCTGGGGACATCAACATGAAAAAGTAATTCGGTCGTGAGTCTAGGTCTTTCTGAGCCGCCTACAGTAATAGCTTCTTCCCTAATTCGCTAAAAATGAAATCGGTAACACCAGTATTTCTTTTTAAGCTTTCATATTAGGCCTACTATCTTATTTTGTAATCCAACATATACAATTACTTAACTGTAAATAAGCAGCACGAACCTCGCTGTCATAATTCAGATAAAAACTTACAAAACCACCAAACTTCATTATAAACGCAAAAAGTGTTTAAGGAAATAAATCAGTACCGGCAGCTTATTCAGCTACCAAAATATTTGTAAAAACTTACCAAGACTCCTTCTTCTCTCGCGATTCGCATCAATGCATTAAATACATTGCTGTAGTTACGACGCTGGTCAAGTGGTAAACGCCCGTCTGATGTCATACGCACCAACGCTACCTCTGCAGGAGTTCCAATGAAGGCTCCGCAAGCCCCGGCAACCATACCCAGACCTGCCTTCATGAAGAAGTTTGGTGGCGTACCATCAGAACTAATGAAAAAAACACCTTAATTTATCTCTTGTCTTCTTCTTTTTAAAATGTCTAAAGAGATCAAAGGAGAGTCCAAGGTCCCTGATGATAGAGCATGCACATGAAATCTTAGGTTTTGTGTCATGATTTGCAAAAGGCACGTTCCCAATACAATTAAAGTTGTTTAATCTTCTCGTATTTTTGTGTTCCATGCAATATGCAAAAGTTCCATTAAAAATCGGGGTCCTACTAATTTGAATCCCTTTTATCAGAGAGTCCGACTAATCCAAACCACCTGTTGGGGAACAAATTGTAAACAAATTTATTTGTTAGAAACAAACCATATATTTTGAAAACTGCTCTAACTATAACCTAGAAATCGAGAAAAGCCAGCAATTGTACATAATTTTTTATGGTAGAGTCCATGAATTGTAGCCTATGTGAATTATGTAGAGAGAACCTGGCAGTTTTGAATAATTGCCTACAGCCTATGACCAAACGTCCATGCATTAACGGCATTCTTCGGTTCGGTCTCTTCTAAGGTCATTGCGTAGTAAGAAGAACACAAGGGGGACAATTATTCATCGGATACTAAAAGATGGTTATTTAGCAGTAAACAAAATATATTTTTTCAAATCTTTTTTTATGTTAAAATTTTGCTGCATATTTCTATCTAATCTGAACAATAAGGTAATCTGAACAGGGTTCAGGCTCAAACTTCCTGTTAGATCATAAAGTCTTTAAGAAATAACTGCAAACATATAATTTAATTATAACTGTTTTTATTTTCATCCAAAAAGATCACATCACAAAGACACAACCTCATCTGGAGACTAAATCAAACTTTTGTAAATTTTAAAAACAAACCAAAAATTTGTTAATGCAGATTTCACTTATATTAAAATATAATAATATATTTATAATATTACCTGTTTCCGTCTGTGATCCTATATTTGTTGTATAGAGCAACCGGTTTCAAGGTTATAACCTCATCTTCAGGCTCTTGTTGTCACTCTTGCGAGATCTTTGAGTTTTATAAACACACAAAAACACTAACATTGAAATAAATTAACACGAGACATTGACAGACGAAGACGATTAACACAGATTCGGGAACTAGTTCCACACACGACGCGGCACGGGCAAACGTTTTGTCATGACTGACGACGCGGCACTAGTTCCCGAATTTATGTTAATCGTCTTCGTCTGTCAATGTCTCGTGTTTATTTATTTCAATGTTAGTGTTTTTGTGTGTTTATAAAACTCGACGATCTCGCAAGAGTGACAACAAGAGCCTGAAGATGAGGTTATAACCTTGAAACGGTTGCTCTATACAACAAATATAGGATCACAGACGGAAACAGGTAATATTATACCATTTTAATATTCAAGAAGTGATCCTAGACCAAATAACATCAATATGAGATTTCACTTACCCTGTCATTTTAGAGAACAACCAAGTATAAACACCCAGTCTTGTGGTTGTGTATGTTGCCTGTCTTAGCAATCCGGCTGAGAGACCCGAATATACTCCCACAAACCCTTCCTTTTGAAGGATTGCACGGAAAGCATGAAAGCTAGTCTTGTATTCTTTTTTGCCATCAGTTCCACTCAACTGCATTCGATTTTTTACTAGGTCAAGAGGTTGAACAAACAATGTTGCAGTCATTCTGAAATATTAATCCAAATAATAACTGTCAATGGGACAATATTGAGAGCTGTAGCCATAGCCTATCAGCTTTTAATGTATCAACAGTAATTTTTTTTAATTTTGCAAGTCATACTGCTATTTTAAACATTAATTCTACAATTTATTACAAGAAGCTATAAATTGAAGATTTAGAATTAAGTAAGAAATTATAAACTGCTTTAAATAAGTTAAGAATAAAATAAATTGTTACCGATTCGGAGGAAAGAAGTCCTCTAGGAATAGGATGGAGTGTAATGAAATTTAAAATTCACTTTTTTAAATGAATGATTTTCATATATAAAGTGTTTTAAACGCGGGATTCCTAGACTCATCCCTTAAATTGAGTTTATGCACAGGATAGAAACGGGATATGGAATAAAACGGAATTTTTGGGTCTGATACCTGTTTTTGTTTATTATAGGCCTAATGCTTAAAAAAAATAGCTCCAAATGATTAAACTATTCTAGCACAATATTTTAGCAAGGTTTAAAGAGCAATTTAAAAATTATAGGCTACCTACATCAAAAAGTACATTCAGAATAGAATTGGGGCAAATAAGCACGATATAATGGGATTTTACATTATATTGTTGTACAGTATATAAATAAATAAATAAAGATAAAATAGGATTTTCTCGACCCGGTGAGAGGAATTGTTGGTTTTGGTCTTGCATCTAGTAACATCATGCAGAAACTTAACTTATTTTAAAAATTGGAAGAGCAGTTTAAGAATTGTTAAATGAAATATTATAAAACAAATCAACTATCAATCATTGAGATGGGGACGCCAACTTTGAATTATAAATAGTGAATTATACAAATTAATCATAACATAACTGTAAAATTAGCCTAATTATCATTTTAATACAGGGAAATATCTGTCAAATGTTACACAAATAAATAAAATTTATAAGGCAGAGTAGCACAAACTAATTTTGTGTTAGTTGGCTTTGCATTATCCAAGGAATAGAAATAGAATAAAAGGATAGATAAGACAACTTGTTTGGGGTTAATTAAAACTTCGTTTTGTCATTCTTACCCTGATACTCCACCAAAAACGAATTTCACGTAATTAGGCATGGTCTGCTGAGGCTGCGACATCTTGGTGTATATGAATTTTATCAACACTGCCTCGGAGTAAACTTTCTAATCTTAAAATAAAATGGAATGTGAACTTGAAATAAATTTGCAATGTTACGCAGAATTAACTCTAACCTCACTTCGCTTGTCAGTTTGACATTGACAGTTCAGCAGACAGCCAAGAAATGGAGCTTTCTTTTTCCCTCTTTCAGAACCTAACATTTCGCAAACTTAAGAAGTTCCATGTAACTACAGAATGTACACCGTGTTTATAGTACTGTAGTCAAATTATGATCAATGAATCGTAAACATTCAATTTTGATGTCTACCAAATCTGTTGGTGTTTGAAGAATTATTTAGCCATACACTACAAAATAATCAATGAATCTTTATTCATCTATATATATAAAATCCAATGTATGTTTGTTTGTATGTATGTATGTCTTGTTTGTCCTTTATGGACTCCGAAACCGCTCGACAGATTGTAATGAAACTTTCAGGTATTATTAAGCATTATTCAAGGATGGTTTGTGTGAAGTTTGGTGCAGATCCGTCAAAAGGGCTCCGCCCCAGTGGCTCTGGAATTTTCCATGTTAAACTTCTGAGTACTCATATTTAAATGTAATTAAAGAATCTTAACAGCTAATTCAACTAATCAATTTGATTCTGTGATGCTCAATAGTATTAAAAAGTTAATAGGTTTACCAACAGGATACAGCATTATTTTTTTTTTTCAATTTATGACAACAGCTAATTTGCAACCAAAAGGTGAGTGAGCGTAGCGAACAAACTTCAATCTGGAGGCAAGTTAGCGTAGCGAACGAGCTCCAACCTAAAAGTGAGTGAGCGTAGCGAATGAACTTCAACCAGGACGTGATTGAGCCATGCGAACGAGCTCATCTTAAAAATGAACGAGCTTTTTACATATAACCACATCAGGACAGGACGACGTCTGTCGGGCCAGCTAGTATTTTAATGTTGTTTATAGACAAGTACATCAACGCTCAAACATACTGCAGAAAGTCCGAGTCGCAAGCCACGGGCATTGGCTACAACGTTGACTTTGGATACTGCAGATAGATTTCTTGTCTTTTTGTAAAATCTGGAGCCTGCTTTAACCAATAACGTGTTAAATAGCTTGTGTAGTCTTCAGAGGAATATGAAACTGCTGAAAGTTGGTGAAGACCTCGATTATTATCCCGAAGGTTGACGGAAATGCTCCACCATATATAACCACCCGGGCTTAAAACTATTAAATTAAAGTAATTGAAACCATTTTTTTCTAAGTGGCTTATTTTTATGAAACTAAATTATTATTAGGTATAATTTCAGTAACGTGATTTGTTAGATATTAAGGTATAAAGATCTATAGAATGACATTTATTTCTGTAGTTAATTATGCCAAACATTTTCACAATACTATTAGGTGTTTATCATGGTGGAAGGAAAATACATGTATTATACATTATATATTGATAATGAAAATATATATGTATTTTCCTTCCACAATGAGTTGTTATTATAATTTACAATGTATTTCCACCATGATTTACAATATTTATTGATAACTCTTCTTAACTGATTATTCATTCATACCTTACAGTATGAATACAACTAACTCAATGCTTTGCAAGCTTAATATTCATCCTCTATGTAAAAAGCAGACGGATTCACGGATTATTTTGTTTTTGTTTTGTTTACAACGAAACGACAAGTCGAACGCTGCCGAGTGCCGAAATGGCAAAATGTCTTCGAATATGTGATAAAAGTATAAAAATAGAGGTATTTTAAGGTTTACATGGTTTAAAAGTGTTCTAGCAATGAAACCATAAGTACAGTAACTCTCTCTATTAGCGATTAAAATGTGTCATGCTATTAATTAATTAACTTTAATATTGGTAAGGTTCCAATTGTGTCGTGGTTACACTACGGACTACATTCTAGGCCCTAGGGTCGACCTGGTTTTCAGTTACATCCCTCTCAATGCCTGTATACAATACAGGTAAGTACATACTACTTTATGGGTACAGTTTCTTAACTGGGCTATGCTAATATCGATTGAAACTATCGATTTGATTAGTAAACCTTCATTTATCAATATTATTGATTGACCCTAGTTTCGAATTGTAGTAGTTTTGTCTGACATTGCTATAAATGATGATCTATCATATATGTGTGTCAAACGTTTGACCTCTACTTCAATTTATTAACGTCAAGGCTATACCTTGAAAGGTAACAGAAAAATGGACTTGACATACTGAGGGCCAAAGTTCCAGTTAGGCTCCTTGTATATTCTGCCCGTTCTTCACACGGTGCTGCGACCGGTGGCGCTGCAAGTTTGAGTGGCGTCTGTGGCAGTGGTGGGGTGTCAGGCTTCCAACTTAAAGAAATTCTAGTCACTACTAAAAGTTAATAGTAATGAGTGTAGTGGTGGGAGAAAAGAATAGGCCCTACTAAGAATTTGAATACAGGTCTACTCGGAATACCTGAATCAAAATACTATGTTACATCCTGGGAGATTTATATTACGACGCTAAAACTCTGACTGTTACTTAGTATGACAAAATAAATTAGCTCATTTAAATAATAGCAATAAAAAATATTATCTATAGCCTAATAAAATAACTAGTGTAGACTTCCGTATCTGTTGGCACAAACAACCAAATGAAAATATTGATCGATATATCGAATGAAACAATTGAATAATCAATATTTTCATTCGGTTGTTTGTGCCAACAGATACGGAAGTCTACTCAATAATTATTTCAGAATTCAGAGTGTACCGGTACATAAAATTGCCGCTGTGGCATGTCACAGAGTGAGCTTGTAAAACCAATGATAATCTTACTTCACCAAGCATGGGGTTTGGACCAAGATTGGTTTAATGGGCTTGGACCGCTTTCCATTAAAAGCATTTGACTTCAACTTCACAAAAAAAGCTCCCATACAACAATTCTACAGCAATTTGAGGCCGCACATTTCTGCGGCTCAGGTACACTGTCATGTATCTGGCCCGTCTCAACAGCGTTCTGTAGCAACCGCATGGTAAAAGCTCTCAATGCACTTACAGAGCCACAGTTTATAGAGGCAAGCCGTAGAGGATGAATGAGCCTTCAGTAGAGCACCTCTATTGTAAAATTTCAGATAATATTTTAGCATCGGCTTAGTTTTCACCTTTTTATCAGGATATTTAAGTTACTAGAGGCTGAGCAGAAAAAATCAACATACAAATGACAGGAATTAGCTTATCCAGCTTAAATTATTTCTAGCTATGTAAACATGCACTCTTTAACATTCATGGATGTTTGGATCATGGTTTTTACCAAAACAATGGTTAAGCAAAGAAAAGTTTTTAAGTCCATGCAAGTAGCCTATTGTACAATTTATTTGCTTTCAACAAACGTTGCAGAAAAAAATTCCATTGCTGGTAACCCAAAACACAAGGCATCTTGAATCCATTAAATACCGTACTCACCTTTCTTGATATTTGAAGAAAAAGTAACTTATTAGTCACTTTCCCATCTATAAAATTTGATGGGCTAATTTACTATTTACAGCTTGAGAATCAGTCCTTGACTCAGGAATGACTGTGCATTTGATTGAGAGCAATGGCTAAATAAATAAATAAATAAAAATGCCTTTATTTACGAGCGAGTTTCATGATACATGTTTTTCAAACTAACTCAAGTCACTAAATCTAAACTATCCTAATATATTTACATAAGTATATACAAGAAATGTCAAACAGAATGATTTAAAACATATATTTTACACTTGTTTTTTTCATTGCGGCCCTGAATGAGTTATAAGATTTCGAACCCTTAATCACTTGAGGGAGGCCATTGTACAACTGCGGGCCGAAATAAGAAAAAGACCTTCTTCCAGCCTCAAGCCTAACTTTAGGAAAGTGAAGCCTGAGGTCAAATTCAGTATCAACATTGAATTTGGAATAATCTCTATATGTGATAAGCTTCGACCCCCTTTTGTCTTTCTGACAAGATATACAACAATATATTAGTTTATGATCAGTCATCCTCATTCCTCTGTGGTCAACTATGCTGGGGGTGTCTATGACTCCAACACTTTCAATCTCGGCAGATTTGTCTACTATAATATGGTCAATCAATTTTGCCGAGGTTTCTGTCACTCTTGTAGGCTCGTTGACAATTTGTATAGTGTTGGATTCTCTCATCAGCCTACACAAGTAATTTGTTTCGCAGGTTTGTGACAGAATATCAATATTCGTGTCCCCCAAATAAATGACTGATTTGACTTCGACCGCAAGGTCAATAAAGAGGGAGCGAAACAGATCCGAAAGGAGAGTGTACCTTATGTAGGAAGGCCGATAAACCACACATATACCAAACTTACTCCCTTTGAAACTCACCACCACACAGAGATGCTCAATACCAGGATCGATGAAATCAGGTAGGGGGTAAGGCTGAAAGTCGATGCCGTCTTTCACATACAATGCCACACCCCCTCCTGGGTAACCATTTCCAGCATTGCGATCGCAACGAAGCATTGAATATCCCGGTATAGCATAACTGTCTGTGGGTGTGTTTGGGTGGAGCCAGGTCTCAGTAACCCCTAAAATGTCAAAATTAAAGTCATGAACAAGTGAGCAGAGCTCATCGAATGCTGTGTTTAGAGACCTTATATTGACATGGGCCACTTTGAGATTCCCTTTACCCCCCCTCCCAGTCAGTTTTCCGGGACATGAGAAGCCCTGGATGCCTCTACAATAGTATTGGAGACGCAATCGACACTCTCAGTCCCGGGAACATGACAAGGAGTAGGAGCAGCTCCACGGGAGAGAGCACTCACACAATCCAAAGCTGCAGAAATGTGGTCCACAATCAGAGAACCTAAGCGAGAGGTGCCCCTTCGATTGAAGTGGACTCCGTCCCGGGCTAAGTCACTCCTGCCAACACAACGGTTTGGATCTACAAAAGTGACGCCAAAATTATTACACATAAGATCCAGCTGAGAATTAAAGTCACGTAAAGGTTTAAAAGGAATGTCATGGCGAGATAAAACACTATTAAGACAAACTTCAGCTTTTGGAAACCGTGTCTTGGCAGTATACAGGAGATCTGCCATATGATGCAAACTCTCTCTCTTACCGTGCCCGCCGTTGTAACCCGGACCTCCCCTAAAACCTCTCTTTAAATTATTACAGCCAACATGTAGGTAAATCACAGACAAATCCTTATCTATAAAGCTTAAAAGTTTTCTTTTAACATCTTGGATTCTGTCTCCAGGGCCGCAATGCACTTGAGCACCTCTGTTTGAGGCTTGTTTACCAGCAAACTTTAAATGTGAGTCACCAATGACTAACACTTTTTCAAATTGATTTGTATGGCAATGAACTAAATTACTAACTGTTCTATTTACAAAGACATTAGTGTTACATTCTGGAACTGTGGTTGCATTCTCAGGATCCAAGCTAACTGAGTCACAGACTATGTCACCAGTGACACTGGAATCAATAATTGGAATAGATTTACATTGAGTGTTGTTGGGTTTTTTTGACATATTTCTTTTAGTTTTTCCTTGAATTTGAGATTGCTTTATTATACAATTTTTAGGCGTTTTTAACCAATGACCTGAAGGGTTTCTAAAAACAACACCATCAGACACCTCATTAATATGACTTAAGACAGAGAATTAATTTTTGCAAGAGATTTGATTTGGTGTATTACTTTTTGCTTTGTTTAGTTTACCTTTATGTTTACACAATTTCCACTTTTCCTCACTGTTACCATTATTACTACTAGCTAAGTCTACCTTATTTACACATGTTTGGTCGGCAAGTTGTGTCGCAGTCAGTTCCACACTTGTGTCCACCACCGTGACGTCACTGATGGTCGCAGGTGTCACCTCCTTGCTGATGGTCGTCAAGGCGTCCTCATCTTGCCGTGGGAACATAGGTGTAACAATCTCTGCGCAGAGTTGAGCCAGCAGCAGCCGCGCGTTGACGATCACATGTAGACCACACTCGAAGCCCGCAGTCTGCTGGGCCACACACCCCTCGGTTAGTTGGATGCCGCCACTCAGTCCCAAGTTGTCAAGGAGTATCTGAGCATGCCGTCTGTTGACACCTCCCGAAGAGTCGTAATGAACTGCAGACTGTTTACAAGTGTCCAGCAACAATAAACTCCAATGAGTACCCCCTCGATCACTTAAAGAATTGTTGACACAGAAGAAAACATAACGTTTAATACCGAAATGTAGCTCGGACAGTAGAGTTTGTACTTGGGATTCTTCACCAAGCTTCAAAATTTGAGTCAATGACGCTCCCACTAAGATAACATCACTACGGTGGTTAGACACTTCCGTATTAAGCAAAGAAAAATAAGCAGTCAGTAACTCGTCTGATACCCACTTTGACTTGTCATTTATCGTGGCCTCGAAATTATTGAGCGTCAATGTCACATCAGAGAGTTTAGATTCTAAATTCTTGCATTGCGACACATTTTTGTCTAATAGTTTTTTTAGTCTACTATTTTCAACAATGTACCGTTTGGTTTGGTACACTGCAACCTGTCACAATCCTCAACAAGCCTGTCATGTTCACTTTGTAACTGTCTTAATGTCAAGTTGACATTGGAAGCTTTACTTAAACTATCACTTAAGTTCCGAATTTTATTTTCTAGAGAAAGTCTTTCGTTTACAAGGCAATCATTTGCTACAAGTGACTCGTTTATCTCCAGACGGTGGTTCCGCTTAAACACCTCTAATTGGCAATCTAGTTCCTGCAGTTTAGTCTCTGTACTAAGTAATTTATTATTTGTCTTAGCCAAGTGGCCACACGTAGAATTAAATTCAAAAACAACTTTAGCTGAAGCATTAACCAAGTCTGCATGGCAATTTTGTTCACAATTTGCAACAAACTTTTCTAGTTGAAGACAAAAATTAGAAATTAGAAGTTCGTTTTCATCAGAAAAATGTGTACAGTCAGAGAGAAAACTTTCCATTTTTATTCTCAGATAATAAAAACTTGAATATATACTACTATGTCTAATCACTATGTACACACAAATACCAAGATTATAATTGACGAGATATCCCAGCGCCTTCAAACTCCTAACCTGAGCGCAACGCAGTAGTGTACGTTCGTTGCGTCGAGCAAATTGCAGGAGTCGCCAAAATTACGAGTGGTCGTAGGCCGGCTAGCAGCGCGACGCGACCGGGAGAAGCGATGCGGGAGAAAGTCTCTGCGGCCGGCAACACTGGTCCCGATGCGCGGCGGCGAGTGCGCAGACGTACCAAACACGCTGTCGCACAGTCTTATCAAACCCGAAACTTGAGTTATCAGTTGTCTGGTTATTTACAATTACACACTACGATGTCATTACACAGTAAAATAATAGTTATAAAACAGTCCAAGATCAATAATAACACAAAGTAAAATAGTCCAAAACACATTTTACCACTAAAACATACTTTTAAAAACTCACAAGACGTACAACCCTTCCAATCTGGGCAGATCCATAAACATGTGAGTAGTTTTATGATCGGGCGACTAATTAACTATACGTGACCAAATAAACATTTCCTACAATTTTGGTGCAACACTAACTTTTATGATGCATCAAATGGAACCCTAAGGTCATATCATAGAAAGTAGCTTAAAACAGTAGGCTAAAAACTACTACAGTAGTTAACCTTGATAAGAAGACCCTCGATAACAAGTCACCCTTGATAACAAGTGTCATTTTCAAATCCCCTTGAATTTATTTTACCCCAAATATCATGTTATTGCAAACCTCAATAAGGAGTCAACCTTGATAACAAGTCTCATTTAATAATCCCCTTGAGAGTCTTGTTATCAAGGTTCTACTGTACGTAGTACCATAACAGTTGCAACTATCATAAAAATCCGTAGAGCTGTTTAAACGTAAATTGGAATTAAAAACTGCCTTTCAAGTGTCGTTCACAGTAATGTGCCGTCGAGCATTGAGCACGCAAAAGACAGACTCAATTTCAAATGACATCAGTTTTGGCAGATACGAAAGGCGAAATGAATATCATGCCACTCCAAGCATTTTACAGAGAATAGTTGAATTTTATTCATATATAGGTGTTGTCCTATTTAATACTTTTCCGTTCAAGCTGATCCTGATGCCAAGAATGCAGCTACCAAGTCTGGTGAAGAAGCTAAGCTCACAGCATCGACCTTTCTATTGCTACCTCGTGATGAGCTTATGGCTGTTTCTACTTCTAGTTGGTAATGTCATGCTTATATCTGTATAGCCTAATTCTTAAAACCTTGTGAATCCTGGAGTGTGGACTGATAAATATGTTTGAACATCGGTAACTGTAGAATTAGGCCTAAAAGCTATTATAATGATTGTTGAATAACATTTTGGTTGTCAATAGACCATCTACTTTGGTCTATTGTATTCCAAATTACTTTAGTTTCCATGTTTGTATTTTATATAGTTGTCTGATTGACAAATGAATATGTATCAAACCTCCAAAGTAAAATCATCGTCTACTGTAAAAGCACTAAAAACATTAGTAGGTAGTTAAGGTTAATAAAATTAACTAGTATATTTTTTCAAAAACTAGGAACCTACTTCAAACATATATTAGAGTAGGCAACATTCTAACTTGACGTCATTTTATATCCTACTTGATTGGTGGATGGTGGATCTAAGTTCAAGGTCGGCTTTTAATTCACTGGGTCAAAACATCATCACAAAGCAAATTGCATTAGGAGAATGGCGAGATCTAAGTCTGAACTCAAGCCCTTACAAACTACTGGACCAGCCAATACCTTCTCTGTTTATCATTGAGTACATACTCGTATAAGAGAGGTCAGATAATGCTAATAGTTGTTACCGATTTTGGCAACGTAGTTCGGGCCGCTGACGCTTGGGTCGCTCAATGCCTAGCTTATATGCAATGCTGAGTGTGCTATGCCTTATCGCTGTATGTACAGTAACTAAGGAAGATCGCAGTGATATAGATATGCCAAAGATCTCGGCCTGTGATGATGATCACCACGGTAGCATTACAATAAACTTATATTTTAAAATTAAGGGATTCTAAAGGCTAAAAAAAGAATAACGATAATTTTACGTTGATGTATGACCATCCAAAAAATAACTATCTGAAAACCCCTATATCCCAATTGTTTTGAATAATATACACTCTACTGTAAATTAAATTTTGCATCTTTTCATTGATTCCAGGTGACCAAAAGAGTAACCTATGTTGTTATCAGTTATTAATTAAGTTTTCACTGTTTTCACTTTTCAGTTATGTACAAGTATATGGAGACTCAAGATGTTACATTAACCGTGTTGAAGAATTCCGTCAATGATCAGACTACGAGGAGTTTCCCCAGCAATCCTCACCCTGACATCAAGACACAGAGAGTGTTGCGGATGTGCAATCTGCCACAAGAAATACGGACTGTCAGTGAAGGTAATAGAGTCCACCCTGACTCTTAAAAACAAATATCATACTAAACCAGTTCTCCATTTGAGAGAAATGCAATGGAACCAAATTTCGACACCTCTCTCTCTCTCTCTCTCTCTCTCTCTCTTCCTCTAGAGAAAATATTGATTTAAGTTACCAGCCATTTTTAAGAGAACATTTCATTTCCAAACATTACTGAAGATTCATACTGTTTTACAGTTATTATTTTTTTCCTAAACACATTTGTTTTCAAACAAAGTGAAACTAGAGGTTTAGTAGAGAGCAAAGGAGAGATATTATTTCTCCTGTGTGTTTCTCTGTATTTCAGAGTCTCAACATTTTGCACTGCATGAAACTATTAGCTTTTATGTTTATTTGTTCTTGGTAACTCCTCAGGTATAATAACTCTTGCGTAAACAATAGTTTTTTGTCAAATGCAAGTAAGGGAACAACATTTTTTCAAGCTTGACTAATTAATTTTGTCTCTAAATTATAATGTAATTTTTTGTCCGATATTTTAGTAGGATTATAAGATGTACCCATGTCGCAGGTCAGCTGAAAGAGTCGTATCAGCTGGAAGGAGTGTTGATCCTGTTGAGACACGGAGATCGCGGACCACTGACTCATGTCAGGGACATTGTCAGTATCGACTGTGCAACCAACCCCCATCCCCAGCTGCCTGCCTACGAGACTCTCCTTGACAACATCACGGGAACTCCTCAACTCTCACAGATGCTCGGCCCCTTCCACGGCTTCCCCCTGCTGCCTCCTCGGTCGTGCAATCTGGGTCAGCTAACCTACGTGGGGGTCTCCCAGCTGTTAGCCCTCGGGGAGGCGTTACGAGCCGCATACGCTGACAGACTCAATTTATCCAACGCCACTGTTCCTGATGACATCGTAGTGTACAGCACAAAATACCGCAGAACATTCCAGAGCGCATTGGCTTTCCTCTACACGTTTCTAACACCTGAGCTACTTCGCAACGTCGTCTTCAGAGAAACACCTAGTTTACAGTTTTGTTTTGAGGATTGTGCATGCCCTGCGAGTGAAGTGTACTTGAAAAAATTCAATCATGAAAAGTCCAATCATTTAAACTTGCATCCTGCCGTTTTGAAATTGGTGAATTCCGCTTCGTACATTGTATACGAGGTGTTCGAGAAGAATCTGGCTAGTGACCCTCACTCCTTGAGAGACGCTCTGCTAGCCTACGTTTGTCATGGATCTAGACTGCCGTGTTCGGAGGACAGATCTGTTTGTGTGCACACAGAACAGGTGACGAGTTTACTATCTTACATTGAATGGGAAGCTCGTCAGTTCTCCAGGAGTCCCACGCTCAAACGGGCGTGCATCTTACGAGCTTACGGCATGTTGAGGAATATAGTCTCACATTTGGTGAGGATTATCTCGGAAAAGAAACCGAAGCTTGTGTTATATTCTGGCCATGACAAGACAATACTCTACTTAACAACAGCTCTAGGAATTGCGACAGACACTACATATTTGGCACACTATGCTTCTAGATTCATTATTGAGGTATGTATCTACCATTGCCTGTACCTAGTAATCTGTAACCTATTTTATTATTCAGAATAATCAGAAGCTTGCTGGTTCAATCGTGAAAAAAGTCTGGCTTTTTGATGAATCAAAACAGGGCTTAGTTGTCACTAATCAGTTGGCCTATAGATAAACAATGATCCTGCTTAAAAATAGCTGATAAATTATCAAAGCTACACAGATCGTCCACTCCATCCTACATGCACATTCAGCTTAAAATATTCACTCAGTGTGTGTCCTTGTCTTAAACGATTTTTGTTAATGTAATTAATGTTGTCAACTTGTTTAACAACGGTTTTTACAGGGTTATTTAAAATGATTGGTGCAAAACTAAACGGTTAATACATCTGTTTCCTTGATTTCAAATAGCTGATTGTTACACCAATGGAAAGGGTGTGTTTATAAGTTTGTTTTTGACAAGGTTATGTTTTGTCTCAGTTGCTTTGTTGAGTACCATGAAGCCTGTTAACAAAATCAAAGAATATCGACAAGAATCGAAGCTGTCATGACAAATATGTGTGCGTTTTGGTTGTCAGTTAGCTTACAGGCCTATGCTTGTAATAACTGCAGTTTGTACGAATTTGTTTCAAACGCTTGTGTAAAATTGTGGACTGTGGTATGTGAAGTTCCCTCCCAGGTTTGACTGAGAAGGTTTTTGGTCACTGCGCAAACTTAGCTTCGATTCTCTCCACAGCGTCTGGCGGAGTCTGAGGGTGGCCCAAACTGTTCCCGACAAATGAACATGGCTTCATACAACGAGCTATGCAGTTCCGATGAGGAGCCTCCTATCTAAATTTGGTCTGAAGGTTCCGCTGTACATTAACAATAACATTAGCACGAGCAAATTCTAATACATAAAATGCTTTTTAGCGAATTTCCCCTATAGAGAATAAGCTATTACCGTAGTACTCATGGTAAGACCTGGACCCGGGACCGATTTACTTTTTCGTTTTGAGGTCCCTAGAGACCAAAAACACCCTCCGTTCAAATTCATATATATATATATATGTCCGTTAGCGCGATAACTCGAGCAAAAATCATCCGATTTTGATTAAATTTGGTACAAACATGTAAACCTAGGTTTATTCAAATGAGTTCGCGAACCAGCATGATCGGACTATGGGAACAGGGGCTTATGGGGGTTTTATGGGGCAAAAATTGGTTTTTCCCATTTTTGACCCTAAAAACTTAAAATTTTGGAATTTCTTTCTAAACCATTTTGTAGAGCTTAAAAAAACAAATAATTTAGTATATTGAAGCGTTATTAATACATAGCGCCTAATGGTTACAAATACAATTCCAAAAAACTGTAAATTTAAAATTCCCACGTTATTCTTATGGAGAATAAGTAAACTCGTAATAAGTAGTTTGCTCGTTTATTATCATATTTTGATCAAATTTGGAAAATGCATTTATTTCATACTAAACTATTAACATTTTACAAAAAAACACCTTTTTACCCTCCCTGTTGCAGCAAACCTAAGTACTTGTTAAACTAATGTTATTTAAATATGGAATAAATGTGATATTTTTAAGAAGACATTTTAGTGTAAATCCAATAAGGCAAATGGAAATTCGCTTAGTTTGCAGGTTTGCTGCGGCGGGGGTATTATTATTTTGTAGTAGCCATAGCCATTATTTGTTAGCAGGCTTCGTTGTACTCAACTGAGACAAAACATAACCGTCAAAACAAACATATGAACATGCCCTTTCTGTTGGTTTGATAATCAGCTGTTTGAAATAACAGAAACGGACGTACCAACCGTTAAGTTTTTGCACAGTTCTTTTTAAATAACCCTGTATATATTCAGCATTATTGGATCTTAACTGTACGATTTTGTTTGATATGTTGCTCTGAATTGCAGGTCTACAGGAATACCAACAAAGCCACAGCTGATCTAAGTGGAGAATACTACTTCAGACTTCTCTTCAATGGCAAAGATTTCACCAATAAAGTGCAGTTCTGCAAAGGCACAGTTATTGTGCAATCTTCCTCCAGTAAAGGAAATTCTCAGACTCTATTTTTGTGTCCTATTCATACCATTATTCAGTTTTTACATAACGACTACTTCGCTCTCTTTAACGCTTCAAACTTTAAGGACGCTTGCACTGTACATACTAAGTAGATTTTCGATAGCCATAAAACTCGCATTGCCTCTTTAGACTAGACTAACCAATTTCAGCGTCTTCAAATATTAATGTATTCAATTTAAGGACTGACTTACTTTTCTTGGTAATTTTTTGTGGCTTAGAAATAGTTAAGGTTTCTTCTTGCTGTGACTAGGAATTGAACCAACTTCAATTATCTAGTAAGTTTCTTTGTAGTTAGCTGTGGTTTTATTTTAACGTAGAAAATTAAGTTGATGTCTGTTGTACCTGATTTTTTAAACTTAGATGTGCAATTTTATACTTGATGAATTTCTGTATGAGATATTGTGATAATTATGCTAAGATTTACTTTAATAGCTTTAAAATATTTTAAATATTATGGTTAGGTGAGAAATTGCAGATAGATGCAGAACAGTCCCACAAACTCAACGCAATATCAATATGTGGTCCACAAGGGTGTGCAGTTTGAGAAATGGGGGTGTAATAGGGATCAAATATTGTGAATATTGGATTAATGTTGTGTAAGTAGGCTGAATGTTTTGTTAAACTATAAATTGTTGTGCTGACCTACAGAAGGCTTTAAGGCCATGTCACACCGACATCCGCCGCTCCCGCCACGGGAGTACCGCGCGCGGATGTTTTTCCTCGAGCCATGTCACACCAAAAGTTCGCGTCCGCGGCGGGAGTTTTGAGATGAGTTCATTACAATTCGTTTTACATAAGAATCTCATCTTACCTGTTTAGTATGCCATGTAAATTTGCAGGTTTTAAGTAAAGTGTTTAAGAAGCAATTGAATGGTTATTAATTTGTTAGTGTAGGGCTACTTTAAAAAGTGAATAATTATTTTTTTTAATTAATTTAGACCTTGTGTTCGAAGCATTTTTAATAAGGTTGAGGATAAATTATCCACTTTCAGCATTTTGAACGATATTTTTCGCTACACTACAAAGACTATTTACTTTTTAAATAAAAACATATGACCATTTTAAAACTAATGTAATTTTTTGCTAAGCCTTCTATTGAAAGTTCAAGTTTACATTGATTGTAGAGTTTTGGTTGTTGCGAATCGAAAAAGTTGATGAAACAACAACAAAAAGTTGTTTACATCGGCAATATAAAAATGTTCATGGGAAACATAAAATTTTCACTGTAAACGTTATTTTTGCATGGTAAACAAAAATGATTTTTTTCTGGTGATAAAAATAATTACGAAGATAATACAAAATACCCCCGCCGCAGCAAACCTGCCGTCTAAGCGAATTTCCATTTGGCTGAATTGATTTTCAATTGATCTATTTAAATAACATTAGGTTTAACGAGTACCTAGGTTTGCTGCTACAAGGAAACTAATAAAGTAGTGTGTTTTTTGGTAAAATATTGATAGCATACTATAAAATAAATAAATTTGCCAAGTTTGATCAAAATATATCCATAAACAAGCAAACTACAACATTTTACAATATTCTCCATAAGAATAACATGGGCATTTTAAATTTACCATTTTTTTAGTTTTCTCCGTAACCAATAACCGTACAAAAACACTTTGATATACTGAACTGTTTGTTTTTTTAAGCTCTTTAAGAAGGTTTAGAGAAAAATTGGGAAATTTTGTGTTTTGAGGGTCAAAAGTGAGAAAAACCAATTTTTACCCCATAAAACCCCCCATAAAACCCTGTTGCCATGGTCCGATCATGCTGGATCGCAAACTCATTCAAGTTTATCCCGCCTTACACCTTCAAACCAAATTTCATCAAAATCCGATAAAAATTACTCAAGTTATCGTGTTCACGGACACATATATATATATATTCTAATATATAAAATTCTCGTGTCACAGTGTTTGTCTGCAAACTCCTCCGGAACGACTTCACCGATCGTTATGAAATTTGGTGTGTAAATTCTGTAGGTATGCGAATAGGAAGTAAACTATTTCCCGTTTCGAAATTCTTAAAAGGGCTCCGCCCCAGTGGCTCTGGAGTTTCCCATGTTAACCTTATGAGAAATGGAATTAATGAACCTTAACAGCTGTTTCAATTAAATAGCATTAGAGTTACAAGGATTACCAACAGGGTGCAGCACTATTATTTCTTTTACATTTATGACAACAGCTAATTTGCAACCAAAAGGTGAGTGAGCGTAGCGAACGAACTTCAACCTGGAGGCGAGTGAGCGTAGCGAACGAGCTAACCTGAAGGCAAGTGAGCGCAGCGAACGAGCTCCAACCTAAAGGTGAGTGAGCGTAGCGAACGAGCTCCAACCCAAAGGTGAGTGAGCGTAGCGAACGAACTTCAACCAGGACGTGATTGAGCGATGCGAACGAGATCATCTTGAAAATTAAACGTAACGGTACTTTCTTTCCATCGGTCTGTCTTAGGGAAAACCTATAAATTAGGCAATACGAAGTTCGCTGGGTCAGCTAGTATATATATATATATATATATACATATATAAAAATTTGAACGAATGGTGTTTTTGGCCTCTGGGGACATCAAAATGAAAAAGTAAATCGGTCCCGTGCCTAAGTCTTACCATGAGACCTACGGTAATAGCTACTTCCCTATAGGGAAATTCGCTAAAAACATATACTACATCATCAAACAAAAGAAACGTGTTAAATTTAATTTAAAACTGTATTAAACTGTACTACTTTTAAACTTTAAATAGCTTAAGCATTCGAAATGCCCCTTTGCGCATGCGCTAGACAAAACTCCCGCCGCGGTAGTCTAAAAAAATCGCTCAGCAGGCGGACGTGGCGGACACTACCGCACGCCCGCGGGCGCGCGGTAGTGCGGTGTGACTTGGCACATTTGATAACACGGTGAGCGATTTTTCAAAATTCGCTCCCGCCGCGGGAGCGAGCTCGGTGTGACTTGGCCTTTAAGTAGGCCAATGCACTTGATCAAGTGGTCAGTTTTGTGTGTAGTGAATTGTAATGTACTGAGTACTGAGGACAGGGTCCTGCTGAGGGGAGCTGGAGCATAAGGCCTTTGGCCTGGGGTCTTTAAGGTTTTTCAAAATGTTGATTTTAAGTCTTTTTCTAAATTAGGGTTTCTGTTTTACACTTAATTATTATCACTGTTCCAGCCTAATCCACGGTTTTGATTGTTACTAAATTGAATTACGGCCATTTCAGCATCACTGTGTCATCCATCATCAGACTGTTCAGCCAAAAGGCGTCGTTAGAACACAAAAACATTTTTACACGAAACACACATAGTCAAAACAGGGTTTTAAAAAACATACATTTGACAGCTACTTGCTCGATTGCGGAAATGTACGTTCCTCAACAGGCCTGTTTTTTAAAACCCCGTTTTTACTATGTGTGTTTTTCGTGTAAAAATGTTTTTGTGTTCTAACGACGCCTTTTGGCTGAACAGTCTGATGATGGCACAGTGATGCTGAAACGGCCGTAACATTGGCAATAATACAGGGGCTGGCTGACAAAGGTAATATTTGAATTTCTGAATTTAGTTATAGAACCAGCTCAGGGGCTAGAAAATATGGATTATAATTTGATTGTTACTCATATTAGTGTTCTTTGTATGTTTTGTGGTCCGATAATATAGTTGGGTTTTGTAAGCGAGTGCTGAGTCTTTTATTCCTGAGCTACATCACCCAAAGTAGCAGTGGGTTAATCTACAGTTAGCTGGGATTACCTACCGTTGAAGGGGGGAATCAGGAAAAAAGGACCAAAAATTAAAACAATTAATGAATGTTCCTTTTATTTCCTCAAAACAGGACTATATTCACATCAGACCATTGGAGTACATAGGTACATTAAACTTGATAAGGAAAGCGCATGACTTAGGCCTACCTTTTTTCTAACTATGATTATGGTGTTGACCAACAGATTAACCGGCTAGGCTTAACAATTAAACTAAATAAAATAAAATAATTATTGGCCTTGTTGAACTTGTAAATTTAATTATACATTTCATTACTTAAACTAATGCTTTGGTTGTCATGTATGCGTAACTAAAATGTGTTAATCTTAATGATCGTAAGTATCCCTAGCCCCTAGGTTCAATTTGTGCAACTATTGAATCAACCGAGCTCTGTAATTCAGAGTCAGGGTTGTAAATAACTCCAGCATAGGGATCTTGTAAATTAAGTGAAAGTTATTTATATGTTGGCCTAGAAATCCGTACTGATGGTTTATTTTTAAGGTGCAGAGTTTGTGGGATTAAATGTAATGTATATAATCACTTGTTTAGTTTTAATCTTCATATTTAAATATGGTGTTCATGTAAGATAGTTTGACGAGACTTTTTTTTACACAAATTACTTTTATACATTACGTTTGAATATGAATTTATTGTTGAGATAATTGTTTTCATGTTTTAGATAGATTTAAGAATTGTAATGTAAAACTTTTTTTGTTCGATAGACATATATTGGTTTCGAATTAGCAAATATTAGTAATTTTATCTTATCTAATCAACCAGTTGAGACATTTTATAGCTTTACCTAATAGTATCTTGGAAAGATATCTTGTTTGGATCATTATTTTAAAATATAATACTTATTTTTGTAATAAAAATACAGTATTATGTATGTGAGAGGTTAAACTACTAATATTTTAGGTCATTCTTGGTAAAATATAAATGTTTGAAAAACTTCCTATTCACTGTAAAAGAAAGCATTGTTTAGTCATAAATTATACATGGATTGTAGACCATGTTTGTGATTTCAGTTTAGCTCCTCTTATGGTTTACTGAAACTTTTCAGTAGCCTACTCTAATCAAGGCGTACAGCATGTAAAAGTGGCGATTTCTTTACTGGCTTTCAAGTGGTGCAAAAAATGAACCATGTAACCTCAATTGGCGTTTCATTTGCAGTGTAGTGTGTTGCACGTCAAATTATGGCAGATTAATTTAGAGTGAGACAGGACAGTGCATCACACAATAAGGAAAAATCAAAACCTAACTAAATTCATGGGAAAATTGGTTTTGAAGGCTTGAAATGCAACAATATTTCGCTACCATTCGCTATACAATCCTGTTTGTATGTCACAGAACAACTTTGTAATACACATTGATATATCCAACTGATGTGTGCGAAAATTGTGACGGTACCAACTGCTGCAGCAATGGATGCCTCGTCTATTTGCTAATGTAAACCTATCCTTATACCCAAAAAAATAAATTGCAGCTCTAATTTTTAAGTTTATGCATTGTTAACACGTTTGCTACTGCAATAGTATGAAATATTGATAAAAAAGAATGATAATGTGTATTTAAAAAAAAAATATAAATCACTTTAAAAAAACAATATGTGTCCCATTGTCTTAAGGTGGCTCCAGACATGCGCCATTTGCCAAGCACCGAGCAGCGACTCGCTGGATCTCGAGTAGTGTTAATAGGTGTTTGTCAAGCAGCAAACATTGGTATTTGTGTTTTCCAGTTCATTGGTCCGTATTTTTTACACATCAAAGTAAAGAAATATTTGCTATCCCCAAAACAAACAAAAAACGAACAGTTGCTTGTAAAACAACACATGTGTAGTATAGATGTCTACTTATTAATCGGCAAACAGCATGACAACTAGATTACCGAACGTAAAATATTTCGTGCTTGGCAACTAACCATGTCTGGAGCCGCCTTTAAGTTAAGAATTTCAGGCATAGGGATTTTGTAATAAGTCTTGTTAAATCAACCATTAGGCCTAGATTATGTTATTGTACTGTTTTTGGAAATAGTCACTCTTTTGTGGAGAGATACAACTTAATTTTATGTGAAATATTATCTTTTAGATTTTCTTATAAATATTTTTAAATGTTTAATTTATTGGAGGGAATAACAACTCATCATATCAGCTGTGCATTTTGTGATATTTTCTTAGTAAATATAATTCACAGTTGATAATTTTTATCACAACTTTTTTTGTGTCCTAGTTTTCCAGTGCGTTGTGAATTCTACAGACAGGGAAACGGCAATTACAGTACCATCGTTTTTGTGGTATAGATTTGGTCCAAGAGAAGGAAATGTACTTTTGTTTAAGAGTCCCAAGAAACAAAAAAAAAACGTTAATTCAAAATGTTTATGTTGTTGATGCACAAATTTTCAGAAATGCCATTTTCATGAGGTTTTTAACCAACATGTCTACTGGTACTGACAATCTTACCTTTAACCAATTTTGGGTAGATAAAACCATAGACAAATAGAATAAATATAGACCGTCAGCTGTGCTGCGGTTAGCATAAGTTCTGGCGTCCACCGCTAGGTTTGCCAAGTACTGTAGTTCCGGCGCACACCGGTGCAGTGTCTGCTGGTCGCATACGGCTCCTGCGCTCCTCGCCTACAGCAGTGTGCGCTGTAACTACACGGCACTCCTAGCGGTAGGTGCCGGAACCTTTCTTCCTTTTCAGTCTATATTTATTCTATTTGTCTATGATAAAACCCCCAACAAATTTAAATGTTTTACAGTTTAATAAAGTATTTTTATATTTTAGTGCAGGCTTTTAACATGAAAATAAATACATTTGTATTTAACTTTTGTTAATATGATTTCACTAAAACTGGAATGTGCCTAATATGGAGATTTGCTGCAATGAGGGTATTTTATTGAGTATCGTACTCTCTTATTCTTTAACCAAACCTACATTTTTAACTATGTTTTGCTCTGGGTGATCATGGCTTTGGAGGTACATCCTCTGTCAACATCTTTAAGGCCTTAGAGATTGTTTAATTTAAGCCTTGTTTACAGTTTACTCGCTCCAATTTATTTGCACAAATCATCGTAACGTGTAAAAGGCAGATTTATGGAAACGATAAGATTCGAGTGAGTGGAAAATTTTAATCAACCTTGCAATCAGATTGGAAGGTTTGAGCAATGGTTGGAAAATATTAACGGATGTTCATGCCATTTTGCTCAAACCTAGGTCTTATAGTCATCTCCCACTGTCAGTAAGTTTCAGTATGTTGCATCATGGCTGAACCTTGTGAATTTTTCAATGATTTAATTGAACTAACTTATACCGTAGTTTTCCTTGCCTGTGGCACATTAAAAGTAAGCACTACTCTGATCGCATCATAAAGAAGTGGAACCCACCGCCAATCATGAAAGTATGGCTAAAAAAATTAACTCTTTATTCAGTTTGAGTATTTCCCTTAGTTCTAGGCCTAAGTTTTATTTAGTTTATGCCTTAATTATTTTTAACTATTGTCACTAAAAAACAGCATCAGCATTTACAGACCATAACAGCAACTCCTTAGCGATCACAACAGGACTGGCGTGCTAATCGAAAGAAGGTTTGAGTTAAATATCTTAGCGTTTCTAAACGGTCATGCCTATTCAAACCTGGTTTGAACAAATATTGGAACGTGTAAACACGTCTTCATCCTATAAGAATCCACCTATCTTATCTTGTTAATTTCCAACCAAGTTCACAGTTTATTATAGGTTGTACTCTGCCACAGAGACTTGAAATCTGTTTGATTGAGTTAAATAGGATATAGTTGATAGTGAAGGATTCGTTTTGCTATTAATAACTTCCAACTTAAGATATTTGAGTTGAAATGCTTGATATACTGAAATGCTAATTCTTAGAATAAAAGTTTCCGCTACATGCGCGATCTCTTTATAATTTAACATTTATAAAATATTTGTATAGGCCTACATGTATAAACAGATTTTGTCCAGCCAGAGCCAGTAACCAAACTTTACTTATTATTATCATCATATGGGGACACCACCTATGCTTTGATACTTTTCAATGAAATGGTGACCATACAAAGTAGGTATTTTAAGCCAAGTATGAATGGAGATGAGTGTTGACCCATATATGAGGGAAGGATATGGTGATAAAACAAGGGCACCCATAGGAATTTCTCACATGAGGTAAAGAGAGGTATATTGAGGTAGGCCTATAGTTTAATCATAATACATTTATTCAATTACAACTTTATACCACACATAATATAAATCGGAAAAGACAAGAAACAATTTAATTTTGTTTTAAAAACACAAGAAATTGTTAACAATTTTGTACTTAAAATGTAGCTAAGAATAACTCTCCAACAAAAAATTTTTGTTACCAGTAATGAGAATCAAAACACAAAAATAATATTAATTCCTTTTTATATGGTAGGTACCATGTACCACCTATACAATAAGCAAAAAATTAGTGAAGATAACGGAAGATAAAACCCAAAAAATTATAGCTAGGCTATTCTTGTAAAACACATCTTTTTTAGGTAACAAAGACTAACAAAAAACACACAAAAAAGTGCACTTGCACATTACAAAAAGTAAAAATTAATACAAACCAATGAAACCATTAAATCTGAAAATAGTATGCCTACATTGTGTGGGCGAGGGTTTTTAAACCTAAAATATCAACTAAACACCTTTAAAAAAATTATCTTCACATACACAACAAAAACTGTTAGGCCTATTCATAAAACAAAAATAATCTAGTAAAGAAAAATGTTTTGAACAAAACCTGTAAATAGGTGTTAGGACAAATTAATCTAACATCTATCTAGAAAACATTTCTCCATTAGCCTACAACTTCAAAGTAGTAAATAGTTTGTTTACTGATACATAAAACGATATAGGGCCTAATCCAACACAGTCCATCCTCATTAAAAATTTTAAGCTACCCTTAGTTAATTTGCTTGTTTGTATCGAAGATTATCATCATGTTAAGTTCACACGATCACTTATCCTACATCTGTAGCCTATAACTACATCTTCTTAAAACTTTATTTTAGGCTATGCTCTTGAGCAAAAATACGACTATAGGTATCCTTATCTTAAACTGACATAAATTTTATGGTGAGGTGAATGACAAAATGTTAACAAATTGCTCGTTTCTTTCCTCGTTTATTTTTTAGGGATTCATTAATTTTTTTATTCATTTCTTGAATTTGTAGCCAATTTTCTCCGAACATTACCTGGTGGAGACCGTCTACCAAACTTGTAATTTCTCGGCTTCGTGCGTAACCTGCATGAAATCCAGCAAGGTAAGCTGCTTTCTGTTTGCCGTGTTCCTCAGCAACTTTGATGGTCAAGCGATCACAACCACCCTCAGGAATCTGTCCGTCCAAGTGTTTGATAGCTTCCTGGGCTTCCTCTCTTCGGCTGTATCTAACAAAGGCGACTCCTCGAGGCAAACCAGTGATTTTATCAAACAAAAGATTCTTTTGTACAATTGATCCATATTTACTGAAGAGTGCTTCCAGGTCTGCATCGGTATAGTGTCTTGGAAGGTTCATGATATACAGGTTTGTATCCTTGATTTCATTATTAGAAGGTCTCGCATGAGAAACTTTAATTCTCTTATTAAATATCTCTGTACCATTAAGTTGCTTAATAGCCTGTTCAGCATCTTCTGGTTTTGTGTAGTTTACGAATCCATATCCAAAACTGTAGCCAGTCTTGAAATCTTTCATGACCCTACAACTTTTGACTGGTCCAATGCTTGAAAACATTCTGTACAAATCTCGATCACTAAACGTTTGGGGCAAATAATTCACGATTAAATTAGAATTAGTACGACCATTTTGGGCTGCCATTATAATTGATTGCTAATACAATGCTATAATCTATAATGAGCAATGTTTATTTTTTTGTGGCAAGATGTACGTGGATTGTTTGTTAAGACAGACAATTTTGAGTTGTGTGCAATATTTTATGACATACCTTACAGTACAAGCTAGAAATTGATGAAGAGGGGAGCTAGCTTCATTATGCTCAAGTCTCAGTTTCTAAAGCCTCTTAAGCTAAGCACTAAGCAGAGAAATGTTCAAATACAGTAGACTATTGTTTTCTTACTACAAACAAACAAACGAGACTAATAATTATACATGTTCAAACCTGACCGGACTCTGACTGGCGAAACTGACACTTGAACTTTTTGAACTTGATGACCGAGACCGACACTCCACTCCACTCCCTTGAAACGGCCCAAACACAACCAAACCAACGGTGATTTTTTTTTCTGCACAGACAGACTTATAACTAACTTTTTGCTCCGTTGATTTAAAACAAAGTGAAGACTGAAGACTAAACGGGGTATTGCAGCTCAGTCACAACATTTTATATTTCATCAACTCGAAACCCTTTCTATTTAGCCACTCCCCTTATTATTTTCTTTGCCCTTTCAGAGATCAAATCACCACCCTCATCCAAGGTTAACATCCTCACTAAAAGATCTGCCTTATAAGTAGAAACGAGGTGGGAAATTAAATGCCAACTTCCGATCTCTTGAATAGCGTTTGTCAGCAAATGCGTCTTAATTAACCCTCGGATTAAGGCTGAAGAGCATAGAACAGCCGCATTCTGACGGGTTTTCATCTCCCTGGACTGAAATATCACAAAAAATAGTCCGGCAGAATTGACCCGAACCTGCTGGTTTTGTCCTATTAAGTTTTTTTTTATTGTTGATATATGTGATATCTAGGGTAAGTAGAACCTAAAACCACCGGGTACTTTTTTGGTACCCTTGGGCAACAGCCGCCATATTGGAAAATGGCGGGAAACATAAATTTCAGTGTAAGCTTTTACTTAAACCAATGTAATTAAAAAACTATTTAAGGTAGAGCAATGCATGTTATTTTAAAATGTTTATGGTTAAATTCCCAACTCAGAAATACCATAAATAATTTGTTTCAAGGTCGGTATTACTTTTCAAAGTTTATAATTTATAAAAAAATAATAACATATAAATTTTTATTTCAATTTTGCGCCTTAATTACTCAAAATATGACTATAATATAAATTATAAAGATTGTTGAGCTTTAAATTTTGTATGGAATACATCTATGGGATGTTTTGTTGGATCAAGAGTAACGCCAGAACAAAGCGTTAGAAAATAACTTTTTAATTGTTTTTAATTAAAAATAAGGATATTTTATATGTTCAATAACATTGTAACATCTTTCCTGAGACCATCCGGCACTTCTCTCTGGCTGTTTTTGGTATTAAAATGTTTGTAAAATTACCAAATTTAATTTGAACTGTTAACTATTTATATTTAAGGACTTTAAGGCCAATCTATTCATCTTCACTCCAAAGAAACAATATTTTTTCAAAAATAAAAGTTTAAATTTTGACCAACCCATTGAGTTATTATTATTATATGTTGTATGTATTGCAAAAAAAAAACACTTAGTAAACAATTGACATCCATTTGACATGTAGATCACTGAAATCGAACGAGTCGGAGGTGAATTACAATACTTCAACCAACAAAGATTTTAATGGTTGTATAATTTCCTTTGAAAAAAAGATTGTTACCTCGAGTACTGATTATGGGATGTTATATTTTTTGAAAATAAAATACTCAGCAAACTACTGAAAAATGAACAGCTGTTTCATTAAAAAGTATTATTCACATGGCCAAAATGTAATTAACAACTCTATAAAGGGATCTTTAAAGGCTTCTGGGGCAGAGTCCTGAGGGATTTTGATTAGTTTTTCTTTTGATAACTCATCTACAGACCAAGATCTTTCTTTGGACACCTCTACCAAGTTTCTACGCCCAGCCGTTCTCTCAAATAAGTGGGGACAATTAAATATTTGGATTCCCCCATGTTAATCTTATGGGAGAAACTCCAACTTGATGGCCTGTGGGGCATTGCCCGAGGATTTTTATTACAGGAATTAGTGAAAGGGGGCGTCTACACAAAAAATACCTTATTTTCACACGTCGTTTGTAAAAATCGGTCCATTATACATATTCTAATTCTAAATCATTGCTGAGCTAACTTGCTTACAATTTTGAAACATTGTAGGTAGGAGCACATTTAAAGTTAACTAAGGGTCTGATGGGTACATTCTTCTTGTGTATTTTTGGGATCCCTTTCATCACGGGCACCTAAGAATTTAGGATGTTCATCTTTTGTCGGTATTCTTTGGGAATCACTCTGGTGCATCTCTTCACGACGTCGGACAGCTCTTTTTGGTACCTCTGCGTTGGATCCTTTTTCAGCTCTTTGAAGTTATTTTCTTTGATGAAATCTTCCGTCTTCTTTCCATATTCTTATTTTCCGAGCACTACGATAGCGTTGCTTTTGTCTGCTTTCACAACGATTGAGCTATTCTCTTCCATTTTCTTCTTTATTTTGTTGCACGTCTTAAGTTCTTCATTTCTGCTGGGATCTATGGGTCCTTGGCTGGTGAAATCGTTGGCAGTCACTTCCTTCCGAACGGCATAATGGTCTACGTCTCTGAGTGATTTTACATTTTTTTCAACTCCAGTAACTAGTAGTTCGTTTTCGTCCTTCTTCTTAATTGCGAAATTGTACTTCATTCCGTAGTTCAGTATTTTCGTTATTTCTTCACTGAATTGAATGTCTGTAAGTTTAATGACTCTCTTCTGGAATTTGTGTTCTGTACTGGTCCTATCCAAGTCTTCATTAGGTATATTCTTCTCTACGAGTTTGTCTAATTTGTCGTTTATCCGTAAATATTTCCGGTCCATGGCGTTTTTTAAGTTTTTTTTAGTGTGGCCTTGATTATAGCTTTACAGTATAATGTACACTATATCAATGTGTCTCTTTTTTGTTGTCATTTTAGCGAAGAACTCAAGCAGGCTGTGCTCAGCTGACCGGTAACTTTTCAGCTGACAGCTAACACATGCGTATGCGTCTGTTGTCGTCTGTCAGTGTCTTGCGTGAACTTTTCTTCAGCTTGAGAGAAACTTCTGATTCATTACGTGAGATAGTCATTTGGGAAGTGAAGCGTCGTGGGTGCTAAATTTAACTGAAAGTCTATAACTTATAGGAGCTGTTTTGTTTTATTTTAGATCGTTATTTTGTTTTCTGTCATGTTAACATTTTAAATACGGGACCAGTCTCCTCACATACTATTTAACCGACAGACAACACCTATCGTCTACCTAGATCAATCAAATCGATGGTGATAGACTAGTGGACACTAAAATATTTATACCTCATTTATTGATCATGCATTGTGGCAAACTTTGAACTAAAGCCTTCACTGCACCTTTTTAGTAGACCCCCTTAAGCTGTACTTATTATGTGTTTTTTAAATAATTTAATAGTCGTTATTGTACCTCGATGTTTGTTTTTAAACACAAGAACTATATGTACAACTATTTTGGTGTGCCTTTTCCTAAATCAGGTAAGTGATATCGCCTACGCTACCTTTCACTCATTGCAGGCCAATTAATTCTCTTTGATAAATTTTGACTTGCCTTCTATTAACCTACATTGCGATTGTAAGGTCTACTTAGGTTATTTTACTGATTTCAAATGGACCTACTTTTGCTTATAACTTACCTACCGAAGGTGGTCTTTGCTTCTACTTTTAAGTATCAGGTTCATTTTGGAATGTATGAATCATAGGAGGGGTGGGTGATCAAACTTAACTTACCAGATACTGTAAGGGCCAAATTCGACGTTGTAGGCGTTTGGTGTTTTAACCATTTCTCACTTGTTGACACACATTTGAAGCCTTACAAATTAAGAACATTTTTTATTTATGAAGGCCTACCAAGTTATCCAATATTGTTAAGTTAGAAGAGTTTATTGCATTACTGTTTAGATTATTATTGGTGAAAACCTACAACAGGCCTAAGTTAGTCTCCCGGCACACTTGCAACACATATAAGTTTGGACCGCTTTTCCTTATTAACCCTCGAGCGGGCGCTTGCGGAGTTTATCTCCGCACTTGTAGTTTTTGTTAATATAAATATACATAATTGGTGTCGGCAGTCGTGTCCGGCTCTACACTTCACGCACCTCATCCTGGGGATGCCCCAAAGCTATTTTTACCCCCGAATTCCTCCTCATTTTGTTGTCAGTTGCAATTCAGTGACGCGGTGTCAGTTTGCGGAGGTTTACTCCTTGCCTTATCGCATAAGTCCTTAGCGTAGAGTTTATTTCCTCATGCGCTATTGTCAAACTGCGTGTATATTTTATATACGGTATACAAAATTATAAAAAACATGTTTAAATGCATTATTTCATTTATAATTAAGTTATTATCAAATATATTTTGTTTGCGTGTATTGTATAATTGTATTAGGCCTATTGCGGAACAAAACTTTGCACGCGCCCTCTCTCGTAACATACCTTATTCTAGAAAATTGCTGAATATTATTATTTGAAATATTACTCATATAAAGTTAAACAAATAATGTTAATAACAAAGAAATTAGGTTTCTGATTAGGTTATTCAACATTTACATATGATATTTCTTTATAACAACAAGTTAAATGGGTAAAATTCATGCTAATTAGTGTTGCGGAATAAAACTCCGCATGCGGATGCGCCCTCACCTGTTTTACTGGTGAAGCGTCTCCTCGAGGGTTAGGCCTAAGTGTTATTTGATTACAATGTATATTGAATCTATATTGTGTAGGCCTATCTAATAGGCCTACACTAATGTACCTAATACGGTAGGCCTACACTTGATTTTCTGATTTTCCGAGTTTATTTGGATAAGTTATCTAGGATAAATGACAATGATTTTTGAATTCCGGACGTATTTTGCAATATAATTTGAGGAAAAAATACAATTTTATCATGATGTCTGACATCAATATAATTAGGCTACCAGCTCCTTTAACAAGCTTAATAGACCTTTAAATGGCCTACTAAGTTAAATATTTATAGTTTTTTTATAGCCCTAGTCTTGCAGAATTTTTATTTGCTGCTGAATTTAAATAAAAAAATAGCCTAGTGATTTATCCTCAGCCTAAATGCAAATGTAACTCCAGGTGATATTTTTATGTTCTGCTCCATCGGATTTACAAATAAAGTAACTTGTCAAACTATAAACTCTATCTATAGCCTATTTTCAATTGAATCATTCTATGACTTATTCTCTTGACCATTGTAACCTAATGTAACCTAATCCAACCTAACCACATGGTTAAATAGTATGATTCAAATTATCATTAAAGTTAACATTTGTGTTGTGCTTATTTGTTAAAGCATCAAATTTGATTGAAAGGTTAGGTAACAGTCCAACTGTAAATATTGTTAAGATTGATTTGAAAAAATCTATTAAATTTTACATTGGCTAACAAACAATTTAGCTGCATAACCAAGCTAACAAACGGTTTAGCTGCTTAGGCTATCCAAGTTCTGCCCTAAGGTAGTTTAAGTTGATCAAACCCAGAGGGGAGGTAATTGCCCGGTGTTTGAACTGGCACTTCAGGTAGGCCACATTTATGGACGACTGGTAAGCGCCAGCCCCTTAGGGCCTCCAGTGACATTCCCTCCATTCAGGGTGGTGGGGTGTTTAGCTCTCAGTGACGCCGTTAATTCCGCCTCTCCTCACCTACCTGTAACTGTGGTTGTGACTTGAGTTCTTCGGGCTCGTCCTACCTGTTGTGTACGACTGACATTTTGCGAGGCATATCCTCGGCTCTGGAAGTAGCCTCGTCCTGGGAGGTGAAAAACCTAGCCCCCAAAGGGGAGGTAACTGCTCGGTGTTGGTATCGGCTTTTCAAGTACGCCATAGTCATGGACGTCTGGTAAGCGCCAGCCCCTTAGGGGGAGCCTCCAGTGACATTCTTCCATCCAGGTTGGTTGGGTGTTTAGCTCTCGGAGAGGTGGAAGTGCGCCATCAATCTCCCATCTACCTGTGACTATGGTTCTTTGGGCTTCGGCCTGCTTGTTCTGTGCGACCAGCATTCTGTGTGGCATATCCTCGACTTTGGAAGTAGCCTTTCCTGGGGGTGAAATCGGGCAAGTACCCGTAAGCTCACGGGGACACTCTAGGGGAGCGTAACTTTCCGCAGTGTGAGGGTAACGGCTGGGCGCACTCCATCAGCCAATCCCTGTCTCTGAGACCGGAAGGTATGGTTATCTAGAGTGTGGGGAGTTCTCCCTGGAACTTCAATTGAGCAAAGGGTGTCGCCACCTTTGGTGGATAGGTTCATCCGGGTGGGACCCACTTCTATTCCTGCCTCCTTTTGGGAAACCCTGATGGCCTGGCAGTGATGTTGGGCTGGACGGGCAAATGAAGTAGATCGGGTGCTGGGTTCAAGCCCGCTAGAGGTGTTCAGGGATCTATCGCCTTGGTCACCTCTGGTTTCCCAGCAACTGGGTAAGGCCTCGATCGGGTAGTGGTGTAAATAGGTGGTTGGGGTTCCCCCCATCAGCTTGCTGGTGGTCCCCTTCTTCCTGGCTTTGATGGCGGGCTCTTCCTGTCAGGGATTAGATAGGTCCCTAGGTCCCCCAGGAGTGTTGCTTGCACTAAATGCGTCAGGGTATTCCATTATGGTCCTTCTGGGGTTCGTACCTGGGGGAGCCCAGGTGGAGTGACGCTTAAACAAGTAGCCGGTATCCCTGGTTAGGATTGAGGGGAAACCCTCTCTCCGATGGGTTGCTCCGGCAGCCGGTGAGCCTGATGACCTTAAGTCATCCTCCCATGATGTGCCAAAGGTTGGTGCATTAGCTTCGGCCTACATCATGGGGCCCGGGTATGTTTAATTATAGGTACCGGGCTTGTAGTCAGGGAGCTTGCTCTTATGACAAAACAAAATGCAAAAATGCGAAAAATGCAAAAATGATCAAACCAAATCTCGTCTTTAGATTTGACAGGATATGCTTTTGTTGTTACTATCGGTACCAATTTTGAATATACAAACTGTCCCAAAAGTCCTGAACAGGTTTAATATTTCTCAAAATATTTAAAATAGAGCTAAAAAAAATTTCACAAAGTTACTGGACATAAAAATCTATTTTATCACATATAGTGATCCGCTATTCCCAAAGGGAAACTGCCCACTATGAGTGCGAAGATAAGAAAATCCTAAATGCATAGGTTGATATGCATATAAAATAAAAGGCCGTTAGTAGAATACAATGCCACAAATTTGAACACAAACGGACTACCGAGTCAATAATGGCAGCCGTTCAAAAATGTCTTGAATCTGCCATTATTTATATTAGGCCTATGGACCAATGAAAATGTAGGTCAGAACACGGTATTGTATTTTATTATCTAGTTTGTAAGCAATTACTGAAAGCAGGTAGTGTAATGCATGCTGATTTTCCATGACCTTGTATTTTGGTTTGCTTGATGGAGTGTGATGAAGGCCAATGCCAATCCACTGATCTGATAAAAAACTGAAATGTTCACTGTATTTCAGACAGCTTAGAAAGTGGCTGTGCCCGATGTAATGCTTGGTTGTTGGTTATTTTCCTCCCCTTATCAGTAGGTTGCTGGTTCAATTCTGAGGGTTCAAAAATGCTAATTGATTTTGAGGGTTTGAGGGTTCAAAAAATTCAACAATAATTTTTTAAAATAATGAAAAATTGATATCAGAATGGGAAAAGATTACAGTTGGTGTTCCTCAAGGCTCGATTCTTGGACCTTTACTCTTTATTTTGCATATAACTGACTTGCCTAAAAATGTCACTAACAACCTTATCTTATATGCCAACGATACAACTGCAGTTGTCAAATGTAAAAATGATTCAGAATTATCGCTTAAAGTTAAACAAGCCCTATCGGAACTGGAACAGTGATTCAAGATTAATGGTCTAAAAATGAACCAAGATAAAACCCAACTGGTAAAGTCAACCATAAGACAGATTTTTTTGAAAAGTTATAAATATTTAGCTTTTTCAAAAGGATATCATGGTTGACACAGTCAAATGCCTTGGATAGGTCACAAAGCACTTCCATTGTGCTCTGTGACCCATCCAAAGCCCATGAAACCTCACTAATAAAATCTGATAAAGCTTTCATTGTGCTTAAAAACCCTTTCTAAAACCAACTTGTTCACTAGCCAAAATATTATTATTTTCAAGAAAACTTGAGATTTGTTTGTACCGGTACGCTAGTTTTTCAAATACGTTTGAAAATGATGGTAGAAGGGAAACTGGTCGATAATTGTCCGGATTTTGTCTCTCGCCCATCTTGAAGAGAGGTTTGAGCTCTGCATATTTTAAATGTTTGGGAAAAGTGTTTGTTAAAAAAGATTGATTTATAATTATAGATAAAGGTTCAGCTATGAAATTAGAGACAGTTTTCATCAGATCGATAGGAATACAGTTCCATCAAGCAGATATTTTTACTGTGAGATTTTATATTATTAATAACTTCTTCTATACTTACAAATCTGAATTCAAATAAATTAGGTTGGTTTCCTGCTAATTAATACCTTGTCAATTTTAGCGCATCCTCTTTATGAGGTATTAGGCCAATTCCTTTTGTGATACTTATAAATTTGTTATTAAAGAATTCAGAAATTTCCTTGCCTTTTTGAGATGATTGCCATAAACCCTAATTTCAGGAAAGTTAATGTCACTTTTTTACAACCGAGTTCAGATTTAATGATAGGCCAAGCAGCCTTACTCAGTTATCTGAATCTTTTATAAATTTACCATTATATATTTTTTTTGCTTCATTGCATACCTTGTTGAAAGTTAATTTATACCTTTTAACAGAATTAATGAAATTTCTATCATTTGATTTCTTTAGCCGGTCGACAGACAGGAAGACTGAAACCAAACTAAAGTTGAACCAACTGTTTTGTGACGCGATTACGATTGCAGTTGCATTGGTTAAATCCGCACACGGGGGCGACTGAAATAATTGTAGTTGAGTTGGGATAGTGAATGAGTTCTAATTTTGTTATAACGATACTGTGTACTGTGTATTTGAAATGAGTGGTAGTAATGAAGAAGCCCTGGTCTTTTATAGACAATCAAGAAAGTGTAGAGGACGTAGAAGGTTTTGGGTACATCCTTATGTTGAAACAAATATTCAATGTAGGCTCTTTGTAGCTGCCTAAGTAATTCTCTTTAAGTAATTCTAAAAGAATTACTTAGGTAGAAAAAGGCAGAAAAAATCATAACAAATTTGAAAGAAAATTATACATTTTTGAAAGTAGGGCGTTTTTTGTAGGTGAAGAATTGCGATAAAAAAAGCTTTTTCCCAATATGGGAAATTCGCTAAAAACCCAGAAGAGAGTTTTGTAGAAAATTTAATTCCTGGCCATGAAAATCTTTCAAATCTTTTCTAGCTCTTACAGTTTTCGAGCTATAGCCGTTAAAAAAAATTGTGTTTTTTTAATTACTCATTATTTACTGAAATTTTCTGAAAACGTCTACAATATTCACAAAAATGCTAGAAAAGTTGTTCAAACCAGGCGACTGAAATCACCTTCCAACCGGCAGGACCGGTTGCTTAACGACTGATCGCCGACTGGTCCTCAACTGCATCACAGTCGCACCGTGTGCACTGTCCCACCGAACTACAATGGTCGGGACGCAGGCGACTAGTTTGTCCAACTAGTTACCGATGTCAGTTGAAAAAGTCTTCCCGTGTGTCGATGGCCTTACAAGTCTGCTTAGTTCCCTTTTTCTAATACTAGAAATTTTAATACCTCTTGGTACCCAGTTTATTATTACAAGATTTGGTACCATAAAACTTCATAGGAAATGCTTCTTCAAATAGATATTGAAAAGTTCCAAAAACATTTAAACAGTTATTATAAAAAGAATTAGTTACAGAAACATTCCAGAGGGTTTCTTTTACATTGTTTACAAATTGTGTTGTATTTTCTTTTAAAAACAATCTTTTTTAAATTTTTTACCTTTTTTCATCAGTTTTACTTAATATATTTAAAAATAGTGCTCTTTGATCAGAGATGCCTAATTCTAAATTCATTGTTGATAATGACTGATGATTAAATTTCTGTGATAAAATATTATCAATGTAAGATTTTGTGGACTGAGTAATTCTTGTTGAAGAGGAAAAATTTATTTTGAAACCATATTGCTCCAAAATAGAATGAACTCTTATCTTTTGATATGGTTGGCTGCAAGTTTCCAGAATATCAACATTAAAGTCAGCAGCTATATATACATTTTTAGTAGATGTATCTTTAATCAGAAGGTTTAGTAAGCCTTCCAAATTTCTAAGAAAATGTTTGAAGATCTGAATTTGGAGTTCTGTAAATAGAAACAACAATGATATTTAATACAAGAAATTTCAAAAACAGAATCTTCGTTTGAGGCACACAAATCATTTCTTACTTTATATTCTAAATTGTCCCTTAATAGTATGCAAGAACCATCAGGAATTCCTTCCTTCCTGCAATAAAAGTGTCCTAAGGTATAGTTAGGAATACTATTTAAAATTAAAATATTATCATTTTTGAGCCAGTGCTCAAACATGATATTAATTAACGGCTGTGTCAAAGGAATTGGAATATGTCGGCCTTAGCCAAAATTAACAAGACTAAAAGATTGCGCCACTCATCCTACACTCATCTCCATTCAAACTTGGCTTAAAATACCTACTGTGTATGGTCGCAATTTCAATGAAAAGAAATGTAGTCCTAACTTAAAATATTAGTATTAAAGTTCTTGGAAATTTAAATAAATTCTTCTGGCTGAAAATCAGTGGATATTAGCTGAAAGAAAATAAAAAGTCTCATTCATTGAACTCTCATTATACTTCATTTTAAGTTTGAAGTTTGATCTCTTCTTATAGAATCTAAAAAGATGGCGTACAATTTATTTTTATATGAGGTACATTTTTATTTATGACATATTGTTGCAGGTGCTGTGTGAAGAATATCATTGTGTTTGGTATGGAGAATGCTATACCGATAAATCCAACCACAAGAAAAACTGTCCCTACGATGGTCCTTCCAAAGAGGTGACCAACTCTACTAGTGTTAATATTTTGAAAAAATGGTGCCCCTTCTTGGTCAACAATGATGGTGAGTTAAACTTTGTTGTTAGCACTATTGACCCTTTAAGGTCTAAAATCAATACATAACCTAGGGGTTGAGCTTAACTTGATTACACTTTTGAATTTTCTTGATCCATGTTGTCACTGTGGTAGTTGTTTAGGTATGATCAGTGGACGAGCGTTCTAAGATAACTCTCCAGCCAGGACACAGCACCTGGCTTAAAAAAACATAATACATATTAACATAATACATATTACATATTAATACATATTAAAGGTTTAAACTCGTCTTGGTTAGGTTGGGTGTGCAACTCATAAATTCACTCAATAGTGGCATCGCTTTGTGTGATGTAAATGGACAAACCTTCCTATGTAAATGAAGTACAGTAGACCCCCTCTTATCCGGACTCCTTGGTACAACCTTGGTAAGTTTGGTAAAATATGTTCAGCCGTTACTGAGTGATAGTGTTAGAAAGTTTGCATTGAAGTCGATCCCAAAGAGCTTTCCTATAGGCCTAAGTCTTTTAGTCTAAAAGTTATTACCCAAGTCGTAAAAGTTATTAGGACCAATTCCTACAAAAAAAAAATGGTTAAAACAATAACTAATAATGAAGGTCTTTTTAAGCTTTTTACAATTTGAGTCATGTTTTTTTTAAGTATATGTTTTCTGTTCATGTGTTTTCAAACTATACTCTGAACATTTTTTACCCACTCTAGGCCTATGTAGTACGGCATCTTTATTTTAAAACTTCAAATTAGGTTTATCTAATTTTAAATTGTCTTACTAATTTACATAATATCTTCTAATTTTAATAATATCTTCAGTTGAATAAAAATGTGTAAAAATGACAGTTTGTTTTTCCAGTAGAAATCAAAATAGCCCCACCCGTCTTCTATTTTAAATACATTAACTATTAAATACATTAAATACATGTATTTTGTTTAAACAAATTTCACCTCCAGTGATTGCAGAATATGTTTTATAATGCTATCGATAATCGTATGACTGACAAAATATATTGAAAATTCCGCATTTCCTGCACTTCATTCCATTGTCTTTAGGAGTTGTGTGGGCCGTACATTCGTGATGGTAATTATACCTATTACAGCTACTTTGGTCGATTAACACTAATTCGTATTTTCATAGGGCATACCCACCTGATGTGATGTGTAGCATTAAATGGGCCACTGTTACTGTAATTACTCAAGTGGAACATATTGTGAATTGTTCACTCGTGCGTGTTAAAAACAACAGATGAAATGGAGGACTTTTTTAAATATGTGAAGAATAGCACAAATTAAAAAATTGCCAAGATGGTAAAATGTGTCATTCACTATTAATTGACCCATTTTTAACTTTCTACCCCATAGTATATGGAGAAAGTATTGTTTCCGTGAAATTTTTCAAGTTTGAGTTTTAAGTGGTTTATCCGTTTTGGGTCCCCCTTAACCTAAAAAAAGTGGTTTCCGAAGTGATGTCTGTCCATGTGTGTGTCTGTCTGTCTGTCCGTATGTGTAGATGTGTACAGAGCTACAGACCACACCTGTTGTCCGATTTTGATTAAATTTGGTACTTAAGTACTAATCCATGGTATCTTCAGGCGTTTTTTAAAAATCTTTTTTGGAAATTTTGATTTTCCCATAAAAAGGTAACGGAAAAATATAAGTTTCTCGGAAATGGCATGAACAATTTTCATGAAAATTTATCATGTTGTAGCCCTTTAAATTCTGAACATATTGGTAGAACTCCTATTCCTGTAAAAATTACGGGTCAAAAGTGATTGTAACTTATGTTATCCCAGGTAAAATAGGAGGAAAATGGATTTTTTACTAATCAATTTTGTATTTACAGTCATTAAAATACATATTTTTTATTTTTCCCTCATTGAATTTGTCCGGTTAGCAAGGGCTTAAGTAGTTTTCTTGCTGTGTAAAAATAAGACCGTTATTTTGGCTTCAGAAAACCATATAAAAAAGCACACAGGAGCTTCCTGGAGGTAGTTAGAGTAGAGTTGATAAATGGTTAATGGTGTTACTCTGAAGTATTCAAGAAGTATTAACTACAGTATCAGGACATTTGTAAAAGAGCCAATTGCATTGTTCATTGTGCTGTATTGTATTGTCCATTAAGGCTATGTATTTTTTGTGTATTTTCCTACTACTAGTCATGAAAGGATTTCCTGTTAGTGTACATTCCCGAACACATCACTGTTCCTGATTTTGGTAATCCTTAATAATACTAATGTGTTTTCATAATACTTTCAAAACGCCTCTAAGTGGAAAATAACATAAACACACCTTAAACGGTTTCCAAACAACAATAATTATTAAAAGCTTTAGTGACAAGGTTTTTAGTATTCTTCATTATTATTCCAGAGAGGAAATTATATGAACTCTACAAAATTCCTATCTATATTTTAAAATTTATTATTGTTGGCACCCGTCATATATTATGTACATGACACGAATAAAGGACTTTTGATCATTGATCATGAAAGTGTTTAGTTATAAAGACATTCAAGATGCTAAATGCAGTATGTTTTCTTTTATGCCATTTTTATTAGGAATTTATTTCTGTAAATAGCATTTTAGTAGACATAAAAGGTGGAAAAAAGGCCCAGGACAGTAAAATATTTCAAAAAATAATAAAGATAAAAATAGAGCTTCTAAACTTGGTACACAGTTACTGGTAATTAAAACATCATTGGGTGATAACCTACTTCCCCAGAAAGACTTATAAATCAGAAGAAAAGGGTAGGAGTCAGAAGAAATAATTAAATGTAATCATAGATTCACATGCACATCGAATTTGAGTTATTTGTTAGTGAAATACAACTATGCAAACCCAAACAGACAACCAAGTAAAAAAAGACAGCTGTCCAAAGATTTCTTGAATCTTCCATTTTGAATCTTTGAACGGCTGCCTTTTCAACTCATTTGTTGTTTTAAAAGCTCAAATTTTCGGCATTGTATTCTAGATAAGTGATTTTAATGCCTAGTAACTTTGCACCAAGTTTTGTAGCATCTTGATGATTATCCTCTTGATGCATAATCGTTTGTCTTTCTCTGAGTCCTACTCCTGTTGTATTTCCTATTATTATTCTTGAGACTATTATTTTTTTTCTGTTACAGGCCCCACAACCACTTGCTGTGATGATGCTCAGTTGGTATCTTTTGACCGTGGTGTTAACATGGCTGCAAATTTCCTAGCTAGATGCCCCTCTTGCTGGCACAACTTTTTGTCGTATTTCTGTCACTTCACTTGTGCCCCGGATCAGAGCAGATTTGTTAACGTTACTGAGTTAGGTGTTGTAGGTAAAGGTATGTTATCGGATGAATAGGTTTTACTTCAATGTTGTAAGTTAAGTCATTTTTATTTAATGATCCCCGTTTTGGAGTAAGGTTTTTTCCAGGATCTTATCGAGATTTTTTTTATTGTGTGTGGCTTTGAACACAGAAATAGCATTTACAATTTCTTTGATGAATATAGGCCTAATCATAGTCTTGTTGCTTTCAAAGATGGTCCTGACAATATAAAAACAGTTACCAACAAAACAACCACAGCTTTGGAAGTTAAAGCTTCCGTAATCAGGTTGAATTTATAAAATGTGTTTCTGTGTACATGTTTACATTTAAAACAATAACATATAATCAAATAAAATAATCGTTATTCAAGCTGTACATACATACATAAGTAGAGTCACAGATACAAAAAACACAAACAGATTTGGCCGTCTGTAATTTTTTTCTTTGGGGTCTTGTTAAATTTTCTGGTGAATTTTAATGACGCAATTTACCGGCAAGTGGTGACAATTTACGATAATTTGGGGGTGTGTGATTTTTTCTTTGGGATTTTGTTTCTACACTCACAAACCCTGAACCCTGGTGGATTTTAATGACGCTATTTACCATCAAGTGGTGACAATTTATGGTGACTGCGATATAATTTAATTTAAGAATTTAGGATAATAATTTTAACCTGTATGAATGAAAGTAGACACCTCATGACTGACATTGTTTTTCCAAAAGTAGATAGTATCTGACAAATGTAGCCAATTATGTTTATGATGGAATGGCCTCTAGATCGTCTGAATAAACTAATATAGGTTTAAATTACCTGTTTTCTGTCAAAACGATCAGTTTAGTAGTATGATGACTACAGCTGTTTCGTGCTTAAAAAATAGCACATCTTCAGGTCCAGAATGTCTTGCTAATCCCTCATGTAGTGTAAATTTGTTTACATTTTTGACGAACTCTACATGAGGGATTAGCAAGACATTCTGGACCTGAAGATGTGCTATTTTTTAAGCACGAAACAGCTGTAGTCATCATACTACTAAACTGATCGTTTTGACAGAAAACAGGTAATTTAAACCTATATTAGTTAATTATGTTTAGTAAATAGTGTATTTCTTAAATGGCAAAACTTTACAACAAATTTAGTGTAATACAAGTTATAACTGACACATAAAAAATGAAAAATGCTTATTTGATAAACGTCCGGTTTTTATCAGTCGCCCTAAAACAAAAATATTATCGTATAGTATATAGATATCAGTATTAAAAAACTGTACAATAGTTATTTGTGTAACTAGTGTGTGAAGTGGCACTTTTGCACTCGTGTTACACATTATATTTTTCCTACAGTTACTATAAATCATATAAATAATTAGTCTTTTTAAACACTGTACAACATGTTAGTTTAGGCTAAATCCAAGCGTTAAACAAAATTCTAAACACTGCACCAGCTGATCGTAGTCGTAATATCTTTATGCCAACTTTTTTCCAAGCGTACACATATTACGTGCCTAATAAAAGCACACTGTTTTGTTGTTTGATTGGAAATACTGGCGTGCAGCAAAAAAAAATAGTGCTGCAAAAACCAATGAGTGCGGCAAACGTAAGTAAATACAGCAATTAGCTACTTGGCAATGCAAGGGAGCCCACTTTGTCAAGTAACTGTGGAAAAATAATATTTCTGCATTAAATTTGAGCAGGTATGAACTTGAGGATACTTCTTTGTGACAGTTGTCTTGCATGTTTCAACTCGTTGGTTTGCTCAGGTATTACGACAGTGGAGGGGCTGGAGGTGTATGTGTCCGACACCTACTTGTGGCGGACTTACAACGCGTGCAAGGAAGTTTCGGTGCCGTCCACCAATCAACTGGCTCTGGACATCATGTGTGGCCAATGGGGAGCCAGCCGCTGCTCACCTTACAAGTGAGCTGCTTGTAGAGAAACATTTCTTAACAGTTTTCAGAGAAATTTTTCAAAAAATGCTAATTTAAAGTTTAAATAACTCGCTACATTTTTCCGTGATATTATGGATGCTGGTAATGACTTGGTGCTTAAAAATAATAGTAATTTAGAAGGTTTATTTCTTTAACCATGGTTTGGTTTCCAATCTAATTTATCTTTCAACATTTGTCAATGAATATTTTACGTTGTTCGTAGACAGAGTTGATTATGCGTTGATAATAGACATCAACATCCTAGGCAGATTATCTTGAAACGAGGTGGTAGAAATAACTTATGTGCCATTTTTATAGTAGTATAGTTAGCTTTTTACTAATAAAGGATTTTTTAAATTTATACGTCTAAGGTATGCTTACATTGGCAAAATGAAAACTCATGACATTAAATAGTCATTGCACTGAAGAAGTATATAATACATTACAGTAATTTACAAAACAGTGTTGACAATTTTTCACAATAACTATAAAAATACATAAAATACAGACACATTTGTACCATTGTAGTGTATTTCTGTTATTATAAACAATTTCAAGGATATCATATGATTGTTGCAGATGGTTTTCTTATATGTTTGACCCGAACTTAAACTCCTATGTGCCTTTAAAAGTTGCCTTCGTGCCTGTCACTTCTGACCAAGAGTTGGTGGATGGATTCTCACCACTGGAGCCTGAAACGTTTACCTGTGATGTTCCAGTCAATGTGAGTTTTTTTTTCTCTCATGGGGCTGGGGTATCATTACCCTTTGCTACCTGGAACTACAAGATCTTTTGTAGCACCCTTTTTAATTAGTCACCCAACCGAAGTCTTCTTGCGAAGCCAATCAGTTGCTGCACACCCATTTCTCGTATTTCAGTAGGCATCGGGAATGCCTTTCCTAGGTGTTTCAACCTTTTCTGGGCTATCGCCGGACATTCCAGCCATATGTGCTCAGCTGCATAGAGACAGAATCTGCACTGGTCTGTCTGTCTAAGCCCTATTGTCTTGAGGTACTTCCTTACATAGCCATGCCCTGTAAGTAGACCTATCAAGAGGCTTATTTCTCCTTTTTGGAGGTCGAATATGTATCTCCATTCCTTACTAAGAGGATTGATGTGAGTTAACTTTCAATTACTTTAGAAATTAAGTTTTCAAAAGCTCGTATCGGTTTGAATACACCTACTATTATTACATTGAACCGCTCTGGTAATTCGGTTATTCCTCCTCACGATTGATGCACCGAATAATGATGTAGCAGCTTTCGTTTATGTAATGCATGACGTTTTGTAGTATTACTGTTTGCAGAACGGAGCATTATTTTTCAGAAAATTAAGTTGACAACTTTCTACAGAAATATTTTCTGAAAAAAAAAATATTTTATCCAACTGTACGTTGTTCATTATATTAATTAGATCAAATACATGACACACAAACCTTGCTAGGTTCAATTATTAAGTAAGTAAAAGGAATTTTAGCTTTTAGTTTAAAATATTTACTTAAAACGACTCTCCAAAATGAGCTGTAATATTTCCTGTCACAGACATTTTTTCCCTTAACCAGACATGCAGGTCGATCTTGTTCAGGTGATTTAAAAATCCCTTAAAAGCCTCAAAATACCTTATGTCTGGTAGAGGTTCAAATGTCTGTCTAGAGTTATATAATGATATTTTCACCCCATTTAATTCTACCCTCTCTTTTAGCGAATTTCCCACATAGGGAATAAGCTATTACCGTAGTACTCATGGTAAGAATTGGTCCTGGGATCAATTTACTTTTTCTTTTAGCGAATTTCCCTATAGGGAAGTAGCTATTACCGTAGGTCTCATGGTAAGACTTAGGCCCGGGACCGATTTACTTTTTCATTTTGGTGTCCCCAGAGGCCAAAAACACCATTCGTTCAAATTTTTATATATGTATATATATATATATATATATATATATATATATATATATATATGTGTCCGTGAACACGATAACTTGAGTAATTTTGATCCGATTTTGATGAAATTTGGTTTGAAGGTGTAAGGCGGGATAAACTTGAATGAGTTCGCGATCCAGCATGATCGGACCATGCGAACAGGGTTTTATGGGGGTTTTTATGGAGTAAAAATAGGTTTTTCTCACTTTTGACCCTCAAAACACAAAATTTCCCAATTTTTCTCTAAACCTTCTTAAAGAGCTTTAAAAAACAAACAATTCAGTATATCAAAGTGTTTTTGTACGGTTATTGGTTACGGAGAAAACTAAAAAATGGTAAATTTAAAATTCCCATGTTATTCTTATGGAGAATATTGTAAAATGTTGTAGTTTGCTTGTTTATGGATATCATCTTTTGATCAAACTTGGCAAATATATTCATTTTATACTAAGCAATAATTATTTGACTTAAAACACACACTTTATTAGTTTCCTTGTAGCAGCAAACCTAGGTACTCGTTAAACCTAAATGTTATTTAAATAGATCAATTGAAAATCAATTCAGCCAAATGGAAATTCGCTTAGACGGCAGGTTTGCTGCGGCGGGGGTATTTAAGGTCTCTAACGGCCAAAAACACCATCCGTTCAAATTCATTTATGTCCGTTAGCACGATAACTCAAGCAAAAATGATCCGATTTTGATAAAATTTGGTATAAACGTGTAAACCAACATTTATTTGAATGAGTTCGCGAACCAGCATAATCAAACTCTGGGACCCGGGGGTTTATGGGGGGTTTTATAGGGAAAAAATTGGTTTTCCCATTTTTGACCCAAAAAACATAAAATTTAGCAATTTCTTTGCAAACCATTTTGTAGAGCTTAAAAAAACAAATAATTTAGTATGTTGAACCATTATTATGCGCCAAACGGTTACGGAGAAAATTCCAAAAAATTTAAAAATGTAAACATCTCATGTTATTTATATGGCAAATAAGTAAACTGTTGTAGTTTGCTTATTTATGAACATATTTTTATCACATTTGGAAAATGCATTAATATTTTACTAAACTATTGACATTTGACAAAAATCACTTTTTTACCCCCCTGTTGCAGCAAACCTAAGTACTCTTTAAACTAATTATATTTAAATAAGGAATAAATGTGATATTTTAGTGTAAATCCGATCAGGCAAATGGAAATTCCCTTAATCTGCAGGTTTGCTGCGGCGGGGGTATTTTTATCCTACCACATTTTTACCTATCATATTTTTATGCACAGCATATCAACACTCTCCTCAACCAACACTCCCAAGCAAGACCTATTAGCAAGAATGTATAGATTCAAGCGATTGAGAAAAGTCTGAAATTTTGACATAGCAAAGGTGAAAGCAGTGCATTCACTCTTATTGAATTTCAAAATAATTCAATTTCCAACTGACAAACAAATCAATAATGTATAAGCATTTCATATGTCTAGCAGGTGTCCTGTTCGAGGTCAAAATCAATCAGGGTGTTATGTTTGATTATTTTTTAAATAATTTTGCTCGTTGGTAGATATTTTACGGATGGAAAGAAATTAGGCCAACCAGTAATTAAAGTGTAAAATTTTATACTTTTAAAAAATAACAGCTAATAGCCTATGAGTAAGCATCCATTCAAACATCACATCGGTGATTTTTTACATCATTGGGTCAATTAACATAATCGATTGTGAGGGTAAAGTTAATGTTTCCGAGATCGCAGTAGTTGATTATGATGTCACCATAATCGCAATTGTTGCTTTCAGATTTTGCCACAGTCGCTATTCCAAAATTAACAAAACTCCAAATTTTGGTTTAGCCAAATTTCAAATTTTATAATTTTTTACTAAAATGAAGGTAAATAAATTATGTAATATTTGTAGCACCAATCAGAAGACCAGATTGTATTCCATTAAATTTCTAATAGTTTAATTTACAGACACCTTGCTTTTCAACAGTCCTCATTGAACTAGGTTTAATTGTATCTTGATGCTGGTGTTGTAGCAGATACGTTGGTTTAAAAGACTAATTTTACAGAAATTTTGATGCAAACATACATACAGGATAATAATTAATATTGGACAATTATGTGCTCAAGAATGAGCAGGTTTGAGAAATGTCTATTCAAACTAAGCCTCATTAATATAATTTTCACTGTCACGTCAGGGAACAAAAAGCGTGATTGCAGGGGTGATGACAATGCCATCGTGATCACATCTCTCCTCACATATTTTGTCGCAATCACTTTTCCAATTTCTCGGCGGTTAAAGATTTAAACATCGATTATTGGTACCATTAATTTTCCCAAGGACCTGTGTGTGACTAAGAATTTCTTTCATGGACATATCACTAATGAATATACAGTGTGATTGGAAAGTCCCGGAATGGTGTAATATATTTTTTACCTTTTTAGATAAAGTAATGATATTTGGTATATCAATAATAGCCATAATCTATTCTTTTCAAATATTATTGATTTTATCCCACCAGGGGGACGTCCCACGAGGACTACGAGGAGTCAAACAAAATTCTTAAATAGCAGCATTGGTCGAGTTTTGTATCAAATTAAAGGTCTTAGCTAGTAGAATAGATAGCCACAAAAACGAACTCAAACGTACAACCAAGTCAAAAACCGCAGCCATTTGAATAATTCTTGAATCTGCCATTTTGAATCTTTGAACAGCTGCCATCTTATATATTAAAAAATTTGGTTTTTCTTTTCCGAGTTCGTTTGCTCTTCTACCCGACCGATTTTCATGATTGAGGTCTAAAATTGAAGGTATGCACACACAGATTTGCCATCAAGCATTGGCATATCATTATCTATAGTCTCTCTCGGTTTATACGTATATGAAATTTGCTCCCCATGTATTTCTTATGGGAGTTAAATTTGGTTTATCTTTTCCGAGTTCGTTTGGCTCTTCTACCCGACCGATTTTCATAATTGAAGTCTTGAATTAAAGGTATGCACACACAGATTTGCCATCAAGCATCGGCATATATTTATCTATAATCCCACTCGGCTTATACGTAAATGAAATTTGCTCCCCATGTATTTCTTATGGGAGTTAAATTTGGGTTTTCTTTACCGAGTTCGTTTGGCTCTTCTACCCGACCGATTTTCATGATTGAGGTCTCAAATTGAAGGTATGCACACACAGATTTGCCATCAAGCATCCAAAATTTTTGGACTATTTGGCTGAGGTATGTCAAAAACCTATTATTGTCTTAACAATATAGTCCAGGGGCCGAAAACATGAATTTTGACTTGAGGCATATATTTATCTATAATCCCACTCGGCTTATACGTAAACAAAATTTGCTCCCCATGTATTTCTTATGGAAGTTAAATTTGGTTTTCCTTTTCCGAGTTCGTTTGGCTCTTCTACCCAACCGATTTTCATGATTGAGGTCTCAAATTGATGGGCACGCACATATTTGCCATCAAGCTTCGGCATATATTTACCTACTGTATTACTCAACCAAAAACATAATTTGATTCATTTTTGAATTCTTACTTCAATTTAAGATGTATTTCACCAGTTATAATTATATAATCCTACATATTTTGGCCTAAGAACCTTCAGTCAAATACCGGCTTTCATTTAAGCTATTAGTTATTCAAATCGGTCGAGTTTCAAGCAAACAGAAGGTGAACAACCAACATAAAAATTATTTTTCATAAGGTTTTTCTATGATTAAAAATCAATCCCTCCAGTATTGTAAATGTTTTTTTATATGTTTTAGACTCAAAATAATCAGTAAATTAAAGGCTTTAATTTGAGATATTGATCATTTGAATCAGTTGAGCTCAAGATACTGGATTAATCAATCAAAAATCATAAATTTGATTATTTCTCGGATATTAAATTTATTTTAATGCTGCGGAGCAGCATGGGTCCTCTAGTTTCTTACTAAAGCTGGGTTTTCCTAGACGCGGAGTCGGCCAGCGGAGAGCGGACAACGGAGAGCGGAATTGAAATTAACATGGCATTCCGCTCCGCTGCTAGGAAAACAGTAACATTAAATTACCTAAGACAAGCTGAGTCCGCTCTCCGTTGTCCGCTCTCCGCTGGCCGACTCCGCGTCTAGGAAAACCCAGCTTAAGTTCTTCTTTTGAGCTCAAATTTGCAGCATTGCATTCTACTAATAAAGGCTTTTAATTTTATGTGCTTATCGGCCTTTGTTTGAGTTTATGATTTTCTTCCAAATTCTAGCGGGCCCCTGAGGAGGCAGCATATTGCAAATTCTATGAATCTTTGAACAGCTGCCATTTTTGGCTGGATTGTCCATTTGAGGTCCGGTTTGCGGCATTGTTTTTAGTTTAATAGGACCTTTAATTTTATGTACATATCAACCTATGCAAGATTTTCGACTTACTCCCTATGGACCATCCCCCATAGGTGTCATCCGATCACCATGTACAAAAAATGTAGCTTACTACCAGTAATGTTATGCCAAATTTGGTTGATATCTCTTTTTGTTTTAAAGTTATAAAGTCATCCTAAAACTTAACCCTTTGCATTCGAATGGGGAGTATAGGTTGTCGTCCACCATTTTCCCAACTGCTCGAAAATGGCAACCTATACTCACAAAAAAAAAAATCAAAAAAGTATCTTTGCGTTTGAATGGCGAGTATAGGTTGCCGGGCGCCATTTTCCCGACTGCTCAAATGGCGAACTGTATTTGCTGAAAAATTAAAATCAAATTTGACCTCAAAGGGTTAATTGTCACCTGTATACTACTAGGCTCAGACATCAGCATGCAGCTGTATGGACTGTGAGGCCAGCTGTCCTGCGGCTCCACCTCTGCCTACCCCTGTCTTACCTTGCCTAGTCTTGGGACTGCCTTGTCTGTACGTAGTGATGGCCACTGTCTTCATCATCACTTCAGCTGTATTCCTTGTCATTACCAACTACCAACAGAAACTCCAGCTGCTTATCAATGACAGTAAGTATTTGATTGATTATCTGTATCTTACATCGAATAATGAATTTTAAATTATATTTGTTTTGCAATAGATAATTAAATCCTGATTAACCAAAAAAAAAGGTAGGCCGTTTAGGTTAAACTATTTTCTTGATATAGTGGTTAGAATTTAAATTATTTTGGTTCAAATTGTACAACAGTAGTTTTTAATTTAATTTTTATTACTGTTTTAGTAAAATCCAAACTGTAGCCGAGTATTATTTTTTTTAACTTCATTTCCACAGCGGTTGCCAACTTCCACTTTCCACGGCAGACGATTCCCATTGCCTAGTTGATGCAATGATTTGAATTTGTACCACGGTTTCTGTTAATCTGGGTTTTTGGTATATAATACTAGATTGTTGGGCACAGCAATTCTAGTTAAGACTCCAGAACTTCTGTAATGAAGAACCGCCCCTCTTCAAATCCTGCCCATCACCTTCTTAGTTACTAAGTTGCAGAGTTATGGTTCACATATGTAGTAAGGAATAACATTCCTAACAGTTTATTGTAAAAAACTGATAGTTATTGTTTAACTTAACGCTTAGTATTATTGTGTCCAGACGTGATAACAATCACTTCCAAAAATAATTTTCCCATTCACTAAACAAATTACCCGCAACTCATGTCTATGCACAGGCCCTGCCTATGTAGACCATTTTCATATAAGTTGATAAGGTTTTTTTTTCTTTGTGCCATTTAGTTTATAATATTATTTTGTAAGTTATTTTTAAGTCAAGGATTGTGTAATTTATTATGTAAAATACCACAAACTGTATTTTTCAGTTGGGAAATAAACACCATTTCATTTCATTATTTTAAAATTTTCAGTAAAACACATTGTTGAGGGAATCCATAAATATTCTAGATAACCTTTTATTACTCTACATTTTATTTTTATTTATTACTTGATACAGCACACATATACAATAAATTTACAATACAAAACTGCATAACCCTTACTAAAAGGCTTGTCCGCAGCGTTTCTTATAATACTAAACGTATTATATCCTCCAGGATTAATATATTGTGAAATTGGTGTATAATATTGTGATAAGGATGTCTTCTGGAGTCAGTGTGAACTTTTAATTTAACTGTACAAAAATATATTTCCTTCTTCATAAACAGTACACAAATTTGGCTTCAAACTATCTAACATGATAATTGACATTTTAAATATTGGAAAAAAAACTGTAAAAAATATCATCCATCAAAAAGCTGTCTCAGAATGAAATGGTAAATCACTAAATCATAGATAGTCCAATTTATTTATGGCAGATTTACATACTTTTGTCTGTATAACTTTTCGATTAGATTTGAATTTACAATGAGCAAACTGAGCGCGAAATATAAACAACTGTATAAATAAATGGATAAGCAGGTATGCAAAATCTGTTTTATAACCAAGATTGAAACAAGAAACACTGAACAGACCAATTTCGTGAGTGGAGAACTGTGTAGAGAAGAAACTACAGCCAGATTGCCATTACTTTCTGGTTTAAATACCGGTATAGCTACTTTTAAATTATTTAAACTTTACTAATAACTGTTTTCTACAATTATTTCCTTACCATGGTTCTTTTCAAAAGTAGGCCTATACAGGGTTGGGCAAAAGTAGGCAGTGATGCGCCGATATTGTTTTAAACTAATGAGGTTAAAATAAGGTTTCACTTGATAGGCCTTAACATTTTTGAGTTGCCCCCAAAATAACCAATTTTGGGTTTTTGGACGAAATTGGGATGCCAACAAAAAAAATCTTTTTTATGCCATATAGAGGTGTGCAGAGTTTGGTTTTCCAGGTGTTACCCATCAAAAGTTAAGGGGTGTCCATACTTTTGCCCAACCCTGTATACTTTTACATTATGTCAACCTGTTATATCATGTCATAAGAAACTGTGTTCCTTACCACTGTGTTTCCTTAACCAAAAGTAAATAAATAAGCTTAAAACTACAAAAGTTCCTAAGTTTACTAATTAGGTTTTCTTCCTTTTTTTAACACTTTTTTTTTAATGCTTATTTAAAATATTGTAAATACAAAATTGAGAAATGTACTTTTTATCTCACACCACTTATGGGTTGTGTTGAATATAATCAGGAATCAGGATAATTTGGAGATGGCTCTGGAAGTATGCAGAAGAAGGTTACTGAACCGGGACATCATCGGAAGTGCAAAAGGCAATCCTCATTTGAGTTACTTAACCAGATTTTTTTTTAACTGCTCGGTCAGTAGAAACATTAATATGGAACGTACCCGTAACATGTTTAATATTTGCATGCGTGTTGACCCCAGCGGATTAATTATACCCTCATGTTTGTCTGGTTGTGCAACGTCTTGTGAATTGAAACATCAGTACTAATCCAGATAGTGAGAACCTTGTGTTATGAGGTAGTTAGCTAAACACTACTGATTAAAAATATTAACCGAAACTTATTTAATTATAAGACTGGGTTTTTATTATATTTAAAACTCAATTCAATCTATAGCTGTACATGGTTGCAATATAATTTTAAATTCAAACACAATGGTTCATACACAATCTTCTCTCGAATTTATAAAAACGTCCGTTTGTATTAATATGGCAGTTTTTAAAATTAGCTGAACAGTTTCAATGCTGAAATTAACTTTAAAGTTATCATCAGTGTTTAACCCATTGGGGAAGGAATTGCAGTGCCCCCTGCAGTGCCCTTGTTCGGCAATTAGTTTTACAGAATTTGTAGACATTTACGCTAATTTTTATAGAAAGAAACCCTTAGGAAATAAATTAATAATTCTTTTGCCATTTCGTTCCCAATAAAATTGTAAAAAAAATGTTATTAGATAATCAAAGTGTAAAGTTTTAAAATTAAATTATAAAAATAAACAAATTTATAAAATATTTTTTTAAAGTCAACTTTATCCTTTGTTATTCTCCAAAATAAATGATTAAATATGTAAAACAAAAAGCAAGATATTTATAAACATCATACAAGTCAAAAAATTAAAAAATAATTTTTTTTTAATTAATTGAGCTAGGCTTGTAAGTTGGATTTTGGGCCTGCAGTGGCCGGACGAGTAACGCTTGTAAGTCGGCGCCAGTGGGTTAAGAAATATTGACAGAAGAAGGGAGTCAAAGACATATACAGTATTTTATAAATAATAGCTGTACAGTTACCATTTTCAAGGTGATGAATCATATAACCTAAAGCAGTGGTGATGAAATGTCAGAAATTTTCCTTTTAACAATTTATTATCCAGTTAATAGTTTATTTCATAATTTTAAAAAATAATTTTAGCCTAAATTTTTTATGTATTGCTTAGAAAGATTGAAAGTGTTACACAGTAGTTTTATAGTGTAATAAGAACGTAATTATGATTTTTTAGGCTTACTCCGTCAACAGTCCTATTACGTTAATCATATCAATTATAGTTACTAAACAAAACTATATCAAACTGGTCAAATTCAAATCCCAGCAATTACCAACGGATTCTACCAATGTGATTGTGTAGGTTAGATTCAGATATCCCTTGATGGAGGTGCTCCTGTCAAGGACACGGTCTTTCTGGCCAAGAAAACTTTCTCATTATTGGAGTACTATCTCCACTAGAAGTCATATGACAATAATACAACAATATAGTTAACCTACTTACATAAAAAGTACTAAACTAACACATGTTAAACTTGTGTACAATGCAACTTGTATTTTGATGAAAAATATACATAATGCTAATTGAGGAAAAATAACAAAGTAGCTTGATACGAGAAATTTGCTTGTCCGTATTCTTTGCCGATAAAACAATAATCACAACTTCTATAGCCTACTGATTGAAATCTCAGACAAAGTGTTGTTTTAAACTCAGCTTTACTAAACTCTTGGCCTTAGCAATTTAGGGTATTGTTTCAGTACTAATTAATGCCAATGCTTTTTTCACTCCACTTGAAAAAACTACATTGTTAATTGAACTTTTTTTGTCAGGAGGAAATTCTATAAGGAAGATTTTGCTGTTTATCAAGTGTTTGTTATTTTCTATTTATCTGTAGGCCTTCAGTGTACAAATTGGAAAATTTTAATATTTTTTCAATAAATATAAAATAAATAAATAATAAAGTTATTTTATATTTTATTATTGTAGCTGAGGGTGATAATTAATATTTTACCAACAATATTATACAACAAATCTTTTTAAGAACTACAAAATACAAGTAGTTGATGGAACTGTCAGACTTAAAATACGGCAATTTTCCAACGGTTCTCGGTCTCGGTTATTTTTCCAAGAACCGTTGGAACCGAGAACCGTATTTTCACACATCACTAATAAAAATTAACTTAAAACTAGACAAAACAAGGTTTACTTAGCAGTAAACAATAGTTTACGAAGGAATTACGATTACAAATACAGTAGGTAAAAAATCATAATTCACAAAATGTTCTATACTGTAGTAAGCTTTATCCGTCATAAGCAGTTTTGACATGTATTTTATATGTTTCTGTTAAACTAATATATTTAATATGCACTAGCAATTTATTAAACATTAACCCATGTAGGCCTACTGCAACAAATTAATGTACAAACATTTTTTATTACTATATAAAGGTTGTAGTTTTCCAATTAAAACTACATTACAATTTAAAAATTTTAGAATAAATTACATTTCAAAAATCAACCTTCATAAAAAACACGAAGCTTATGAAAAAGTTATAAAATGTCATCCCAAAATTAAAATAAAGAAGAAAAAGTCCACAAATGTAGTTCTCTGCAGACTTTGCAGCACTGCTGAATGCAAGCTGAATGGACCCACCCTGAACATGAGCAGCACCAGTACCAGAGCTGTACGGTTTAGCCCTCGTGGGAATTTATAAACATAAACTCAAATTCTATCACTTAACCAATCATCGCTAATAACCAAAAGAGAGCTTAAGGGATGTAGTTTATTATGATCTCACAGTTAATAGACTACGATAAAAGCTACTTCACTAACTTTTTATTTAGTACTGGACAAAAATTATAAGCAAGTGAGGAGAAACATGTTTTTTTTACTGAAACATTGAAACTAGCACACATATGAAAACGATACAGATACTGTAAACTTGTGCATTCTGCTGCTAGATAGCAGCACTTGTCGGGATCACCTAGCTTGAACTCTAGGGGAAAAAATAGGTGTACGGTTTAGCCCCGCTTTCCCCTATAGGGTTTCAGAGAGAATCAATGTTTGGATGGGTAGTTGAAAATTCTTGTAATTTCTGGATATGATAAAAATTTCATTCATGAACATAATTTGATTTATTTTTTATAAACAGCAAAGATTCGTTATCATTAAATCTTTAAACAATATTTACTGATTGTCTGGGTATGTAGAACAAGTCATAATTCTTCAAATCTTTTTTTGGACTTGCAACTGTCCCAAAGGTAAATTCAATAATGCATATTAGAAACAAACAAAGCACGACTAAAAATGTAGGCTACCTTGTTTCCAAGTCTACAACATTTTTTCAAGACAGACTCCTAGAACCAGGAATTATTAGATTTCTTAAAAAAATTGTAGTATATTCATCCTACTTGAAAGTTTTTAACTTAAATACCTAAAAATGTGGTTATGTTAAAAAAATATATCATATATCATCAATAACTTTAATTTCAATGTTACGGCCTTTTATAAACGAGATAAATCTCCAATATTCCAAGTAAGCTCCAACTAATAAAATATTCTCCAAATTAAATCAAATGCCTTTTCTCCTAGGTCATGTTTTTCTTTTCAGATCAGCAATTAACTATAAACCATTTAATGTTGCTGGAAAGACTGAGCTACATAGGCTCAAACAATAGTATTTCCATAGCATTTTTTTTCATATTTTAAACAACTGCTATGAGCAAATGTTTACTTTCGTATCTTTACAGCAACTCTGGTGCCTAGATCGTCAAACGAGGACCGGAATATTGGCCGAAGTCTGGCCACCAAGAATCACTCTAACAGTGTGATACATGACGAGGAAACCAGTCCTTTACAATCTAAGCGGTCTAGTATGTCAATCTCACGCTAGTAGCCATTCGCTTGTTGGGTGTTGAAAAGCTTAATGTGATGTAGCCGTGTTGTAGTAGTATTTGAGTATTTTACTATGTTTGGTTGCTGGTTTCTCTCTCTTCTAGACTGTGGCGTTTTAGTTATTGGATGTTTTTTTATGTTAGTAGATATGGTACTCTGGATATTGGATTTACTTACTAATGATTTTTCATACTGAGTTTTAGGCTTTTTATTGCATTTATATTTATATAGATTGGTGTAATTACCTGCATCTATGCAATTTGATACGTTGTGGTATAACTAGTTTTGACTAACTTACGAGTTATCCTCAGGTCAGTTTAGATGTCAATTAATAATTTAAAAAACACTCACACAAACATAAAAAACATGCACACAAACATAAAAAAACACGCACACAAACATAAAAAACACAAACATTTAGGTGGAATATAAAACATATGTCAGTGTGCGTGTCCTATTTACTTTTAAGTACCAGGGGACCTAGCATTGCTCGTGTTGTTTAATTTGTTTGGGAGGTTAAAAATATAAAACATACATATACTGTATATGATTTCCAACAGAACTCAGAAAATTTAATCTATGGCCGGAGTATGACTTGTGTGTTTGTCAAATCTAGTTGCCATACTGCAATGTATCAGATCACATATATGCAGGTAGTTACACTAATTCAAACTTTTTTTAAATCTATTTTTAAAATTTGTTGCTGCAAAGTATAAGCGTTGGTTTTTTATTGATTCTTACTGCATTTTTGTCAACTGATTATGGCTTTGGTTAGCACTTATTTTTTGGTGTTGGTATCTTTTATGCCTAAGTCTGGTGGAATAAAATTTGGAGTGTTAAAATATGGTAATTATTTGTTGGCTCCTTGTGTTTGCAACGGTAAAGGATTGTTCATTTTTTATTACAATACATTGTTTAATCTTGTCTTCTGAAATAACAATGTGTTTACATAATTTATTCGTGAGTCTGAACATCTTCTAGAACTATTTATTTACTTTACATTAATCAGAGAGTAAAATACAATGAAAGAACACAATGAAAACAAATTGTAAATCCATTACAAAAAAAAACTACATAAGGTTGTTTCATCATTTATGGCACTCCAACTAACTATAAAATTGTATAGGTAGTTATCTGAAATTTCAGACACAATTTTATTAATTTTTTCTTATGTCAGAAAAAATAATTCTAAATTGTATTTTTGAAATAAACATTGAATTATGGAATTTTTTGAGGATTTGGGATTTGGATCACACACAATAATTTGGGGACACTTGTTTACCCTTTTTGAAAACAATTAAAGCTTGTCTCTTTTTCAGGTCTTACTAGCGAGAATGCTGAACGAATCGCAAGGGTTAGCAATTCAAGTATGATCAAACCTGCTTCAATATATGAAAAACTTGGTGCCGAACTAGACAAATTACTTCAAGAATCATTTGAACGCCTTGGCTACTGTAAGTTTCTGTATTCCATTCCAACCTTCCACTCTTACAGCGTAATGTATTATTTACCATCTAATGAAAAATTAACATAACAAATTTGGTAAGAGCTTTACTGTATATACATTGCTTTGAGTTTGAAGTTGTCACTCCCGTAAGTCTATGACGGCTTTAGAAAAAAAATGATCTCGGTTCAAATGAGCCAATGACAGAGTAAGCTGTTGCAAAATAACCTGTCTGGCTAAGTATGCACGCTGAAAATGCATTTTTAAACTGTGGTATCTTTAACGCTAATCAACTATTCTAGTCCCATGAAAAATAAAAATAAAAGTCAAATTTTAATAAGAACACATCCCATAAGATCTTTAACAGATGGTCCATTTATATCAGTGACAATTTATGTTATGACTATAAGCTTTGAGTATGATTTTATTTTACTTATAAATATTTAAAAATAATTCGTTTATGCTACCTGAAATTGATTTTTTAGGCTTACTTGCTGGCCAGGGGAATTTCAGATGCATGTATTTTAAAGCCATACAGGCAATTTTCCTAAATATTTATAAAGAAATAAGCAAACTGAAACATTTATATTTAATTTGCTACATGTAAACTTTATTCCCAATAAGTGTTGTGATAATTTAAGAATTATTGTATATCATTGAGTAAAACTCACATCTAGGAATAGTTTAAAATGAATACGTGCTTAGGCCTAATTAACAAGCCTCCTGGCAAAATTGTGGAGACATCAATATCGTCTTCTGCATTCGCAGATCATTGTGAATTTTCAATTATGCAATCTTTTGCATACCTTTTAATACAATAGTGTAACTGTATCAAATTTCTCTAATTGCTGGCTCAATTCTCTGACTTGGTGCTAGATCGCTAGTTGTGTTTATGTTGGTAGACTGTGCACTACACCCGTGGCGTACGCTGCTCATTGGTCTGTGTGTGGTGCTGGTGCTGGGCCACGGCAGTTTCTACCTGCGCCTGACTACTGACCCGGTGGAACTGTGGGCCTCCCCCTCGTCTCGCAGCAGACAGGAGAAGACCTACTTTGACACTCACTTCACACCATTCTACCGCACGGAGCAAGTCATCATACACGCCGTCCAGCTGGACAGTGTGAGTAACGGACCACCAGTATTTCACAAAATAGTTTTTTTACCTTCACATCCTAGGACGCTAGACTCTAGCATAAAACCGTTTTATCCATTACTTCAAGTTTAAGCCAAAGGGTCGTGGCATTATCACATGGATAAAATCCATTGGTGATTCACGGTGATCTAGACAGAAGATCCTGGCAATTGATGCCCCATGCTCTACCACTAGTCTAGCTCAATCACTTGTTACAGTGGAGCATGCAAAGAAAGAGTTCACAGTCAACTTCCTACTATACCTGTGCTTTGCAACGGGAAGAAGACGCGAAAGAGAATAATGTGATTCTTTAGACTTCTTGAGACTGTGGTTCTTTTGCATGGAATAGTAACACATTCATCAATAATATTAGAATCAAGACTTACATGTACTGCTTAGTGAATAGTCATATTACTTAGAACCATGGATAAAACCATGACTTCCCATCTATATGGACCAGCTGTAGCCAATTTCAAAAAAAAAGAATGTAGTTGTGTGAGCCAGCCACAGAATGTGCTAGTGTCTAAAATTCTATTGTATATCTTATTTTTTGTTGCTCACCAGGTTTATGGGTCATAACAGTTGCTATAATTCGTCATAAGTCATTCCCTATGTTTGACTTGGTTAAAAAGATTGTGTATTCGGCAGAATTTAGTAATTTAGATCAGCGCAATCTGTGTTATAAAGCGGCTACAAATTTAACATTGGGATGGAATGTCTAGTTATAAAACATATTCCCTTAGTATATTTCTCATTCTTATGGAACAGCTGAAGCAAATTTCATTTTTAGTTCTGTCCGGTGCACTGTAGAGGTCTTGTTTTGCAACAAGAAGAAGAATTCCATTATTCATAACAACAATGGTGTATTCTTGTTTTTATTCTTGTTGCACAATTCATACTCCTCAATTAGCCAATTACAAGAAAAAATTATATTTTAATCTATTTTGAATATTTTAAATTATGTTAAAATAATAATGAAAGATGTTGGATGAAAAAAAAAACTATTTTTAAATCACAATTTATGATAATGCTTCATAACTTAAACTTTATCTAATAATTTAACTTACAGAGATCTTGTTACAAAGATCATCATTTTAATGCAATATTTTCTTTCTATCATAGCTTATTCACAACTCCTCCAATGGGCCCATTGAGTTTGGACCAGTGTTTCACAGAGAATTTCTTTTAGAAGTACTGAAACTGCAAGAACGAATAGAAATGGTAAGGATAAGTGTAACTATGTTACAATAATTTGGTAGTTTTGAAAAAAAGTGTGAGATTGTACATTTATTAGTAGAGATGGGCCGATACCAAAAATTGTCGATACCGATACCACTAAAGTACTCTCGATACCTATCGATACCGATACTTCCGATACCTATCTTTTTTGCACAGTTTCTTCCACTAATAATATTATAAACTGTTTTACCATAAAAAAACACAATATGTATGTGTATCAAACTTATATTTTGGTGTTTAAGGTTTATTATTAATTGCAAAAGACAATTGCAAAAATATGGAATAAGTGTTTATTTTAAAATAGGCCTACTGTAAATGTTTGAATTTGACTAAAGCATGAGATCTAATAAAGTTTCTTCTAATTTATAAATAGGCTTATATAAGTGTTTATCTGTCATTTGTCAGTTTTTGTATTTATTTGAAATTGCATCAATTGTCTTAGTTAACTCATTAAGCTAGAAATTAAAAAAAAATTACGTACATCTTGGCCTACAAATACTCTGTAAGTTTTACAGAGTACTGAGAGTAAAAACGAACTTCCTATATAATGACAGTTTCTCACTAGTTGTATGAAAAACAGTTATATATCTTCAAAATTTGTTTAACTATGAAAAAGTCACCAAGTCTAGCTGAAAACAGAATAACTAATCAAACAACCTTTTTATTTTCAACTATTTTATTTCTTAACTTTTCTTCCTTGAAAATGTCAACAGTTTTTCACTTATTTTTAACAAAGGTTATCACTTATAATTTCTCAAAAGAAATCGAAAGAAAGAGAGAAGAGACATACGTCACTGCCACAAAAACTATTCTCTACTGTGAATGAATGAACTGAGTGTTTATTAGTGCGAAGCCCCGCCCACCGTTTAACGGGACATGGGGTAGGAAAAGAGAAAGTTTGCTCTAAAGCCTGGTTCACATGCCCTCCCTCACCCTCGGCTCGGCCTCAGTCGCTTGCAGATTTCCATTACACAAAAGTTTCTGAGTGTTAATTATTTTAAAACACTGTAAATGTTTGAATTTGACTATGATGAGATCTAATAAAGTTTCCTCTAATTTATAAATAGGCTTATAAGTATTAATCTAGGTCATTTGACAGTTTTTGTATTTATTTTTAAAAGCAATTGTAGTTATACTTAAAAAAAAATTACATACATCTTGGCCTATAAATACTTTTTGTAAGGAGAGTCTTTTCTCTAGTGAGTAAAAACGATCGTGGTCAAGGAATGACTGTGCTAAAACAGCACATTGTCAATTTTTACAAAAGTATTTTGACTGAAACCTGGTATTTTTTAAAGACATAGAATAAGTTGACGTCTGTGGAGAAAAAGTATGGCAATAGATAGGTTTTACTTTTAGCCTACAATAAAGATTATGTTTTGGGACTAGAATCTTCAAAAGAGTGCTTTTATAAAACATGCCATAGTTTTATTTAGTAACAAAAGTGTTTAACTATGTTCCCGATGATACCAAGAGTAAAGGTTCGGCAGAGTGGATTCACTGTGAACCGGCCTGCCTGGCCCTTATGCACGACGTCACTATAACCTCCATGTACGGGTGTCAACAATGGATCGGAACAATCGATGTTTTGAACCTGTCTGTAACCCAGTTTTTATACTTTAATACTCATTATTTATAAACGAACACGCCCTACATATCGGATCTCTAATCAAGATATTTATCGATACCCTTCCCAACCATATAATAAGCACATAAAACGCAGGGTGTCTAGTAGTCGGGAAAATCGGGAAAGTCGGGAATTAGTATTACATAAGACATAAGACATATTTTATTTACACAAAACGTTCTTTATAAAGTACATTTCATACATAAGAACAGGTGTTTCGTCATAGTGATGTATTTTATAGTAAAATTAATAGTTAAAATAATTAAAATAAACTCATGTAGGATATCAAAGAATTTTTATCTACACTATAGGGTTCCCCAAAAATTCGTCAAGTGAATAGTAGGCTTTCTCAATTATTTTATTTTTTATTTTATCTTTGAATTGAGTAGCATTTAAATTTTTAAGATACAGGGGTAATTCATTGTACAATCTAAGTCCCATATATTGAGGGCTGTTCCTAAAAGTCGTCAATTTGTGATGTGGTAATCTGAAATTATATTTATTCCGTGTATTATTGAATTTCAAAATGGTCTTGAAAAGTAGGGATTTAGTCTTAAATTTGATTTCAAAGTCGGGAATTTTCATGATTTTGCCGCGATCGTCGTCTTGCGTTTACCTAACCGCGAAAGCCAATGATGATGATGTCTACACGGCCTCGGGAAATGTTCACGATTTTGATTTTGCCGCGATAGTGGACGACGACGATGACGTTTCCGTAACCGCGGGAGATGACGATGACGTTTCCGTGACCACGGGAGATGACGATGACGTTTACGTGACCGTGGGAGACGACGATGATATCTGCTCGGCAGCGGTAAATGTTCATGATTTTGTCGCGATCGCGGGAGATGACGATGACGTTTCCGTGACCGCGGGAGACGACGATGACGTTTCCGTGACCGTGGGAGACGACGATGACGTTTCCGTGACCGCGGGAGACGATGTTGACGTTTCCGTGACCGCGGGAGACGACGATGACGTTTCCGTGACCGCGGGAGACAACGATGATGTCTACAAGGCCGCGGGAAATGTTCATGATTTTGCCGTGATTGCGGACGTTGACGATAACGTTTCTGTGACCGCGGGAGACGACGATTATATCTGCTCGGCCGCGGGAAATGTTCATGATTTTGTCGCGATCGCGGACGACGACGATGACGTTTCCGTGACCGTGGGAGATGACGATGACGTTTCCGTGACCGCGGCCGGGCATGATGATGTCTACACGGCCGCGGGAAATGTTCATGATTTTGCCGTGATTGCGGACGTCAACGATAACGTTTCCGTGACCGCGGGAGATGACGGTGATGTCTAAACAGCCGCGGGAAATGTTCATAATTTTGCCGCGATCGCGGACGATGACGATGACGTTTCTGAGACCGCGGGAGACGACGATGATGTCATTGATGGCTACAAGGACGCGGGAAATGTTCATAATTTTGCCGTGATCGTGGACGACGACGATCACGTTTCTGTAATCGCATGTCTAAACGTACGGTACGTGAAAGATTTCATGATAAAAAAAAACAAATTTGCTAGTTAGAATTTTTTATTGCTGCATTATTTCTTTACTTGAAAACACCACATTATCATAATACTACTTAATGAAAAAGACAGTGGTTGGTGTAGTATTATTCAGAAAATTTGGTTAAGCTATAAAAATTTGTATCTGTATCACAAATCGAGAATCGATACATTTTGGTATCAACAACCACTAATTGTTGAAAAAACTAGTCTTGAAAAATCTGGAATTAGTCTTGAAAAGTCTGGAATTAGTCTTGAATTTTATAATGGAAATAAACTAGACACCCTGAAATCGATGTCTAAGCAATCGTCATTTGCTCCATTGAAACACGAAAGTCGATTGGCTGACATGGTAGTGCATTGACCAATGAGAACTGTTGTTACATACTTTTATTGTCAACATTCACCATTCGTTATAACTTTACATAATCGACATGGACTAAGGCTTATGATATTTTTCAATAAATACATTATGTCATAGTAGCACTTAAAAATAAAACTTCACTAAACTCTTAAATCAGGTAGATAGTACAGATAAATATGGACTTACTTTTTGGCGCAATATAAAGCAAGCCTAACCATACGACGTTGATGATGTTAAAGTTTAATGGTTGAATATAATTTTTCTAATGATGCGTATAATGCAGGGATGAAACTGAACATTTTGACGTGTTTAGGTTATTTATTTTGTACTAAAAATAAAAATAATACATCTAAATGTCTGACTTATTGATACAGACATTGTTTAGTATAATTAATTTCGTGTTGGCAGGACATTCGCGCGCCGGTTGTCTCATGAGTTAAGTCTGACATCTTGAAATGTAGAATGTGTTGTGCAATGAGCTGAAGCTAGGCTAAACAATGTCACTGGCACCGTCGCTGTTTTGAACTAGATAGTTTCTAAGTTGGCTATGAAAATTGTTAACCGTGATTACAAATCTAATACTGTAGCTATAAAGTAAATAAATGTTAAAATAAAATATTTATCCCTGTCGGGTGTCGGTATCATCGGAATCGACTTTTGACAATCGAGTCTTGGTACCGATGACAATGTCCAAGTAGTAACCAATGGATGGTGGTATCGATGACGATAATCGACACATCCCTTTTTAGAACTGCATCGTGACCAAATCGATGCATGCTGGATCGAATCGGGATTCGATGCATCGAATTGAAATTCAATGCATCGCACTCGCTGCACACCACTACCTATCACTATCACCCACAGCTGTCGCTGTCAGTGAAATTGATGACGCAAGCGATGTCTAGGTTGCCGATTATTATTAGGCCTAGTATGTCAATATTGAAAGGGGTTAAGGGATTAAATAAAACTAAAACATTTTCCTTTCTTGTAATTTACTTGTCAAATATCAACGAAATCGGCTTAAACCTCTACTCCTCGACTCGAGTTGCGAGTATATTTAACTAAGTAGGCAAACAGCTAGGATTTGTAACGGCAACGGCAATTTACCCGCTCTGAACTGACTTAATCCGCACCGATTCGTAGCATCACAGACAAGGGAAACAAAAGGGAAACTTGTATTTCCTTAGTCAATGGTAGCATTCAGTGGTTCAGTGTCAGTATCGGTATCGAACCCAAAACAGGCAAGTATCGAGTATCGACGATACCTCGATACCGCTGGTATCGAGAGTATTTTGGTATCGAGTATCGGTATTGGCCCACCTCTATTTATTAGTCAAGAACTAAAAATGATTTTTTAAAATTCTAACTTGTTTATATTATTATATTTAACAGTTATTTTTAGGGGTCTGCGGTACAAATAATTTAAGGTTAGGTTAGATAACTTGTTTATATTATTATATTTAACAGTTATTTTTAGGGGTCTGCGGTACAAATAATTTAAGATTAGGTTAGATAACTTGTTTATATTATTATATTTATCAGTTATTTTTAGGAGTCTGCGGTACAAATAATTTAAGGTCGGTACGGTACGGTACAATATTTTGTTCCTTGGTTCTCGGTACAAAATCGGCACGGGGCTACCAGTATTTTTGCCATTTCCTTCTCAGAATTATTTAAACCATCATTTTAAATTTTATTAAATTGCCATCACTATGAAAATGGATAGAATCGTACTTTTGTAGTTTTCTAACAACAATTACTGTACTGCACAGTATTAAATAGTTTTACTCCTAACAGGATTGTGTCAAGAAACACAGTCAAGATAAAGGCTTTACTTATAGTACTAAGATAAGTCATAGCCATCATAAAGTGGGGTTTTTTTAACGAGTTCTTGGAAGTACTATTGACGTGAGTACCACAATTATTGACTTGATAAAATATTAATGATTTGGGACTGCTTAATGGGATTTTTATTGCATCATTACCCTAGTAATCAATTATGTAAATTGCAAACAAACATCTGATAAACCTTTTATATACTCTGAACAAACTTCCCTTGACTATGATAGTAAATTGAAAGTAATTTATTATTGTAGGCTGTACTGAATCAAATTAGTACTGAGTAAAATGCTGTACCAAACCAATGGTGGTAACTAGACCAGAACCGTATCGTACCAACTTTTTTGGTACACCGCATTTTATTTGATTATCTCAATTGTCCATCTCTGTCTGGATACAAAACAATTTAAGGCTTAAAGAACAGTATCACAGTCATAATATTTCATCTACTAAACGGATTTTACAAACATCCACTTAAATTTACCAATTGTTAATTCTTGACCACTTTGCCCACCTCATATTTCCAACTCTTCAGGCATCCAAGGGGCCTCCTTCAACCAGGTTTATCTTTCTGTGATAAAAGAAATATAAATGGGAGAAGTGCGATGCTTAAAAAAGAGAGGGAAATATTAAGTAACCAAAGAGAATGTTTAGAGCCAGGCACAGAATCAGACAGTGTTGTTTTTACTTGGTGAGGTCAAATACTTTCTGAGGGTTCTGGGATTAAGACAAATTTATAGAATACCCCCGTTGCAGAAAACCTTCAGACTAACCGAATTTCCATTAACCTGGCTTGATTATATTCCAAATTATATAGATAAACATTCCACTAAAATATTGCCTTAAAATTGTCAGAACTATTTACTACTGTACTATGTAAAACATTAATTCTAATGAGTACTTAGGTTTGTTGCTAAAGGGAAGGAGTATTAAAATGATGATAACTTAGTATGGAATAAACAAATTTGCCAAATTCGATCAAAATATATCCATAAAGAAACAATGCTTCAATATATTAAATTATTTGTTTTTCTAAGCTTTACAAAATGGTTCAGAAAGAATTTGCCAAATTTGATGTCTTATGTTTAGAATAGTTTTAAGAGAAATTGGGAAATTTTAAATTTTTATGGTAAAAAATGGGAATAAATAAATTTTTACCTCATAAAACCCCCCAAAAACCCCGCTCTTATAGTCCCATCATGCTGGTTCACAAACTCATTCCAATAAAGGTAGGTCTATATGTTTGTACCAAATTTCAAATTGTTTGGCGTTTTGGAAATTAAATGACTGACTTTTTTAAAAGCATAAAAAATAAAATACGTAGTAATTACGGTAAAAATTATGCTGATTTTATATCAATAAATTCAGTAAATAATGTAGAATTAGAAAATAAAAAAAAACACTAACATATCTTGTAACACAATAACACGTATGTTGTAAACAATTAATAATGCAGTGATGAGTTTGACAGTTGTATGTGTCAAATGTCGCCAGCTGGGCCACGCGGAGGGTGCCGGACTAGAGAAGATTTGTTTTGCTCCATTGACGTCCCCGTTCACCGGCCCCACCAGGCTGTCGCAGTGTGTGGTGCAGAGCATCTGGGGCTACTACTCCAACGACTTGGACGAGTTCAACACTGAGGACCCGAACAACAACTACCTCGACCACTTCATCAAGTGTTCTCAGTAAGTGTCAGAACTGTTGGCAAGTAGCTATTTGAAGTGTCACAGATTCCCATCAAAGTATATTTACAAAGGTGTTCTTACAAAGGTCTCACACAACTTTTAGAAACTTTATACATGTCATTTAAAGGACATTATTATTTTTTTTAAAGAAAAATTGTTTTGGTAGGGATTATGGATGAGTTATATTCTTAATAACATTCAATCTTGGACTTTCATTCAGTATTAGTATTGAGAAATAATTGTCAAAAGTGTTTATTAGTGATGGGTCAGTACTTTTTTTAAAGAGGTTGGCGGCCTCATTGATTTAACCTTGCATTTGGGAACGTACTGGTATCCAGCAAAGCAAGGATGAGCCAGTACAGTGCAAAGGTGAACCGTAATGATAAAATGCTTACGGTAGTGACCACGATCCGAACCCACGACATTACTGCCTTGGGCCCGAAGTCCGTGACGCTACCGACTGAGCCACCGACTCACCAAAAGTGACGACTTAACGTTAAATGTCGGGTCTACCGGTTCTTGGGAAAAGTACCGGAACCAAGAATTGATGGTGAAATGTCTATACCTTTGGTACCATGTTAATTATATTTTTATTTACTTATGTACAAAATTCAAATTGTCAACCATGATGATTATTTTTTACTTAAGGCTATTTGAAAGGGCATATTCATCATGAAATATTATCAATAGTAGGCTATAGGATGATTATTTCAGTGTTAGTTGGTTAAGTTGTCGTCACTATCGTCAGCTGATAGAGTGGTGTAAACACCGTCACCATTGCTATACCATCTTCAAGCAAATGACAGAATGTAATCGCCTTTAAAGGATTCCTCAGGTCTGGTGAGAGTCTGTAAAAGACAGCTCCATACCAGCGAGCTACTGCCAGTATACTGAATGTTGACATCACCATGTGTCTATGTACAGGAACAGCTACAGCCCAGAGTGTCTGGCCCCGTACGGTGGTCCTGTAGACCCAGCCATCGCCCTAGGAGGGTTCCTCAGGCCAGGTGAGAGTCTGTCAAAGACAGCACCGTTCAAGCGTGCTACTGCCAGTATACTGAATGTTGACATCACCATGTGTCTATGTACAGGAACAGCTACAGCCCAGAGTGTCTGGCCCCGTACGGTGGTCCTGTAGACCCAGCCATCGTCCTAGGAGGGTTCCTCAGGCCAGGTGAGAGTCTGTCAAAGACAGCACCGTTCAAGCGAGCTACTGCCAGTATACTGAATGTTGACATCACCATGTGTCTATGTACAGGAACAGCTACAGCCCAGAGTGTCTGGCCCCGTACGGTGGTCCTGTAGACCCAGCCATCGCCCTAGGAGGGTTCCTCAGGCCAGGTGAGAGTCTGTCAAAGACAGCTCCGTTCCAGCGAGCTACTGCCAGTATACTGAATGTTGACATCACCATGTGTCTATGTACAGGAACAGCTACAGCCCAGAGTGTCTGGCCCCGTACGGTGGTCCTGTAGACCCAGCCATCGCCCTAGGAGGGTTCCTCAGGCCAGGTGAGAGTCTGTCAAAGACAGCACCGTTCAAGCGAGCTACTGCCAGTATACTGAATGTTGACATCACCATGTGTCTATGTACAGGAACAGCTACAGCCCAGAGTGTCTGGCCCCGTACGGTGGTCCTGTAGACCCAGCCATCGCCCTAGGAGGGTTCCTCAGGCCAGGTGAGAGTCTGTCAAAGACAGCGCCGTTCCAGCGAGCTACTGCCAGTATACTGAATGTTGACATCACCATGTGTCTATGTACAGGAACAGCTACAGCCAAGAGTGTCTGGTCCCGTATGGTGGTCCTGTAGACCCAGCCATCGCCCTAGGAGGGTTCCTCAGGCCAGGTGAGAGTCTGTCAAAGACAGCGCCGTTCCAGCGAGCTACTGCCAGTATACTGAATGTTGACATTACCATGTGTCTATGTACAGGAACAGCTACAGCCAAGAGTGTCTGGCCCCGTACGGTGGACCTGTAGACCCAGCCATCGCCCTAGGAGGGTTCCTCAGGCCAGGTGAGAGTCTGTCAAAGACAGCACCGTTCAAGCGAGCTACTGCCAGTATACTGAATGTTGACATCACCATGTGTCTATGTACAGGAACAGCTACAGCCAAGAGTGTCTGGCCCCGTACGGTGGACCTGTAGACCCAGCCATCGCCCTAGGAGGGTTCCTCAGGCCAGGTGAGAGTCTGTCAAAGACAGCTCCGTTCCAGCGAGCTACTGCCAGTATACTGAATGTTGACATCACCATGTGTCTATGTACAGGAACAGCTACAGCCAAGAGTGTCTGGCCCCGTACGGTGGTCCTGTAGACCCAACCATCGCCCTAGGAGGGTTCCTCAGGCCAGGTGAGAGTCTGTCAAAGACAGCACCGTTCAAGCGAGCTACTGCCAGTATACTGAATGTTGACATCACCATGTGTCTATGTACAGGAACAGCTACAGCCAAGAGTGTCTGGCCCCGTACGGTGGACCTGTAGACCCAGCCATCGCCCTGGGAGGGTTCCTCAGGCCAGGTGAGAGTCTGTCAAAGACAGCTCCGTTCCAGCGAGCTACTGCCAGTATACTGAATGTTGACATCACCATGTGTCTATGTACAGGAACAGCTACAGCCCAGAGTGTCTGGCCCCGTACGGTGGTCCTGTAGACCCAGCCATCGCCCTAGGAGGGTTCCTCAGGCCAGGTGAGAGTCTGTCAAAGACAGCGCCGTTCCAGCGAGCTACTGCCAGTATACTGAATGTTGACATCACCATGTGTCTATGTACAGGAACAGCTACAGCCAAGAGTGTCTGGCCCCGTACGGTGGTCCTGTAGACCCAGCCATCGCCCTGGGAGGGTTCCTCAGGCCAGGTGAGAGTCTGTCAAAGACAGCTCCGTTCCAGCGAGCTACTGCCAGTATACTGAATGTTGACATCACCATGTGTCTATGTACAGGAACAGCTACAGCCCAGAGTGTCTGGCCCCGTACGGTGGTCCTGTAGACCCAGCCATCGCCCTGGGAGGGTTCCTCAGGCCAGGTGAGAGTCTGTCAAAGACAGCGCCGTTCCAGCGAGCTACTGCCAGTATACTGAATGTTGACATCACCATGTGTCTATGTACAGGAACAGCTACAGCCCAGAGTGTCTGGCCCCGTACGGTGGTCCTGTAGACCCAGCCATCGCCCTGGGAGGGTTCCTCAGGCCAGGTGAGAGTCTGTCAAAGACAGCTCCGTACCAGCGAGCTACTGCCACTATACTGACCTTCCTGGTCAACAATCATCACAACAAGACACTGCTGCAGCCTGCTCTGCTCTGGGAAGAGAGGTGAGTTTCAGCTGATACTATAGTTCGGCCGCTTAGAAAGCGACCTCCTCCAGCATTGGTTTAGCATTAGCGCGCAGGTCGTTTTCTAAGCAGCCGAACTAAATGAAACTAAATGAAAAATTCTCCTCAGTTATCTTTTGTTCATGATGATTGCGAATGATTTATGAAAATAAATAAGAAGCGCCTACCGAACTCTAAATACCTTAACATAGTTATTGATTTGTAAATTTTGTCAGTTTAAAAAAATCCTGGATTGAGTTGTGATTTCTTTTTACCTTGAAAATAGAAACACATTCACAATTTCTCAAAACTTTCGATTTAAAAAATTCTTGTCAGTTTGTGTATCAGGATTCACTACCGAACCCAGAATCCCTTGTTTACGGCAAAGTTGTGATCATCGTCTTTTTGGGACTGCGGTGATATAATGATTAACTTAAGCGATCACAAAGAATTCTCAAACTGTAGACTACAGATATAATGTTACAGCATGTGTTCTGGTTGCTTTAATATCCTTTTGTTACGGCTCCTGAAAATTCCCAAACTATGAACTCCCCTTAGAAAATAAAAACAGAACAATATACTAAATTTTCAGGTTTTCAACATGCCTACTTTTAATATTCAGTCAATTTTTTTAAATACATCATACTATTATATTAATATTGCAAAATGTTTCTGTGAATAATTTATTAAACCTTACCAGCTCATTTTGGTTGTATATTATATTACTAAATTTGGTCTGCAACTAGAATCCTGTATTTGTTTGCAGCAGAGCTACCATGATGCCACTAGTACCCAGTTCAAGCCACTGAATGATACTAAATCAAAAGAATGTGACCTTTAAAAATTGTTAGATTCCGGGCCCTGTCTTCGGCTAAAATACGGAAAGTGGTATTTCAGCATATCTACTCCAGGGGAGTCATTTGCTCAATCATTATAGTCTGTATTATGGAACCTTAGAAGCTGTCTCCTGAATCTCCATCTATCTAGGGTCTAACCAATGGTTTAAAGCCTGGCCAGTCCAGGTAAATGAAAGGTCAAGAGACAGGTTACAGCTTACAGACTATAGACGAAATTAACAAAACAGGCAATGCTGACAGTGACAAATAATTTAGTAAATACTCACACTTTTTCTAAGAAATATTTTACCTCACCAAGTTTATTCTAGCAGATAGCATCCAAATACCTTTTTTATGTTTCAGATTCATTTCTTTCATGAAGAACTGGACAGCGACAGAGAAGCCAGCGTACATGGACGTTGCCTTCACCTCGGAGAGATCTATTGAGGATGAGTTGGACAAGGAGTCTCGCTCAGATATTCTCACCATCCTCGGCAGTTACATCATCATGTTCGCTTACATCGCCTTGGCACTAGGACAGATTCATCAGTGTAATACCATGCTGGTAAGATACTACAGTAAGACGCCTCTAATTGACCATGATAACATAAAATTTCAATAATTTCATATTTTGAGTCGTTTTTGTCTCTGGATCACAGAACAAACTATAAAAGGTATAAAATTACCCGAGTACTGCCAGAGTGATCCTTTTGGTCCTTACGGATTACGCGTTTCGAGGAGCTTAAGTCCTCATCATCAGATCTTGTACAAGAAACACATCTAACACTTCGAAAAGGTCGTCAAAAGTTTAAATACACAACACGGACACATAATAAATAAACACGTTTTACAATTACGAGTAGGCCTACCGACAAAGTCATGACTGCGATACGGGAGGTGGGCGGGCGGTGGACTTTGTACTTCTCGGCTCTTTGTTCATCAGCTGTTCTTGGTTTGTTATTAAAGTATCATACAGAGCGTTAAACTGGAAACTGATTTCAAGACAACTAAGACAACTCCAGCTGTTTAATAAATACATTAATAACATTCACCCTAAACTTCAGTTTACAATAGAACTAGAAACGGACAATAAACTCAATTTCCTGGATTTAACTGTCATACGAGGTGACAAACTTTTCACGTTCGATATTTACAGGAAGCCAACCTTAACAGATACTACAATCCATGAAACATCACATCATCCCGTTAAGCATAAAATGGCTGCATATAACAGTTTCGTTCATCGGCTCCTATCAATACCACTTAGCTCTGAAAACTTTGATAAAGAGAAAACCACTATTAAATACATTGCACATAAAAATGGTTACGATCCCGTTATAATAGATAAGATAATTAAAAAACAATTAAAGAGAAAGAACAATAGGAATGAAGATAAACCCAAAGAAAGGAAAGTTTTTGTAACTTCAGAATTTGGTAATAAGTTACCAAACATTCTAGCAAACGAATTAGGAAAAAAGAACATCAATATCGCTTTTAAAACTTCAAATAAACTACAAAAACTACTCAACAGTGCTGATAAAAATGGAGTAAATAATACAGCCGACAGAACTGGTATCTACAAGTTATCATGCGACGATTGCAACAAAATTTACATTGGGCAAACAGGCAGGACATTTCAAACTAGATTTAAAGAACATTTGCCTAAAGCAAGTAATCATCTCAAATCCAATTTTGCAGCTCATCTTGTAAATGAAAACCATAACTACAGTGATTTTAACACAAATTTAACCCCTCTACATTTTTGCAATAAAGGCAATGTTATGGACGCTTTAGAAGAGTTCGAAATTTATAAAACTACCAAAACCCAACCTAACACATTATTAAACGACAAAATCAGTTTCCAGTCCAACGCTCTGTATGATACTTTAATAACAAACCAAGAACAGCTGATGAACAAAGAGCCGAGAAGTACAAAGTCCACCGCCCGCCCACCTCCCGTATCGCAGTCATGACTTTAACCTACAACTGTGCGGTCGGACATTGCAAGTTTTTGTCGTGTTTATTATTAAAACGTGTTTATTTATTATGTGTCCGTGTTGTGTATTTAAACTTTTGACGACCTTTTTGAAGTGAAAGATGTGTTTCTTGTACAAGATCTGATGATGAGGACTTAAGCTCCTCGAAACGCGTAATCCGTAAGGACCAACAGGATCACTCTGGCAGTACTCAGGTAATTTTATACCTTTTATACTTTCAATAATTGTCGGGGTAGCCGAGTGGTTATAGTGCTCGCCTTCAAATCTGAAGGTCACTGGTTTGTCTCCAAGCGAGATTGTTTCCAGACCCAGATGCCATTTGTCATTGGGCTATGAATTAATGATGTTATCCAACAAGATGGTCGATTTTAGATAGTTACAAGACCAGGGTTTGGACCGTTTCATTATAAAATGTAAAAAATGCCACTGGCATAGAAACACACAAAAAATCTCACATTGGGCTAAGGAGGTTTTATACACTTAATTTGCCTTTCAGGAATGTTTGGAAAAGGTTGTTGGCAATCACACGATGCTGGGCATACTAAGCAGTGATCATGTAGATAGTAAAAATCATATCTATAAACAGCTTATTAATAAGTTTTGGAAATTAAGTTTACGATATTCTACCTTTGAAAGTGTCTACTTTCGGTCAGCGCTCATTTTTGTTGTACCTGGCTCTACTAAAGTCTGAAACATGTTGGATTTGCGAGTATCTAATGATGTACTATATTTTTCATTGTTCGTATAAAGTTCAATAGTGTGGGCCTTGTTTAAAAGGGGGAATGTAGCATACATATGTTAGGCTTAATAATTGGTTACTTTAACTTTATCAAACCTTTCAGTCGTAGTTTTTCTCTAGTTCTCAGTTTTTGCCACAGACATAGAGCACAATAATCAAAAGGTTATAAAGAGTTGGAAAGGAAACACATCCAAATAATCATGGAACTCGCCACTATCTTATAAGACAGTGATTTATCTGTTTAAAAATATTAATAGTTGACCTAATCTTCTAGCAAGTTTAATTTTGCGCTTTCATCTTAGCTTTAGTAACTGCACAACCACTTCCTCAACATCGCTTACACGGGAATTTTAAATATAATTTTCTAAATAAATATTGATTTGAATGATCAGGAGTTCATTTACCTGGTGTAGGACATTGGAGTTCACTTTAGTCCTAGAATGTGGACACAAAAGTAAAGTTAATATGTTATGATTATTTTTTCCAGATGGACAGTAAGATCACCGTGGGGTTGGCTGGAGTGGTGGTTGTTCTCATGTCGATTGTCTGCTCTGTGGGATTTTTTGGATACATTGGAGTACCTGCTACCCTAATTATTTTTGAGGTTAGTTTTCACCTGTTGTTTTTTTTTAATAAAAGTGTTGGTCCCATTATCTTCATATATTTACGCCTATCCTCATATACATTAACTCAGCAGCATTTTAAGGATCATCTCAAGACCTGCAGGCTGCGACGCTTAAAATAAAATATCATACTAAAAATCAAATTAATTGGCATTTCAACAATGATTGAACAGTTTTTAAGTCATTTTCATTAGATGTGTGGTTAAGTGTAAGGGACACAGTTACCTAAAAAAAAGACCTCGCGATTTTTATCTCACAACTGCAATCAGTGACCTCATAAAAACTATCTTTGCAAAAAGAAATATTCTTGCAACTATATTGAGTAACTTAAGTGGGATTGGAAAAATATAAGACTATTGTAATGAAATATGAAAATAATCCACTATAGTTCGGCCGCTTAGAAAGCGACCTCCTCTAGCATTGGTTTAGCATTAGCGCGCAGGTCGTTTTCTAAGCGGCCGAACTATACAACAGACTGATGTTGCATTATAGATTTGAATTCTTTGTAGTACCTTCAAACCAAGTGATTTAAACATATTTATGTAGTCCTGTGTCTGGTAGGTGATCCCATTCCTGGTGCTGGCTGTTGGTGTGGACAACATTTTCATCATCGTACAGAGACATCAGAGAGAGCCCAGACTAGAGGAAGAGACTACAGAGCAGCACATTGGCAGAGTTCTGGGACTGGTCGGTCCATCCATGCTGCTCACCAGTGTGTCAGAGTCTTGCTGCTTCTTCCTAGGTATTAGACATGCTTAATCTAGTTATTGAAGTGATGTAAATTGGAAGGTCATAAATTTCTAAAAAGATACGTTTTTTTGCTGTGAAGTCACAAAAAAAATAACTTTTTGTACAATGGATTTAAAAAATTCATTAAAAGAAAAGTACTGAATTTATTAGCGATTCCATGAAATCACTGATTAAAATTTAAAGGCATTCCAAGTCCTAGATTCAAGGGTACAGTACAACCTTGCTAATCCGTCACCTACGGGACCATTACCGTGGCTGGAACGGTGAAACGGTTGGATTATTCGAGGAGCAGCATGTTCATGAACTAGTATGTTCAGGATTTAGCCGTGATTGTGGGTGACTATTATGATGTTTCCACTACCGCAGAAGACATTCAGGAGTTTCTGCAATTGCAGATAATAACAATAATGTTTCTGTGACAGCAGGAGACAATTATGATGTCCCTTTGAATTCGAAAGATGTTCAATATTTTTCCACGATTGGGGAAGACAATGATAATATTTCTTACCCGTGGGAGGCGTTCAGTACTTTACCATGATCAGGGTAGACGATAATAAAGTTTCTGCTACCGCATTAGATGTCCTAGATTTGTTGCAGAAGGAGCTGATGTTTCCGTTACTGTGAACATGTTCAGAGTTTTCCTGCGATCGTGGAAAAATAATTATGTTTCCGTGACTGCGGGGGATAAACAAGATGTTAGCCATGATTGCGGTAGACGGTGATGATGTCAACACGGCCAAGGAAAATGGTCATGATATTCCTGGGATAACATTGATACCAATAGCCAATGGCACATTTGGATTAAGTGAGGAGTCCTATTAGATGAGGTCGGATTAGCTGGGTTTTACTGTCGCAATAATAGTAAATTCACTACATCTGGTCCATATAGATGCAATGACTACTTCAATAGGCTATCCAAAAGTAATTGCTACGTACCTACTAATATTAATCAGCCTACTTTGTACTGGATAGTACTTTTCGCTATACTATGCTAATCTCTGAATTCAGTTTAATTTATAAATGCACAATACATTATTTCCTCTATGCTATGTTATAGGTGCATTGTCCGACATGCCAGCTGTGAAAGCCTTTGCGCTGTACGCTGCAATGGCGTTGTTTGTTGATTTCCTCTTTCAAATTTCCTGTTTCATCAGCATTCTCACCCTGGACACTAAGAGACATGAGGTAAATGGAAAAAAATTACTCCAATAGCACTTTAGTTTCAACTGCTGGAAGTTTGTTGATTGTTATTTGTCTTTAACGAGTCAAAAACATTTAAAAAGCAGGAAATGGCAACTAAAGAAAATAAAAAAGAGATAGAAAGACTAATAAATAAATAAATTCCTCCACAAATCTCCAGGGCTGTGCGAATCCAGAAATTTTGGATCGAATCCGAATCCGAATCATAGCTGTACAGATTTTATCGAATCCGGATCGAATCCTAATATTTTAATTAATCCCGAGTCGAATCTGGGTCGAATCCGAATCTCAAATTTACAGCCATTATCGAACCTGGATCGAATCCGAATCTGAAATTTAAAGCTGTTATCGAATCCGAATGTTTAAACCTGTTCAGAGTCGAATCCAAATCCGAGGAAAGTCAGCAGTACCAATTTTCACATTTTTAGACCACGTTTTCTGGGGCTGAAATAACTTAGGGCATTGCTTAAAAAAATTCTCGAAATGGGCCAAATAAAAAAGTTATAAAATTTAGGCCTACCTATTTGAAGTTTTGAAACTAAAAAATTGGGCATAAGTTAGGCATACCACCTAGGCCTAAGTTACTCGCTAAAAGTGATGGACTACCAATTTGTGTAGTCTAAAACAGGCCCAGCCTATTATACACCTCGGTGTTAATCCTCCACACAAGCCTATGTCTGCATTACTATTACAAGTAACAACTAACACTGTGAGGTTAAGTTTACTGCTAGCCAAGATAGGGTTCAAATGCGACCTACACTAATGTGCCTAAAGCCTAACACCAAGTTGGTCAGGTTCCTAACATGAACCAGTCAACAGCAAATCGGAGTGCACAAGTAGTTTTTTAGTGTCTAAAAAATTATATTGAAAATTATGTTCAATCAGAATCTAGTAAATTTGAATATCGAATCCCAACTCGGATCTATTTCCAAGAAATTCGAATATCGAATCCGAACCCGGATCTCTTACCAGTAAATTTGAATATCGATTCCGAATCCGAATCCAGTTAGAAACAGTAGATTCGTTCTCGAATCCGAATCGAATCTCTAAAAAGATTCGGATTCGATTCGTTTTTCGAACTATTCGCACAGCCCTGCAAATCTCAATTGGAGGGCTGTATTTATTTAACCACATTTATAATATTGAAGATGTGTCAACTGTTAGGTTTTTTATTATTTATAGTTTGATTGTTTACTTTTTCCCTAAATTAATTCCTTGATTCTACCATAGATTAACCAACACAAACAGACTTCTCATAGCATTGTAAATTTTGAATCTCGTTTTTCGTGTCTAGTTCATGTATGGTGACACTGGGTGCTAGTGTCAATGAAATTTAGTTTGATTGTTTACTTTTTCCCTAAATTAATTCCTTGATTCTACCATAGATTAACCAACACAAACAGACTTCTCATAGCATTGTAAATTTTGAATCTCGTTTTTCGTGTCTCTGAGTTCATGTATGGTGACACTGGGTGCTAGTGTCAATGAAATTTATATTATTTTAGGGTTTATTTCTTGATTTGTGCTTTACTGTTTGGTCATATACCTAGGGGACGATTAAGTGCTTATGATTAGATCATATTATTTGGTTAAACGAGGCTTTAAATTACTGAAATAACAAGAAACAAATTTTAAACAAAACATGACGTCTACAGTGCACCGTACAGAACTAAGAATAAAATTGTCTTTTCTATAAAGATGAGAAATCTACTAAGGGAGGATATTTTATATATGATTCTACTTAGAAGTTTACAAGACAATAAAAGTTTATCCAAATGTTGAGCTTTGATTCTGCCTCAGAGTTTAATGCAAATCACAAGAGATTTTCATTAAAATAAGCATAAGTGAGATTTGCCTGTAATTTGCATGGTAAGTTTATGTAGCTGTTTTTTCACAGATTTAGAGAACACTATTATCTTGAGAGTATTCTCACCTCATTGCGAAGCACGGGCAGAACAACCAGTTTGAATAATCCCAATAAAATTTGTGTTGTAGGAACGTAGGCTAGATATGTTTTGCTGTCTCAAATCGTCCAACAAAGCAGAAACTGTCATTGAAGACGGAACACTCTTCAGTTTCATAAGAGATAGGTAATATTGCGTAATTTATATGTGCATTTTTATTGAAAGTTTGCTCAAAGGTTTTGTGTCATTTTGTTCAAATTCCATAACATTTAACCAAAAGTGAATTTGTTTTACTCCTGTCTCCTATCATATGAATAATTTTAGTAACTAATTTATATGTTAGAGCCTTATAGTTAGTTTTGAGAATTTCTTAAAATTTCCAAAATATGTATTTTCTTTCTTCCTTTGTATTTATTTATTTTCCTTTCCAAACAACTAAAATAAAAGTTAGGAATTTTGCATAGAAAGTTTTATTCAAAAGATATCAAGTACCTAAACAAATTTATTGTATTTTCCAATCATTACTATTATTTATTGGACTACAACACTACAAACTAAGCATTTGTTTTGTGCAAGGATGAACTAAAGACAAGGGTAGAATGAATTAAAGAAATGAAATAGAACATGAATTAAAGTGTATCCTTTGTTACTGATAAATACAAGCTGACTCTTTTGCCAGCAATCGAAGATTAAACGATTAATTTTGAAGGGAGACCTTACACCTAACCTAACCTACACTAACCTTACACAAGTCATTCATAAACTACCAAAAATTCCTGTTGGTTATATGATGGCATAAATAAGTGTAAAGTTTTGTTAGATGTAAATGTTGAAAGTGTGAACTTAGAAAACTTCACTTCTTCATTATGCCATTGTTGTAACTGGAGCGTGGTTCTAGTCATATGGTAAAAAATAGTTTTACTTCTTTCTTCTTTTGACATGTGTGACATTGTTTTACTTCTTCCTTGTTGTATTTGTGTTTGAGCTTATGAATGTTTATTGGTGTAGTATTGTCATATGTGATACATTCTGAAGTACTTGAACGCTAAATGCTTACTTTCTTTAACTTTCATATTTTATACACAATAGTATTTAGTAACTACAACTCATACAAGTGTGCTTATATAACTAATTAATTTCCAGATACGCCCCTAAACTGTTGTACAGTCGAGGAACACGAGCATTTGTCGTGTTGGTGTTTGTTGCGTGGCTGTGCGTTAGTATGTCAGTGTTACCAAACTTGACTATCGGACTGGACCACAAACTGTCGATGCCTCAAGACTCTCACGTCTACAAATATTTTACGGTATTCTATTTTACTTGGGATTACTTTTGATTTCTTACATATTATGTCACAATATATCTAGATAACTTTAAAACCATATTTTAAGACAGATTGATCAAAGGTTTCAGATTTGATAGACAGTATAACTCAAAATGTATATGTCGACTGTTTAATTGATTGTAGTTAATTATTGCCTTATTGCAAATAGTTCGACATATCGAAAGTATAATGTGCACTATCAAAATTGTAATAGACGAAACGATTAAATAACTTACTAAACATCTGCTTGTTCTATTAGCAAATTAAATTAAAAACAAGTTAGAAGTAGATTTAAGTGGCTATCTTTGAATCATCACCATTTTAATTTTGTAACAGTTTGTTCAAACTTTGATGCAATATGACAAAAATTATAGTTCACCACACAGGCAATAAGTGTCTTTTCAATTCTCGCTCATTTTCCGTTGAGTACGGGTCGAAAATAGTCACTTTAGGGCTTAGTGATGAAATATACTCACTCACTCACTCACTCCCATGGCCATTTATGCCCAAGGCGGGATTTGGCCGCACCAACAACTGCTTTCCATCTCTCTCGATCTTCTGCCTCTTCCACTTCTGCCCCCACTTCTCTGACGTCCTTGGAAACACTATCCCACCATCTCTTCTTGGGCCTTCCTAATGGTCGTTTCCCTTCTGGCTTTCCTATACTTGCTTCTTTTAGTAGTGAACCTCGTTCTCTCCGTAGTGCGTGTCCTGCCCACCTTATTCTCCTTGCTTTCACGTGTGCTACTACATCATAATCATTGTACATATTCCTTATCTCCCTATTATGCCTTTTCCTCCATTCCCCATTTTCTTGTATTGGTCCATATATCATTCTTAAAAATTTGTTTTCAAAAACAATCATTTTGTTTTCTTCTTTTTTATTTAAAATCCAAGTTTCAGCTCCATATGTTAATACTGGTCGAATTATACTATGATATATTTTTATTTTTGTTTTATGTGAGAGAATCTTTGAAGTCAACAATTTCTTACAAGAATACATACATTTATTGGCCTGAGCAATCCTATAATTTATTTCCATTTCTTCACTATTGCTGCTTGATATAATTACCCCTAGATATTTAAATTGTTCAGCAACTTCAAAAGTATGTCCATCTATACTAATTTCATTTGTCCTCACTTCATTTGGCTGTCTCGTGAAGTGTATATATTTTGTCTTCTCATCATTAATCTTTAGGCCCATTTTTTCTGATTTTTTTATGAACAGTCTGGTTAGCTCCTCTAGGTCATTTCTGTTTTTGGACAGAATTACTACATCGTCCGCAAAAGCTAGGATGTTTATTTTTGTTCCCATTTCTAAACTTATATTTGTTTGTCTTACTTGTTGGAGGGCCTCTTCTAAGGCTATGTTAAATAGTATAGGTGACATTCCATCACCTTGCCTTACGCCTGTTCTTACTTCAAAGCTTTCTGATAACTCTCCATCTATTTTTACTTTGCATTTTGATTCATTCAAGGACATTTCTACTAGTTTTATTAGTTTTCTGGGGATCCCAAACTTTTCCATCTGCTGATATATTCTTCCCCTGTCAAGGCTATCATAGGCCTTCGAAAAATCAATGAAAAGCCCATGTACTTCTTTATTGTATTCCCAGTGCTTACTAAGATGAAATATACTAGTTTGTATAAAATAACCGTTTTAGTTTTTGGATTCTAATTGTGGTGATACTGTGGTATTACGCAGTTGTAATGTTCTTTATCTAACGGTTGTTTGTTTCCAGTACCTGAGTGAGTTCCTGTCCATTGGTCCGCCAGTCTACTTTGTCTTGACAGGCGAGATGAACATGAGTGATACTGTGGTATACACAGTTGTAATGTTCTTTATCTAACGGTTGTTTGTTTCCAGTACCTGAGTGAGTTCCTGTCCATTGGTCCGCCAGTCTACTTTGTCTTGACAGGCGAGATGAACATGAGTGATACTGTGGTATTACCCAGTTGTAATGTTCTTTATCTAACGGTTGTTTGTTTCCAGTACCTGAGTGAGTTCCTGTCCATTGGTCCGCCAGTCTACTTTGTCTTGACAGGCGAGATGAACATGAGTGATACTGTAGTACAAAACACCATCTGTGGAGGTCAACACTGCAACACTGACTCTCTATCGCTGCAGATATACAAAGCGACTAAAATGTCCAACATGTGAGTGTAACAACATAAATTAATATAAACTTTCTCAAGCTCTAGCAACCAAATCGATAGACATGTTTAAAAGACCCAGTTTTTTAATTAACTTTCAGTCACCATACTTTAATTTAAAATGGGTGAGTTAATAGTCTAGTGGTTTGCATTTTGGACGTAAGTGTGAGAAGAACATGTCCCTTTGTATCTCCACAGTTTAATGTGCTTGGTCCACCTTCCTTTGAAAGCTGTAACAACTTCATTGGAAATTACACTGGTGAAACACTAATATCATGTAATTTAAGATGACTCATTACAAAATTTCCAAAATGTTTAACTTTTTGGTATAAACCTATTGTCAAATGATCAAGCATAGATTTCTTTGATGCCTGAGAAATTCAGCTTTTTAATTTATGAACTTTGTGAAGATTTTTAAATTATCAAGTTTTTCTTTCTCTGTTAACTCCACATTCTTCCTTCTACCTATTTTTTACTTAGTCTCAAATAGCGTGTCCATCACTGAGTAGTTGAGTTTATGATTTCTTGCTCCAGCACGTACATCGGACGACCAGCCTCCTCCTGGATGGATGATTACTTTGACTGGATCGTGTCTCAGGAGTGCTGTATGATATCTCCAAACACCTCGTCATTCTGCCCTCATTCTGGTGGTGGTGAGTTATACAACTTTGGAGGAAAAGACTCAATTCTTTTGAATTTTATCAGGTTTAGTTTGTATTTAACACAACACATCATATACTGTTGCAATCCTTAGTTTGACCATTCAATCACAGTTCCTCTATTACAACCTTCTGCTATCTCCTCTCTTATCTGCATTCCTCTTCATCATCCATTATTCTTCAAATTCCTCACCTTCCTCTTTCACTGTCAACTGCATTTTCCTTGGATCTCTTCCTAAACTCTCATATTTTAAACCATCTTAATTTTTCTCGTGTTCACTCCCTCTTAAAACTACTCCTCTTCTAGTAGCTTCATTACTGCCTCAATCACTCGATTTCACGCTGAGGATTGGTGCAACTTTTCAAAATTCAAATAGAGACAGGACTAAATCAATTATGTGGTGAAACTCGAGGAGAAATAATGTAAATGTCTGTCATTTTTACAAAAACCTCCAAATGGGCTAGCACGGTTCCACAAACTAAAGTAGAGCACAGATTAGGGGTAAGTTTTACCGAGTAACAACAAAAGTTTTGTTTATACCGGGTTAATTTTTGAACGGCTGTATGTGTTCAAACGAGCTTCGATACACGTTACTAGGATAATGTAAAGTATAGGGGTTGGTATTTTTTAAAATCAAAACCCCACCAGCAACCCCTGTTTGGGGGTGATTGGTGAAATTCAGAATCATGTTAAAAAGTGTGTGACATAACCCTGGTCACGTGTACTGAAGGTTATTTGAAAATTTACAGCCATGAAAAAAATAAAAGTGATGGAATGTAAAGTTCCATTTAAATTAACGTCTAATATTTCTTGCCATAGCTTTTGAAAAGTTCGTCGTATGAAAGTCAGTCGGATTTGTGGAATTAATTACCCTTTTTAAAGCTCACTAAAATGATGTGCTACTTGATAGGGGTTGCCGTTTGAAAATTTTAAGTTACCCCCAGCAACCCCTAAGGTGGGGCAAATTTCAAAATACCACAAAAGTACTTTACATTACCCTAGTAACGTGTATCAAACCTCGTTTGAATATATGCAGCCGTTCAAAAATTAACCAGGGGGGATTATGGAACACCCAGTATATTGTAGCTTAGTGCATTATGAAGCGTAGACACCTGTAATACTTGTTCCAGATGATTGTGATTACTGCACCAAGGTGATCAACCCTGACCTGGCCAGACCTGACTCTACCACCTTTGACCGATATCTCTCCTTCTTCTTGCAGGACAACCCGGACGCCAGTTGTGTCAAAGCGGGGCACGCGGCTTACTCTCAGGTACATGAATATTGATGATACATGAATGCTCATAAAATGATTTCAAGTCACTAAAATCAAGATGTGAATGCTCAGAATAATTTATTTGGAGTTTGACTCTTTTGTATTGTCACTAAACATTAGGTCCAAGTTAATAAATGGTTAAATAGAGTACCCGTTCATCCTTGTGTATTTTAAACAGTAATTTAGTTATGAATTTTTTCATATTGTTGTGTTCACTTAATCAATTTGTATCGCTTTAAATTGCATTTTACCATTGTGGTGCTTATTTTTAATAGGGGTCTGTGAGCCATACTTTTCCCCTTCGGATCAAGTAAAAAATTTTGACACTTGTCTCGGGGGTTAAAATTGAGTTGTTGTAGAAGGAATTGATTTTTTTAATAGGCTATTTATTGTTATACTACAATTATTGGTTTATATATTGTACATGATCTCCCCCCATATTACGGTGAAATTATGAACAACTTCTACAGTAATGGTGACATCATCATAGTTTCCTACTATTTCTGCAACTCCGTGAACATCACCCGCAATCGTGGCAAAATTGTCAATTTTTGATCGCATAATTAAAAAATTGGCTCGGCTCCACCCGACCTTATCTTGGCTTAAAAATTATTCTTGGCCCAACTTGACCCATAGATAAAAAAAAATTTATGTCCTACAGATTCCTAATTTTTGTATGCATTACAATACAATTCACACACCCCTGTTTTTTTGCAGGCAGTCAAGTATAGGCTGGATGAGAGAGGGTACACAGTGGTAGAAGCGACTTACTACATGGCCTACCATACAATACTGAAGTCATCCAGTGACTTCTACGGGGCGATCAGAGAGGCTCGTAAGGTAGCGGACAACATTACTGAAACCATCAACGACAAGCTGGTACACATCGGGAGTAACGCCACAGCTCATGTCTTTCCGTATAGGTCAGTTGCTGCTTTGGTCAGTAGTTTCTGTAGTTCTGTAGTCTTCAGTAGTTTTCTGAAGATGTTTATCTTGTTGATTATCATTGCATAGGTGTTCTTATTATACACTTAAGTAAAACATAACTTTCATCAACCAACACTTTATCCGTTAGTAAGATAAAGATTAAGTAATATATTTTGGCACTCTAGGGTGGCAATTGCAGATTTCATTGAACAGTTAGCTTGAGGTGAAGGTTTCTGTGATGGCACCAAACACTTTGTAGTAGTTTCATGCTACGTTTAAGACGTGTCTCTAATGAAATTAAATGTACAGAAAAGAAATGTATTGTAGTTTAAAAAGACTAACAGCAAAGTCCAACTGCAATCCTTTCAAATAAAATAAAAATAACTTTAAACTCTGAGGAAGATTGAGGTCGCCATGTCTGCAATTCAGTCGGTGTAGCAGTACTTGTCTTGTCGCCAATAGATCTAGGTCTGTAGGTACCTTTCGGTACAGCGACAACAATTATATAACAAAAACTATAATTACAGTAGACTCTCGCTTATCTGGATCGGCATAGTCCAGATTCCCGCGAGTCCGGATCGGCAATCGTTTTTTCTTTTAGCGGCACAGTACAGTAGAAGTTCGATTATCCGAGCTAAACAGGACCGAGACTACCTCGGATAATCAAAAACTTGGATAACACAGTGGTAAATATTACAACCGGTGGAACTGCATTTACCCGGATATCAATACTGTGGACCTGGAACAAAATTGAAAAAAACGGCTATATATAATACTGTATTTGCTCGACTCTTGATAGTCCGGATTTTTCCTAATCCGTCCGGACATCCGCCACAATAGTCCGGATGAGCGAGAGTCTACTGTACTGGTACTTCACCAGTAGTGACATTTTAATGTAAATTCTAGATACCGATTTTTTTCCAACAACCAGTAGTGATACCAAGAAGATTTAGTAGACAAATTTCTTCATTATGTCTTCAGCAGTGTTTGATTGAGTGTGTTCTGTTGACCAGTGTGTTCTACGTGTTCTTCGAGCAGTACCTGACCATGTGGCAGGACACTTTGTACAGTGTAGGGGTGTCTCTTGCTGCTGTGTTCCTGGTCACTCTGGTACTGATGGGGCTAGATCTAGTCTTGTCTCTTGTGGTCCTAGTCACCATCACCATGATTGTCATCAACCTCGGTGGACTCATGTACTTCTTGGACATCACACTCAACGCAGTCACCCTCGTCAACTTGGTTATGGTCAGTGAACATTATCAGAATCTGGTTTTTTCATATTTTATTGACCGGCGGCAAAACATACGTTTTTGTTTCCTACCACAATTTCAATGTTTTTTTTTTGTCACAATTGAATTTATCAATTTATGAGATTCAAATATAGTGGGAAATACCAAATGCAGTCTTGTAATCATAAAATAGTCTAACATAAACATTTCACGCACCAAACCAGTAGCTTAGGAGTACCTAGAGCTTGTTTGTAACATGGTGGTCACAGTTTTTGAAATAATTCAGTATCTGGTCTTGTGTCCAAGTTAAAACTCTGCTTACCACAAATAGTGTTCATCCATTTGATGATAATGACCCTTTTTTAAGTTGTAGGTCCACTTATTTAGTGAACCAAGATATCCCAGGCAAGGACTTTCTTCGTATGGGCGGAGAACCCCCCCCCCCCCCACAACACTTAAACTGGTTAAAGAATTAAAAGGATATCGCATAGAATAGTGATTGTGAGAATGAATTTTACTGAATAGCTCTGAAGGGTGCAAGAACTCTGCAGTCCCAAAAACATAACCATTGTCCTACACAGCTGCGGCAAAAGCGTGAGTGTTCTGCAATCCTTGGCTGGAGCTTCATTTTTTACTAGGTGCTCAATCAATCGAGCTTTTAAGCAAGGCTCAGCTCAGATTGAAAATCGAGCCTCCTGCACACATCTCCTAACAACTTATGTATAACACTTTTGTATGTGCAATATAATCTGTAAACATGTTATCTCTCCACCTACTGTTAATTTAAAATTTAGTATTTTCCATATATAACTTGAATTTTGGTAAAAATCTAACTATACAATTAGGATAACTGTACCATGATTAATCGTGTATTGTTGTTTTTCAGGCTATCGGCATTTCTGTGGAGTTCTGCAGCCACATCGTACATGCTTTCTCTGAGTCTATGAAGGAGACAAAGATTTTACGGGCTGGAGATGCTCTTGTCAATGTTGGAACATCGGTAGGCTTAAACAGAAACTTTAGATTATAGTGTACAGAGTTTTTGTTTCTTGTGCTAAAGTAACCCTGCTATCATGAATACAACCTCAAAGCCTATACTAGGGACCATGAGAGTCTACAGTTGGCGGCAGCCAATACAAAGACTCGACTAGCGCAACATTGCAACATCACCCGTTCACTACTTTTTGACACTAATTAAAATATACTAAACAATATTTTCAAATCAGCTGGTATTATTAGATTTGGCAACACCGCACTGTCCTCATGGGCTCCTTCGAATTCACGGGGTAAATAGGCTCCTTCCTCAACTGCAGAATCTCGTGAACAGTACTGTAGGCTCGAGTGCTCTATGCTACATTCTACTATCAGGGAACATATTTCATCTGAGAAATTAAACCACTGCACTCTGGTGTCAAGTTATCGTGGTTCCCAGTTTAAGTTGCCAAAAGCCTAGACCTTTATTCGATGAAATACAAGTGAATCAGGACAGCTGTTTCCAGTTTTAAATTCATTAAAATGTCTCTAAACCCAGAATTGACCTGGCGTTCACATTACTGGGCTGGCTGTCTTTGGTGTCCTATTTCAATGAGATTTTTGATTTTTTTTCCTTGGTAAATTTATTAATAAGTAGATTATTTATTACAACAGTAGTTAATTAGGTTCTAATACTATGTTGATGACTGATGTTAACTCAATCCAGCGGGCTTTGCTTTTGTGGTGTGCATTTTTGAAACATTGTACGTTCTGTAATATTATTGTTTTCTTTAAAATAAAAGTTTGGATTTGATTTAAATGACTGGTACAAAACTTAATTAAATTTCATCTTGTATTTACCTCATACAAATTATTTTATCAACACTTGTATAAGTTTTACTAAATTTTTCAAGATTTGTCATAGCTACCCAAACTAAAACTTTGGTAAGTGGCATGCCTATCTTTATACATCCACCAGTAAACTCACTGCTGCAGTTAGTTTATTGTGCAAATAAACTTTCAAGTACTCAACTAAATTTGCATTAGCATATACATTTTTCAGTTTCAAGTTATTTTTACATTACTCTTAGCATGTTTTTTAATGCAAGTGTTAATGTAAGAGTTTTTAGTTTTTATCAAATTCTTTTTCCTGCATTTCTCAGTCTAATAATTGTAGTATTTTTAACTGTACTTATTTTTAAAATTCAGTTAAATTTTGTAGGCTGTGAGAGTTTTAGTTTATTTTAGGACCTAATACCTATATTTGTTATAAATTGTAAAACCATTTTTCAAAACAACGTAATTTAATTTGCTTCTTATTTGTTACTAGCCATGAATCAGTCCCAACCTAAATTAAGATTGTGTCGATTAGGATGGCATGTAGTGACAGATGAGGGAAAGACTCACACTGAGACTCCCACAACTAGACACTCGTGATTAATCTAACAGCAATAAATTCTTAAGATTACTGTACAGGGTGAATACTTTCACAGGGTGCACTTACTTTAATGGGATGTACAGCCGCTTGTGTAACTCATTGACTCACTGATTAGATATACTTCTGTTTACCCACTTTTAGAATAGCCAGGGATCTGAAATTTTGTTGGCGTTCAGTCTCGGTCCCAAACCACCCAGAAAATACAAAAAAGTTTCAATTACAACCCCCCTCCCCCCCAAAAAGATTTCCTTAAATCTTCATTTTTTTGAGAAAAACACGTTTTTTTTAACGCTTTTAGCTAAAAAAATTGTAAAAGCTAGCAAAGATTGAAAAGAATTTTCATGTTTCTTGGTCAAGAATTAAATTTTCTACAAGATACTCTTTGGGGTTTTCAAAATATCGCACTCCTTCACCTTCAAAAAAATGCCCTACTTCAAAAATTTGTAAAATGTCTTGGATTTTTGACATGTTTTTAATTTTTAAAATTACTTTTCAGACATATATTTGTACTTTTAATGATCCCAACATTGAAAGAAAAGTGCCTAAAGAGACATATTAAAACTGTAACACACAAAACAAATTTTTAATGGCGGATTTTTAATAAAAAATAGTTGTTATTTAACGCCTGTTGGGCCAAACCGTTGTGCACGGGTGGTCTCATTCACCCTGTATAAAATAACAAAAGCGATGGAGGTGGAGGAAGGGTTCTTGTGTGTATCCGCATCCCTTTTGCCACTCTAATCGACGCAATCCATACCTTTGGCATATTTGATTACAAAGGAGACGGAGATGAAATTCTTTTAAAATATACTTCTACATAAGTTATTCAACACTTCCAAATATCATTTGTTGGAAAGAAGTTGGCAAATAAACTTAAAATAATCTGTTCCACTTCACGATAATGTACAGGGCTATTCAAAAATATGGACTGAGTTTCGGGACTTTTTATATTGAAAAGAACAAATCGGAAACAGCTTTACAAAGAGAAAATTTCCAAGTTTTATTTACACTGATTGCAAATGCTCAATGTGTTCTCATGTGCTGCACAGCAAACATCTAAGCGATAGCCAAATTCGTCCTATACACCAGACAGAATCTCTTGTGTCACAAATTTCTTGAAATTGCTTAAACCAACGAGTTATGCTTTTCCTAGTCGGTGATTGATTAGCAAATTCGATGCAAAACCCCGCTGCACTGTAATAGGAGACCTAGTTTTTGCAAACTCTGTCACACAAAATACCTGATGTTGCATGGTAGCCATCTTACTAACAACTGATGGCTAGACAAAATGGCTGTCCATTGTTGCGATAACTTTTTTGGTCGTTTACAAATCCATGGTAAAAAAACTTGGAAATATCTTCTTTTTAATCGAGTAAATTTTATGTATGTCCGATTTAAAGTTTATCAAACACAAAGTCATGAAGTTGGGTTCATATTTATCCCCCTCCCCCCTATAATATCCAGCCCTGTATAACATCCAGTATTCCTATGTTGCATGTTTTATTCATTCATTTTATTTTTATTTTAGGTGTTTTCTGGCATCACCCTTACCAAGTTTGGTGGCATCATTGTGTTGGGATTTGCCCACTCACAGATATTCAAGGTGTTTTATTTCCAAATGTACATGGGAATAGTCGTTATTGGTGCTCTACACGGTCTGGTATTCCTACCTGTTCTGCTTACATACTGCGGTAAGTTAAAGTACAAATTATGTTCATAATCTATAATATTAAAACGAAAGTGTGTTTTTTTATTTCACGATTCTGAATCAACCACTCGACGGATTTTCATGATTTTTGGGTTGAAAGAAAGATAATTTTGAGAACTAGGGAATGTCGAAGCCATAATTTTAGTTTAGGGTCCCAGTTTTTTAGAAATTAAGTTTTAATTTTTAAAAAGTCTAGCAGCCGACGCTAAGATTCTAAACTAGCTTTTGGCATAAAATAATTTGCTTAACATAACAGCTGTAAACATTCAGCTTTTGTGTCACAAATTCAGCATTTGGATAAAAATGTAAAGACATACTTAGGATTGACTTATTTATACTATGTGTAATGCTAATCATTGATACGTTCAATTCTTCTGTAAGAGGATGGCAGATTAATTAAATATACATAGTAAAATACTAGGATGTTCAAATTATTTTTTAAAGCAATCTTTGTAATCTTCGATTTGTTTTAGAGCAATATAATTTGTTTTAACTAACAGCTGGTTAAATATAAACTATGGAACTATGAGGTTATTTTATTTTTGTCATTGATTATAGGAAATAAGTAAGATTAGTAGAGATAATTAGACCACAGTTTAAACCAATATTAATTAAACCACAGTACAAATCGAGGCTCTGTACACGAGTCTTAATAAAAAAGGATAAATGCAAATTATTTTACTGCTCCACTTTTCAAGGAAAGATTAGAAAAATAACAATGTTTACATGTTTTAATTTTTCATGGTAGCTTTTTGTTTACAATTAATGTTTGTCTGCTTTAACTTTGTATGGATTAGGCCCGGAAATATTGATGTCATAAAAAGAAGATCAAGAATAATCAGGAATCACGATTTTAAATTACGACCACAACCTCAGCCGGGTTTTATACAAAGATAAACAGATGGATGACATAGATTGAACACAACGTCAACATTGACCTAGGATACTGCAATTAGACAAACCATCCTTAAAATCGTGTTCAGTTGTGGTTACGTTTGGGGGCACCTATATCAGCGCCCCCAAACGTGAAAATAATATCACTTTTATTTCAACTATGAATATATTGTAGTTCAAGTTAACTAATATGGGAAATTAAGATGTACATTTCTTCAATGAGGGTGTGTAATTATCAAGAATAGAACTGAAAACGGTATAGATAATAAACATTGACAATTACGTCATTAGCTTTACTAGCGTGTTTACTTTTTATATTCCTGCTACATGTGACCAGTTCTTATTTTCAAATGAATGTTATTTGAACCAAACAGCTGTTTCAAAACAAACTGTTATTGTTTTTACTTTTCTTTGTTTACGCATATTTATTTATCAATTAATGCAGTGAAATTCATATAAAGGATAGGTGTGACGATTCGTTTTGATGTTAGGACACCAAAGTTTGTGTACTGTGAATTTTATTGGATATTATCGTTTTGTTTTAGGTCGTTTCTATTCAGACCTACTGGAAATTGTGTATAGTAGTTGTATTGTGGTGATAATAATTATGGAAGAGGCAGGTATGCTATGGAAGGTGGTATCGTTGACTAGGTCTATACACTTCTCAATTTTGACTATTACTCTCTCTACAATATGCTACTTATAATCAGTGTGCGTCTGTGCGAATCGGCTGCAAATCTCACTTCAACGCTTTTCACATCGTAAAAATTGCAGAATTGCTGTTTTATTTTAAAATTAACGGATTTAAAATGCATATCGTATAGGCCTATGATGGAATAAAAACATATTTGGTCACACAACATTTGTTTACAAGATGATTTTTTACATTAAAACTGCAAGAAACTTTGTCTTTATATGTGTAAACTAGCTGATCTGAATTGTACACGGTTTTAACTGGCTACTGAATTCCCGTACGTAGGACGGGCTAACATCTCGTCTTGTATTAAATCATGATTTGTTTTCCAAATTAAAATATCTTTTTATTTTATATTTACCCTATATCTATGGATCTTAGACTTTTAAATATGTTTTTTTTTTTTAATACTTACCATACACAGCTCTAATTAATTTAGAAATTATAATTTGTTATGTTACAACTAATTTTAATTGTAAGGAAATTGTCATTTGATACCAAACTTGAAATATGCTGATATTAAAGAATTTTGTCTGACTCCTTGTGGACCTTCCCCCAAATGGGTTCCGATCGGTAATTGGGCAGATGTTTGTGTTACCATCACCAGTACATTTTTTCTATCGTGGTTTAGAAATATAAAAAGAGGTTTCAGACGTAATTGTCACCCTGTATTAGTATGAAAATGTTTGGTACAACCTATAAATAAAAACAACATAAACTGTGGTTAAGTTTTATCACTATACAAATAACATAATTATACTCTACGTTTCTTCCTGAAACAAATAATATACAATATTGTATAACTTTCTAACAAATAATCATTTTTATTCATTTAAAAATAAACTATGCAAAGTGCAGCAAAATGTCCTAGCATTTTAGCGAATCCAACCAGCAGTTCCAGGGTTAATCTATGGTTTGATTGAGGTCTGTTGACATGTTACATTTTTATTAGCATTCAAGTTGTGTGATTCAATAACACCTGTTTCAGGTTCGTCAGTGAACCCGAAGAAGCTGCTATTGTTCGAGAGGGAGGAACGGAGAAAAATGTTGGCCAGCATAAACAGAGTAAGGGAGGGGTTACGGGACAGAGAGGGGCATGTTCTGGACGAAGTGAAGCCTGCATGATCTTGCGCATGTCTAGACGAGACAGTTCCTAACTCAGTATTGGACCTTGTTCCTTGTGACTACTAGAATTGTGCCTTTTAACATAGGATCTTCATCTTCAGTGTGTCCACAGACAATGATTATTGTGAGAGCTATATTTTAATAGAACATTAGATACATAGTTTGTAGTCAATGTGATTGTGTCGCTGCAGTGAAATGCATGCAGTGTTTGTAGCATGAACTTTTCAAATGTTACAGTGTGCCTCAGGCCGCTTGAGTACGGGCGACATGAAACATGTTTGGCCAAGTACGAGTTATGAGTATGTGATAGGTTTTTTACCCAGACTCTGGGGAATGTTACAAAAACTAAACAAAGCAATTTTATTTTTGTATTTTTTAACACTTAAACACATAGTGTTAACATAAGTGAATCATTAAAAACACAACTAGGTGCTTTACAACTGGGTGAGGATACATGAAAGCACAGTTTGGATCTATAAACCTACTATTGAACAGTTACACCCCTGTTGAAAACAGTTTTATAGAAGCAAAAGTCAATTTTGCATCTAATTTTGCGTGTTTTAATGACGTCATTGGCATTTTTAAAAGTTTTTCTTTGTAAGGGAACGGTCCAAAATCTGGGATAACCAACACATATCTTTGCATAGCATTGTTAATTTATAACCCAAAGCCAAATAGCATTTGGAGCTATAGCCTCTGGGTCATTATTAAACATAGTTAAAATCGAAGGCTTACCTTACGATCCAATTTATTTTATGGTGGGAACCTAGGTTTCTACGTCGTCAGTCCTTTGTCTCATAGGTTGGCTAAACTTTAAGTTTTTCATCCCTTACTTGAGATATTTTCGATTTGGTATAATTTGTACAAATATTGAACACATATAAATATTTACTAAGACGTAAATGAAAAGATACATGGCCATAATCTTCTTTATCAATCCTAACCTCCAAAGTTGGGCTGTTGACATGTTTGTCCGGATCGTAAGGCAAGCCTTAGATTTTAGAATAGAATTTGGGTCTAAACCCCTTGGGATTGAACAAGCAACCTTCAGATTTGAAGGCAGCACAACAATCCACTTCACTACCTCACACAGATTTGTAAAATTTTCTTTGAAAATTCAATCAGTTGTGAGGTGTGTGATAGTACAAAATCAATAACTTTAAGAACATAGTAAATTCAAATGGAATTTCGTCGCTAGATTTAGTGTAGGCCTATGTTCGACCTAGGAACTTACGGAAATAATTAAAGTAAGTCAAGTCAAATGTAAACATAATTGTTTCTACAGTTCTTGTAGATTGATCAATATCTACTTTAAAATATTCTCTTCAGATTTCTGGACATTCAAAAGGTAAGGTGTAGCCAAATGGGATTTTAGAGAAACTTGTAGATCTCTGGCTTCATGATCTACCTCTGGTATAAATGCGTTCCCACAGAAAAAACAAATTCACTTTTTAAAAAGCCTTTTTAAAGTAAATAAATAAAGGGTTATTGTCTGATCAAACTCATGCAAATAATGTTTTGCAATACAGTAAGTCTGTGACAAGACCTCACATACTCTGTAACCGTACTAAGTCTTAGATTTAGATCACTGAAAAACTGTAGAACTAGTAACTGCCACTATAATAACTTACAGCCTTTTAAACTATTTTAAGTTCCCTTTCACTTTATTTAAGATATTTCTGCATTTGTGTACTTGTTTTTATTATTGTTAGCTTACATATTTATTCAAAATGTTATCCGATTGCTTTAAACATTAGGGACACTTCAACGAGTCATGATTTTTAAGAAGGTTGAGATTTTTTATGTACATGTTTAGTGTTGTTATTGTTAGTGCATTTTGCTTATGCTCTCTTTAGCACTGTAACTTGTTTTTATAAGCACTTGAACTTTGTGAACGAATGTTTGTTTTTTACTTAATTCACATTTTTACTCTTGGAGATAATGCTAGGAAAAGAATTAAAGTATAATAAACTCATAACTTGAGACTGTAAGAATACCAATGAATTTTACCACTTAATAAAATAATTATTAAAGTATGTCTTTTTAGGAGATTGTTGTTTATTGTTTAGATTTTAAAAAACTATACAGGGTGAATCAGATCAAATGTGCACAAACTTATACGGGGTATACAGTCTTTTGTTAAACTCACTGATCAGGTATACAAATATTTACTAATCATTTTATTAGGGGGGGCATATTTGTTTGCTATTTGTTATGGGGCACTTCTAGAATAGCTTAGGCACGCTTTTATAAACGGGCATATGCCCAGGGGCGCCGGTGGTTTGGGTGCGCCCACTGGATGCCCTGCCAGCACTAGGAAAAAAGGGGGGCGCTGCTCTTGGGTTTGCCCAGGGCTCCACTGACCCTTAACGCGGCCCTGGAATAGCTAGGGATCCGAAATTTTTTGTGGAGGTCCGTCTGGGTCCCAAACCACCCAGAAAATCCAAAAAATTACATTTTCAAACTACGACCCCCCAAAAAATTCCTTATGTCCCCCTATTTTGAGAAAAAAATTGTTATGGCTTTAAAGATAGGCCCTACTCCTTGGCATCTTTCAAAAATCACACTCCTTCACCTTCAAAAAATGCCCTACTTCTAAAGTTTTTAGAATGTCTTGGATTTTTGACGTGTTTTTAATTTTTTAAATTACTTTTCGGACATATAATTGTACTTTTACTTTTAATGATCCCAACATTGAAAGAAAAGTGCCTAAAGTTACATTTTAAAACTGTAACCCACTCACGCTGTTGGGCCAAACCGTTGTGCATGGGTGGTCTGATTCACCCTGTATACACAGACTTGTAGGTTAAGTAGGACAAACTGAAGGAAAAGTATTTTTGTAAACTTTACCGTCCAATGGTGATACTTAGTCAATACTCCTCTTGTAGGACTTATCTTTCAACTATAAAATTATTTTTTAAATTACCTTTGAGGTAGGTTGCAATTAAACTTGGGAATCTTCCAGTTGTATCATAGCTTGCTCTGACGATTGATTATTGCGCCACTTTTGAAAGGTTAGCCAGCATTTTTGCCAGTTCAACTCCTGAAGATCAAGACTCGGACGTCTACTTTGACCGTAGAGGCCTTTATCTTATAGTTTGTGTTTTAGCAAAAAGACTACTTCCCTTGAATTAGTTCAAATATTGAAAATGATGTAATTAGGTCTACATTTCAATCTTAATTTAGATCAAACTGAGCAGTTTTTAATTTTAATTAGGTACTTGGCTATTTTAATATCTAATATCTTAATAAAATTTATAGCAATTAATTAGTTGCAAACATTAAAGTAATTTTAATGTTATAATATAGATGTAAACAAAATCAACAGTTTTTTTTTTGTATTCTTTGTTGGTGATTGTTATATTTTACTTACTACTATTTACTTTTTTAAGATATTGGCCTTAAAGAAAAGTGTTACTTAAGTCTTTAAAACTACTGAGCCAAGCTTACTTTTTGGAGTCATAAAATTTTTCAAAATTTTTACTCATGTTTTAGTCATCATTTTTGTTGTTGATCACAATTATTTTAATGGAGTTCCTAGATGTAAGTTTCATCTTAATTAGTTTCAGTTGAAGTTTTTTTCTGTAACAAAATAGTATTTATGAGTATTATCATTATTTTGTAAATTTATATTTTAAGTTGGCTAAGCACTGGTTTTATTCAGTATTGATAAGTTCTGTATAATTTAGCAGTCTCTAGAAGGTATAAGTCAATGAGTGAAAAATTGTATGTCTACTTTTGTCCATCCTATAAGATATACATGCATCTCTTTAACACAACTCAGCATATTTTTCAAATCTTATACAGTGTCAGTATCCACCAATATTTTCAATTTTCTGACAACAACCACATAATCGGATAAAATTCAGTACCTTTTGCGATTATGGTTCTGGCTGATCTCGGCCTAGGATGTCAATTCATCCGTCATGGCAAGGATAGTATGTTAGTGAAGTCCATCTGACAAAACAATTGACGTCAAATATATCGATGGACATTTTAAAATCTATTAAAACAGGGAATCAATTAAAGAATCATATATATATAAGTTGTACTATGTTGTAGACATCGAGTTTATAACACATGGTGGATCTATTTTCGTGTTGAAAGGTTGTTGGGGATGGTAAAGAATATCAGGGAGGAATTGGGTAAGATAAGGCAGTCAATTGATAGTTGATAGGTAGCCTTTCTTCTAAAATAGTTTAGAGTTAAGAATATAAGTTATTTTAAGGCTCTTGAAAATATCTTTTAAAAAAACTTGTTATCAGCAGATCAAATTATTCTTGTGTTGCTTCTCCGACTAGTCGCTTTCGGTATTAAAATAAAGTAAACTACCATGGCATGCCTTTTACATTTAATCAAATAACAAGACAATTTTATTTACTCAATAGTTTGATTAAACAGTATTCAAGCTGTCACACTGGCTCGTGAGTAGAACATTTATAGTAGTTTTTAAAGTTTTATGAATTAGTTTAAATTGTCAACATACTTTATACTTTTTTTGTAGGTGTAATCTTTTAATGTTGGGTACAAAGGTAGATATTCCATCCATATGGGCTAGCTGTAGCCAATGTTTTTGTTAAAATAGTAGTTGAATGAGCTGTTCAACAATATTTTTGTGTAAAATTCTATTTGCTATGTTAGTTTTTGATATTTTAAATTTGTGTAGCAAAAAATCCTATAGCTTTCATGAAGCTGTTCTTTCAGTTGGTTAAAAAGTCTCTGTATAAATCAGTTGATAGTAACACTCTCTGTCGGTGGTACGATTCAACTACAATTTGCATTCTAAAACTAGCGCCAACTATAACATAGAAATGGAATGTTATATTCTTTCAACAGTCAAAGGTTTAATGAATTGCCTACATTTTTCCAATTGCTTTACTTCCTTAGACTGATAAATTGATTGAACCCCAAAGTAAGACTAGTATTTTTTTAACTTTTAAAACATTGTTCACTTAACACGTTTACTGCGGCATGTCTCCGATCGGAGACATCACCATCCCCACTCGGGTGTGCATGCCTCTGATTGGAGTCATTTTTCATGGACATTGTAATGCGATTATATTTCGTCTAGCTATTGAAAAGAATACGCATATTGTGCCTTAGCTCTTAGCGTGCATGTTAACCGGGTAGTGGGTTTTTAATTTTGTGTTGGTCAAGGTTAACACCAATATTCATATTTTCCACAGGGATTTATTTTCGCGTTTGTTGACATTGTTCATATTCGTGTCTGTCGTAGCACGTTAAACATTTAATGATATGGATCAGAATAATGATACTAAATGTCAAAATTTTGCTTGATCCCTTTTTGCGGTATGTTTTGTTGGTGTATCTGGATACTTCGCCCCTGCTTTTTCTCTCCATTTGGCAAAACCGGAAGGCTTGCTAGCAGTTTTGTTTAGTGCTGCTATCTATTGGGTTTTTGTAAAACTACGTCCACAAGACTGGGATTATATATACCTCTCCTATTGGATGAAACTAAATTCAAACATTTTCATTTTCGTGCACTCATCCACGCAGCGCATTAGCTGTCCGCGCTCCTGGCAGCGGACGGCCATCACGCAGCCAAAGCGAACGTGTTAAAATAGGTACTCAATAATCCAATATAATTTTTTTGCTCATTTTTTTGTTGACAGAGCAAATTGTGACAAACTATTAAGCCTTACGCTGCTCAATCTCTACTCTCTACCCAATCAAGTCTGACACTTTTTCATAAATATGTACCATGATCCTCATTGTAAGTTACCCAAAGATTAAAGTTTCCTCATTATTTTCATTAGACAAATAACTGAAAAGACATTGTAATTGTTGATATTAAATCAATAAGATTGAACTTATCAATAAATGACATATTGTGATACTAGTCAGTTTAGAGCTAAGTGAAATGTATACAGGTTTTGGACTTAGTCGATGGCGATATACAACTATTACAAATCCTATTTGTTATGGCGTAGTCCGTTA